TTTAATGTTTTATATGCCCTTTACAAATAACAAGTATCTAATTTCTCATTTAACATTTGCCTTACAAGCTAAAATGCTGAATAAATATTAAATATTACTAGATTAGAATGGTTCCTTTATGAAATTTGAACATAATCATATTCCAAGAACTTGTGAAATACTACACGAAGCTATTGTGTTAGAAAGTATCTTCAATACATTTTTGTACCAGGGTAAAGTTAACTATGACAAAATAGGAACCTCTGTCAGCTGAACGATTATTATCACTTTTTAATGAGTTGTCCGAAGCAATGATCAGCAATGATACCAAATCTGAACTGAAACGTAAGTTTCAGCACTTCAAATCCATAAACATTCTCAAGTTTCAGAATATTTGCAGATTGAACCAATACACAGTAGAGTATGTGAGCCGGTCATCAACTTCAAAACACAGTTTTGAAGTACAGAGATAGTTTTGGAGATAAAACTATATCAAGTCCCATGTCACAATTCAGTGGACCTATGGATCGTTTTGTTATTATGTTGTTGTTCTTTGACACATATTGAAAAACTGCTTTTCTTGTTGATTACTGGACGAATTGCTTTGAAATTTTCAATGGTTTAAGATTGATTTGCCTGAAGGCTATTACTTTCGTATATTTCCAATATTTCTGAGAGCTGCATGGAATTCATTTCTTTTGTGCTATGACCTCATCAAAAATTGCCACCATGTGGCGGTTCATCGTGCGCAGCGAGTCACGAGGTCAGCGAACATTGGTGCTTCTAGTGTTTAGGGAACCGTCAAAGGTAAGCTGGACTACTGCTTCGCTCAGGCTGCGTGTCCATATATTTGAGCATCGCTCTCTTGTTGAAAGTGCAAACTATAAAGTTCTTGATCCCCTTTCTGGCACAAATAGACTCACTTCAGTCATTGCAGCAATATCCCTAAAGACTAGATAACCTTAATCTTCATATCTGAAATTATATCAAAATACTTGACAGAGTTTCAAGTAGTCATTATAGACTTAATGTCATTTACGATAAAATTTTATAATGGAATTGGAAGTTCGGGGCTTTTACTACAGTTAATTAACATGACATGTGTCTCGCTCGGATTAACGATAGGATCTACATATCTATCCCAGGAGAGAGATAATGGACCAGATGGTGGAGGAAGCTGTAACCGACCAGCGGTTATGTGAACCACCCAACTGCGACGAGGAGTCCAGTAATCCTCTCGCACATAACCATGGGGTGACGAGCGTATTCCTAACGATCTCCACATTTGAACCTGCGAACCTACACAGACTGACATAGTGTAATTAATAAGAGGTGCGATGCCAAGCTTATTCCGCTTACAGGCTTAGCACGATGAGCCACACCACTGCTAATTTGAAGTTAGACAATTCAGCAATTAAATATATCAAATAGTTAGAATGCATATTAACTTTTTGCTTAGGTCTGCGGAGTTCACTCAAACAGTCAAATGGCTTTAGCAGTTTCACTTTTTAGTTTATCGCTTGCTCCACACAATGCTGCAATGTTACTGGTATCAGTCCCAATTTGACATACCGTGTTCGTGCCTACATCTTGGCACACAATAATTCCACCGCGAAGGCATATCTGGTACGGTACGGTACCGGTACCGTACTGTCCTTGTAATTACCACCAAAACAACTGCCAGAGTAGCCTAATGTTAAATCTCTTATTTTCTGTCTACTGCCATTCTCTACGCTGCCCATGCCGTCAGGGACTGGTTTAGCCTTGGCAGATTAATGCTGTAATGGGCCACTTACCGGTACCGGTACTCACTACGGTACGTACGGTACCGGTAGGTGGTACCTATCACCGTACCGTATCCTGGCATATGCAGATACATTCAGGCTACATGCTAAACTTAAGAACCTTAAAATGTTCGTACGGTACCGGTACGGTAACACTGACACCATGCCCTTCACTTTCTCAAAGTCGCCATCCCTAATCTACCACCACAATTCGACCGCATTTTGCCATCCCTAATCTGCCACCACGCTTCGACCGCATTTTGCCATCCCTAATCTGCCACCATTCGACCGCATTTCGCCATCCCTAATCTGCCACGCTTCGACCGCATTTCGCCATCCCCAATTTGACTTTTCGACCCTATTTTGCCATCCCTAATCTGCCACCTTTCGACCGTATTTTGCCATCCCTATTCTGCCATCCCCAATATGACTTTTATGCTACCACCACTATTGCGGTGGTGTGGCGCATCGTGCTAAAAGCGTTAGGAATACGCTTGCCATCGCAGCTCTGGTTACCTTGCGTGCGTTCGCAGGTTCAAATCCCGTGTGGGGTAATTATGTGCGCGAGGATTGCTCTACACCTCGCCGCCGTAGGGTAGTTCACGTAACCGCTGGTCGGCCACGGCTTCCTCCGCCATCCGTGTCCATGTATCTCAAGCAAATACCCGACTAACTTATCCCATTCCCGACATGGACTGGTAACCGGACAGAGGCGTGGTTCGCCGTATGAATAGGTCGTGTTGTCGGCCTTCCTCTCCCTCGGGATATCATATGTAAGTTCTAAAATGCTTTATTAATCGCAATTGGTTGGTTAATTGGTTCAGCAAAATGTTGAAGTATGTGTGTGGATTTCGAGGTAAAGGAAACAGTCGGAATAATAGGTAATGAAATTAGTTTTGTTGTGATGATGGGGTGAAATTTAATACTTAGACAGCTAAAAGAATGGATATAGATGACGAATTTAAAAAAAACTCCTTTGCTCAGATTGGATACTATAAAAAATATAGATTTCATCATGCGAATCAATAACGAATGTAGTTCTAACTCCCATCCGACTCAAAACATTAAAACTGTAATTTGAAAATTTCTTTTCTACTTTTCTTTCAATTTGCCCTTATATTTCCATAAACATATTTTCGCAAATATTTCTAATTTCTTTTTCAAATAAACGTTTTCACAAAACTTGTTGAAGATTTTCATTCTGGGAACCACTTATTTTCCATCATGCAGGATCATTTGATTAATTGTCAATTGTTATTATTATTAGTTTTATTATATTAATATTATTATTAGTTCGAAATTATTTCCCCTCTCTTATTTTTCGTGACAGAATTTAGTCATATGTTTTCTATTTATTCTATATTTATGTCTATATATCTATTATATCTATGTACGTTGTCCGCATAGGGTGATCCATGTTTTCACTCTAAGACGAGCCAGGACAGGATTATCATATTTATCAAAAACAATTTATACTGTTCAAACCAAACTAGACTAGACCATAAGAAATCCCCTTATCCGCCTATTGGAATTTCGAAAAAGTTTTGCATAGAAACCTTAAGAGTGGAATAGTCTCGCCGGGATTAAAGGAGAATCACAACTTTGTGGTTTGGGTAATGATAGGCATAAGTAAACTGAGTATAAAAAGAGAACATTTCGATATAATTTTTCAATTAATTCGAAAAGGAGTTCGAAACGAGAGAAAGTTGTATATACGACGCTAGTCATGCGTGGGCCTTATTACACAGAAAACGAGAGAAATGAAAAAGGAAGCTTCTCGTTCGATTGTCAATCCACAGTCATCCGTTCACACGCGTCTAGACGCTCGGCGGGTGCGTTCGAATCTTTTCGCGTCGGCGTTTTTTGTTTCTGTTGTTGTTATTTATTTATGTTGATGATGATAGTTTCCTAGATAGTTTTAACGATAATTCACTCAAAGTAATCTCTATTTGATTACACATATACTTGTTGCGGATTTTGTTTGTAGACCAGTTTTAAATTGATAGTCTCTTCGTTCACAATTGGTTATTTTTGAAACTCGCAACGTAGTTGGCGACTTGTCCTCATCATTATCGAAATTTAATGCCAAATAAGTAAATCCACATAGTATCAATTTACTTTAATCTTTTTGTTTGTGCCGCATCCTTTTCACTCGTGCATTCCAGCGAGTTCGTGGGATGGGAAGCGGAAAATTACATAAAAATGTACGCAATTCAACCCGAACCGCATTCGGGAGTTCATAATTCGCAATGCTTGTGGTATAAGCGTAAGCAATGATAGCTCTTATGGCACCATGTATCATGGTATAATAATTATGAATTTCACATATTACGCATTCATTATTACTGGAAATTATTATTTTTTTCATCAATGTGGTAACTGAAAGAACACAATATGCATTTTTAAACAGTAATTAGTAAATGTTACCTAATTTTAGCTTGATGTCGGTATTTTGGGTATATTTGTGAAATTATAAGCGGCATTCAGACCATTTGTATTTTTTCATATAGGCCTACTGATATAAAATGATGACTAACAGTAGTCAAACGCCTATTTGTTTTAAAAATAAGGGTAGTCTTGTTTTAATGTGACACTATTATTAGAGTATATCTGTATACAATAACATATGACATGGTAATGGACATCTTTACCGTGACTGAGGTTGGGTTCGGGATAAATTTAATGTAGTGTTAAAACCTTTGTATACAAACTATTTTTAGAAATAAGTAGTCAGGAATAGAGTATGATATAGTTTTTCTTAAGCCATATCTCCACGTGTTGTTGGTTAAATTGTTTGAATTCATTTAGCATGTGTAAGATTTCTTGAAATGTGATTTCACATTTTCAAAATTTGAGTGACTGTTATGTTGTCTAGTGGAATATACTACTACATTTGTGTATTCAGATAATAAATAAGATTTATCATGAATAGAATTCTTGCCAAGCTTGTAACTATGTTTGGAACTGTTCAACTACGCTTGTAACTATGTTTGGAACTGTTCAGTGCTAGGAAAGTTCAGATTTTGCAATTATAGTTTTAAAACAAAGTATGATACTAGTTTTTTGAATTCATATTATATTTGTATATTGTACTGTTGTGAAATCCATGTACACATTCAACAAAATTGGCTTCGCGTATGCCACCTGATAAACTGGTCAGTTTTATGGTCAGACTTGAATTAGACAGAATGGAATCAATTACTAAACTAAATCAGATAATATTGAGTGGATTCATTTTCCGCACAGCTATAAACAATAAAATTTAGCTATCTTTGAATCTTCTCTTCAACTGTTTAATACATTACCTGACCCAAATGTTGGGTTCGTGTGAAACTTCTCAAGATAATGCTTCCGCTGAAGTAGAGTCTGATAATACTTTACCTATTTCATCTGTGGATCCATCTTTACATCACACTCGTTACAATGTAAGAAGCCGGTATGAATTTGTAAAAACTTTGGGTAAAGGAACTTATGGAAAAGTGAAGTTGGCAATAGAACGAGACACGGGAAGAAAGGTAAATTTGCATAGTTATTTACTGTCATGAACTTTAGTCAATGCTCTATGCACTATATATTGAAATATTGCTATAATTTTGATACTGGTATTGCTATCAATGATGATAACACACATTTGAATGATAATTTTTAATAGGACAAATAAGAAAACTATTAACATAACATTAACAATTGTTTGAAGCGAGATAATATTTTTAAGTGTATGGTGGATATCTCAAAGCTTTATTTAAAATATAACCAACATTTTTTTTATATGTGAAATTATGATTTAAATTAAAGTGAACTTACATTGGTAGGTTTATTAACATTACCAGAAATCAAAATTATGATCAGGTTTTCAGAATATCAAGTTTTATATTGTAAAACCCATTGATGATATGCCTTGTGGCTTGTATAAAGTGGAAAGAAAGGTTTATGTCCCGGAAGTTTATAGTTACAATTTAATTATGCACCGGCAGAACTCAGAATGACTTAACTGATGTTATTTTGTTGATCTATTGAACTCCTTGAGGATTAAATCATAATCTGATCAGAAAGTTGTACAGACATCTGTGTCTGGTCTTATCCCACTTGTTTTTTTGCCTTGGGCAAGCTCATTTTTATTAAAGTTGATTTGTGAGTGATGACTAAATCGTAATTGTGTGAACAATAATTATATTTTAATTTCTATGTTTACTTTGGTGTAATTTAAAACTCTGCGTGGAATATCATAGATAAGATCATAGAAATTTGTTCCCATATACCAGATATACTTCACTTGCCACTGGTGAAGATTCACTAACTCTTTTGTATCGAACTAGCTATCAATCAACAGGTTCATTTCAGAAAATATTTCCAAACTTATAGTTCTAAACCACGATCGGGTTCGCTCATAACGACATTCTAAGAATTTTTTCCCCAGGATCTCACAAATGCTTAAATACGCTCTGATTCATTAAATATTTTATTGGGCTAGGATTGAATTCATATATAAGTTACTGAATGTTCTGTATAAACTATCCAATGGAATTAATATACAGTAACTTATATGCTTTATCATGGCATGGCCCATAGATTGGGAAAAGAAAATCAGATATATATTTACCGTAAGTATATTGTAAAATTATGTATTATGGGCAATATGTATTATTCTAATTTATTTCTCCAGTGTCATTGTGGTATTGGAGTCATGAAACCATAGAAATTAACGAATATATAAAATTATCTTACTCTTTTCATCAATGCGGGCAAGAGTATTTTGTAAACAGAATATGTTATTTTAATTAATTTCTCTTGTGTCATTGTGGTATTGCATTAGGTTGTAAATAATGCTTTTGTGGTCAGACAATGCGAAATTCGCTCAATGTCAAGCATGGACATTCTATTCAATGATATTACAATTATCACGGTTTTAGCAATGACTCTCATGGACTCATTCCCTAGATACTGTGACATTTACCATGCATAATAACAAGACCTCAATAATATCGATCTGCTATCATGCTGACATATACTGCATCTAAACTATTCCCTTGCCAGTTGAATGAAGTTAATGAATGTACCCTATTTGGTGTTTAGGAATTGGTTATGTTAAACACTGGTGGGGGTGTGGTCTCCATAAGCAAATGCATTGTGTACTTTGGTAAATCTCATATTGCCTTTAGTTTTCAAAGTTTTGGGTTGGTAATGCCACCTAAGCTAATGATTGTCAAAGTACAATTTAATTATGTGTATATGTATCCGCTGGTTGTTCATGCGACATAACATTCATAGGAATGGGAAATTTTTTTAATCAGAAATGTGGAAAATTTAGCTATTGTCAATTGTATTTATAAATACCTATCCCAAATTTCGCTTTTTTAGTATACTGGCGTGTATTTTAGTCATCCTAAATTACTATAGGTTCCAAGGTTTGCCTGTTTTTCTCTATGCTGATTGCTTTCTCACGAATAGCTTTAGTCCCCTTACAAATCTACATTTACATGATTTTAATATAGGGTAAATCGGCCTTAGCTCACAAAAAATGGGTGTAAAGAATAGTTGCATAACATGTGGTCGTAAATCTTTTATGATGTCATAATTCCACCCAAACATATGTATTTCATGCAGTTATTGTTTACGATAAGAAATTGAAAATTCTTCCTGCTATGATAGTATCATATAAATTTCAAGTTAATCCAGTTGCTTACAAAATAATTTCTAAATCTTACTGTGTATGGTAAAGTATAGTGTGATTTGAGATCAGAAACATGAGAAACTTGCTTCAAGTTCGCCTTGCTTTTGAATGTGAAAAAGCTATCTTTTTATTGTATTTCGTTAGGTTTGTGGAGACGTTGTTCATAGTGAAAGTTGGAATTACTGTATTGAAACTTTTCAACCTGCGTTCTTGTAATGATATTGATTTTTGAAATTAAAGCCAAGTTCTATCAGTAGAGTTTATCGGAAATTCTTGAACCAATTGTTTATCCCACGCTCCAGTTAATTACAATTCTGTAGGGAAATCTTATATATAAATATTATTTAGATATGTGATACAACAAAATTGTTTTGCCCCATGGATTTGAAACTGTAGTTCATTCAGGTTCGATTTCTTTTTAATATTATGTAATTGAATCTTGTTACCAACAGCATGTAATACTTTCTCTTTGATGTTTGTCATATGTCAAGTGTACATTGCTGTTTGTCACCTTGGTAATGTAGTTATTTTCCGTGTTTATGATGATCACAAGAAGTCGTTTTAACACATTTTATCCAAGGTCTTTGTTGTTAAATTAAGCAGAATTTAAACAGAAAATTTGAATGGTCAAAGGTAGCAGATGATGATAATAATTTGATAACAATACACCCGGTTATTAGTACTGTTTGTTCAGTACTTAAACACCTTAAAATTGCGATGAACATCGGGAATAGTTCTATTTTTGGAGTAACTTCAGATCTCAAAACTAATTGCTATTATTGTCACCGTACAACAATACCACTCGTAAAATCAACCTAGTCGTTTTTCGTTCCTTTATTCACAGTCATTCATATTATTATTATTATGTGGTCGCGGTTGGCAACCATCGCACGCTGAAAAGCGAGACAAAAGTGTCTCTGTTACGTCACGTTAACTCGGACGTGCTTGAACCCAACCCGACCTTACCGCGCTTCGTCGCCCCCGCCTAAAACGGATTCGTTTGAGATAAATAATGAATTAATAATATTCAAGGATATTCAATCGATCGATTTATTAAATGAATTTATTACGATTGACCCATACCGTGAAATACTTTGAAATTGAAGCATCCGAGAGTTGCTGCTTTTGCCCTCGCATAATACCTGACTAAAATAGATAGAAACATTCCACAAGAGTCACTGCAAGGACAAATTGGTATACCGGTAGTAGAAATCTGGTATTTGAATCAGTTTAAAAAAAGGTGAAAATTTTATCTGGAGTGGGATCTACTGAATCAATAAATTTATTACCCCTTATGTTTCTGTGTTTTCAGCGATTACATGGATGTAGGGTACAAAATTGTGAAACACCATTCGATATTACCAACTTGTGCATTTCATTTATAAAGAATGTTTTAAAATCAATCTTGATATTGGTTTTCTAAATTTCATTAACGCGCAATTTGGTACGAACCAACCTATCTGAAAAGGAAAAATGCTTACGTGAATTAGTAAAACATTACACTTCCATTATATTGTTTCTTTGTTTTCGCAAGCGTTTGTCGTGTTATGCATAGCACCCATTGTGCTTTTGACTTAGCATATGCATAGTCATCAATGTTTACAATAGATAGATAAGATATATATCACGCTTGCAATAAAAAAAAGTCCCGCGGCCGCAAATGTCATCCCGTGTATTTAATAATTTATTTCTTCCGCGTTACCTAAAATGAAATTAGTGTCGAAACATATTTAAATAGTGTGTGGGCCAAATATGTTTACCAACGATACAAAAATCAATATTTCAGACTGTTGTGCACAGAAAGTGAGTTCGTTTTTTTTGTAATGACGTTGGATTGAGTAGAAAATGGATGAAAAACAACAATTATTGTGCCTCGCGCGTTTTGTGTTTATTTTTGATTACAGTTGTTGTCATTCTGAACGCGGAAACACCGACCTAAAATGAATTGTGTCATGTCATGACCTACCGGTATATGATGAAAATATAGAAATATGGGACATTTGGAAAGCAAATGCTCTGTTTACATTGAATAATGAATTCGAAATATTCTTAAATTAATTCTCCACCAACTAGTAGATGGTGACTGTGCCAACTTTGTCTCAGATATATCGGAAGTGAATCCTATTTGTGAAAGCTTTCAAATCGAATTCACAAATTCTCACCTATGAAGAGAAATAATATTTTGGTTACTATAGTAATTTTACAAAGAAAAGGGGAAATTATTGGCCTTTTTTTGCAAAAATTTCCAGGAAAAAAAAGATATTGTGGTTTCTGTGGTCTTTTTACATATGAGCAAGAAATAGCCTTTATTTCCATCTTTTGTTATGAAACGGCGATGTCCGTGGCGCCTAAAATACGTTATCAATTTTCATTAAATAATTAAAATGTAAATTTTTTTTTGATGTTCCGTAAGATATGTATAGTGTTCAGCAATGTTTCATATTCCCAGTCAAACACACAATTCACCATCAGTCTGTTTTTGTACCAGTTCATTCCATATACATACACCTGCTATAAAGTGGTATTCAGTTTCATTTCTGTAATAACGCTATACCCCGAACAAAGCCATTCGGCGACTTACGAATTCCGCACGCCATTGTTGAGCGTATCTTTAAAATCAAAAAAGCCTTTTAAATGCGATTTTATTATTCGTTTGTTTTTTTGGCATAGTTGATTCGTGGATATCATAATTTCTACTTATGCTTCGGCGTGTATTGTTCTGGCTTCTCATAGCATTTAGGAAATTCCTTTTACAGCATGTTTTGTTAAATAACATTCATCTCCGGTGGTTCCGACAAATTACGTGCCAATGGCGCGCAGGCGGTATAGTCGAACACTACATGATCTTCCGTGAAAATCAAAAATAGACTCGACCAGTGACAAACACTTCTCGGATTCCTCTATAATCGATATTATAGACTCGATTTTTGCGTCAGGAATGTGGTGGCGGTTTTATTCGAAATACGTTTGCACTCATTTATCGATCGGCCTGTCCTTTTGACAAAAGTAATTTATTATGCTGTGAACTTACTCGATATTGCTTTGATACGTTTTCAGCTGCCCAATAGCGCGTGATATGACGACTCTTTGAGTGTAATGAAATGGTAACGCGTGGGCGCTGAATTTCCTATATGGTGATTGTTGTGAAACCTCGTTTTACTATTCATTTCAATATCACATATTTCAAATCCTATTATAAGAAGACAAAAAAATTTGATACACTTACAATGCTATCGTGTTCTGTTAACTTTTCATCCCCCAAAGTGACTTTGACCGACCGAATTTGAAAACCACTTTTAAGTGCATTTTTTTTGTAAATTATGTAGGTTGATGCTTATAGTACTTTACCCAAGCTAGGAATAAAAATCACTATTTTATCGACCTGTTATTTCCAAAATCCTTCATTCACACCTATTTTTTTTATTGAATTGCGATATGAAACCAGTGCCTTGTATATTCATCATCACTTGGGTGCAATGCGTTTTTGCCACTTATACCCCTAATACCAATAACAAAATTATCACCTCTGACGTCGGCAATACAGCTTTGATGTAGCGCCGACGTTTGATCGTCGTAGGCACAGTTCCGCATAAATGTCATTCACATATACCTATTATTGTTGTTTGAAATGTATCGCCAGGAACCAATTTCCCATCGTAAAAGCGGTGATACTGTGTCATTATACAGCACCTTCACTATCTATTACTCCCGCTTATAGCATTGTGTTCCATTTCTGAATATTCACAGGTTGATTGTTGAATTAACAACTGTTGAATATGGAAAACTCCGCTGCTGTTCTAAAACCTATTACAGGTCTATTTTAACGATTTGAATGGTTGTTATTGTGTCATTAGAACAACTGGGACAGCTGTTTACTGCTTGTTTTATTTCCTATTACCATAATATGTTTGTTAATCTTATTCTCATGTAAGTAAATTGGCCATTGGTGCTCTTAATTTGCATATAATGAGGGTTTTGATTGCGGTAGACCAACGTATTTGTCTCTTATTAGTGAATCGTTTTAATTCAAATATGTATATATCGAAAATAACATTAAACACATTCTATTATTAGTCTATTGTGGTGCATTCACTTTGAATATGAGCGTGTGCACATTCCCCACTATTTTTCGACCTCAAACTTGAAAAACATTCCATTGAAGGCCGTCTCTAATGTACGTGACGTCAATGTCGCCCAGCAGTATCTACAATCTTTTATCTATCTGGTGACATGCCATCGCAACATTAAGACTCGCAATTATGTGTTTTGACGTCATCGCTGTTTTGAATATTAAAATTACGATGTTACCTGCATTGAGAAAACAGACCGTTGTACCTGGTAAATGCCAGAATCCTTAATCTATTGTCATTGACTTGTATTGACCCCGTTTTTCCAGTATACAATGCAAGTGCTCATTTTGACTTTTCTACTTTTAAAAAATCAGTTTCTCATTTCATATGAGTCACTGTCTGAGTCTTTGTACACTCGCGCAATACTGTATTTCGAGTTTTTTTTTTTGCGTGGCCGTGTTTCATGAAGAAAACTACCATGTATAAAAATATCCAGGAATAGTGCATTGGATTAAGATTTACAGAAAAGAAAGCCTGTATTCGACTTTTAATTGTTCACAGGTTTGCCACTCGTACACTGACGAGTTCCAATAAATTACATTTTCTTCCTATAGTAATGCGTCGCAGACGTGTTACTCAGCACGGGTGATTTTTGCATTAGCTGTTGCGGCAATGCCGCATTTTTCACAGTTCACGCATTCGAGAGAAGTGAGACGGGTTCGTTTCATCCCCCGTCGATCTCCTTCCTCAGGGCGTCTTAATAAGTTCATAAGTTTGTTCTCGAACTTGCGTTTCTGGAATTTCTTCGACAGACACGAGGTCAAATACTGGCACGCCAACCAGTAAAAAAATATTCTAGAATTTGTCTTTGCAGTTACTTACGACTACGAGGTACTATCCCCGTTATTCTCCCATCATTGATTTTCGATTAATTTTTTTTATTCGATTTTTTGTATCTTTGCTTAGACAAAGATAAGTTGCTTTAGGTTAGGTTATTGTCCCACTTTCAAATTTATCCTGACCCAATTCTAATGAACAGATAGTCGAAGCAATAAAAATATAGCGCCAGTTTCGTTTAATCAAATTATCAATAAGTTGCGGCGGAATCACGATATGTCATTTTCAATAACACGTCTTCGTCGTAACTTCTTTGAATACTAATTAGTAATTATATTTATATTCGTTTTTCTAAAAGCTACCCCTATGTACGGATTTAAATGCAGGAAATTACTGGTGTCAGTCATGAAATTTGTTAATTGAAAGTATGCCAATATTTGTCGAACGTACGATTTTTTATTTTGGCTAAATGAAACCAACTGGGTGCCAGATTTAATATCGTATGCTAGTAGGTTTAGGCCGCTCGAAATCAGAACAAGGAAATACCGCTGCAACACTATACAGTACACAATTATGCATACAATTGAATTAAAAAGTAGAAACATAGTTATTAGGTAATCGTTTCCCCATATGACACCGACACAAAAAACTATTTTAATCGTTGTTAAAAATATACCAAAAATTTTAATGAATTGGCGTCAAATCGTTTTGAATGTGAAAGTAAATAGCCGGTAGTTAAATAGGAGTTTGTATCCTATTCATAAGGTCCTTTTATTAATTGGGACATGTTTTTGTGAAATAATTTGATTCCGCGTTTTGTTGTCTGCCTACGCGTCCATTTGTCCCAGAGTGAAAGCGCTCGCAATTTAATGATCATTTTCCAAATGTGGGATTACAACAAAATCACCCCTTGAGGTCGAATTATCTATTCCCCGTTCTTGGTCGATGTGTGTGCTGCTTTTAATGGTCTCTTTTGTTACATATGTAGGAAGGCATCATTGTTATTGTAGCTATTAATACATTGTATTCATAAGAGCTTGTTAGCGTATTGGGATAAGCGGGCCAATAAAAACCAAATTCCTCGGAATACCGAGCAATAACAGAATGTTGGTATTTCCGGACGAGACTAGAAAACGACCACTTGTGTCGAAAATCCGTCATTAACAGAAGAATAGTATTTCCCTTTGAAAGAAGTCCATTAAAAGATTACAGATGTGCTTATAATAATACAGTACATAATTGGTGGGAGAGTGGGGTTCGCCAAGGTATGGTGAGACGTTTACTCGTTGTACATGAATTCGAATGACATTTAAGTCCACAAAACTTGTCCGAAATTGTTTAGCTTTTACATCTTGGTATAATTCGTAGCTTTGACAGTTCATTTTGTGACTTTCTATGTTGTAATCCAATTCACTTAGTAAATAATAGAATATTTTTTTTTCATAATCATTAGGCTATACGAAAATTAAGCACTTTTGCCTTTCTCCACCCTTACATTAATCACCATTTGTTTAATATTTTATGCCCTTTTGCCATTGAAAAGTGTCCGTTTCTCCTATTCGCGACCCCGTTTCGTAACAGTTTTCGTTGTACGTAAGGACGTAAACACCTTATTAGGCTCGCCCAAGCGTCTACCTCGTCGCGTTTATTATGCGTCTTGTAACCATTACCAGGTTGACGTAATCGCGCTGCTAAGGTAAACAACGTCCTCGGGTCAAACGGGTTCATAAACATGTGACGCATTTTGCTCTCAAACTTATTTATGCGTTTCCGATATTCCAATTACTTAGGCGTCAAAACCTGTTTAGGCTAATTCAATTTAACCTAGTAGTTTTGCTGGAATATTTATTATCCTCTGAAATTTAGCTTTGCTACCGAACATTCAGTGTACACAAGAACGGTGATCGGAATTTATCTGCAACTCAGTTATGGGGGTTTCCTTTTCTCACACAGAAGCTTTCATTAGCTTTTATATACGATCATAAATTTGATGTCTACAATAATGCCTTGATTTGAAATCTTGCATGTTCATTTCGGAGTTGTTTTGTTATTCATAGTACGTATAAATTATGTTATATTGATATCTCATTCACCAAAGTTCATAAATACAGCAGTTCCCATTCTGTAATGCAATCATTCAAATAGCAATTATTTATGATATAAATGGGAAGTATTGGGGAAGTGTCAGCACTCATGTTGCTTCATTTTATTACACTAAATTACAGCTGATTCAAGAAACGTGACGTACAAACCCGTTTCTTTATAGTTCGCATGATTTAGTGCGATTTCAGCTTAATTATGCTGTATTGATAACGAACCTGTGCACTTTTGAACCCATGGACATTTGCAGCCACAGATTTTAGTTCCGACGTATAGATTGCGCCGATGGATATTTGTACCAATGGACGTTAGATGAGAGCAACTACTAATTTACAACAACAATAAATATTGCCTTTTCTGGGTGATGACTTTTCAACGTTGTGTTAGTTTATCAATAAGTTTATAACACTGTTGGGTGTTGGTACTGAATTTAAACTAGAAAATTTTTATGTACCACTTTAACATCCTATTGTCCACTTCATTGAATTCAAATCTTTATTTCAGTTTGCTGTGAAATCGATTCGCAAGGATCGAATCAAAGGCAAGAAAGATATGAAACATATCAGAAGAGAAATGAAAATAATGTCTTCACTTCATCATCCAAATATCATTCAAATACACGAAGGTAATTTTAGAATATATCCTACTTATCATATAAAAAGGACTGTAACTACTTTAGAGCTGTGCTTCCAGTTTTACCTGATACTCCACTTTCAGTATAGATTATAGAAGAACGGATTTTTATTCCATTGTTTTCATTATGCTTGGCAAAAGGATGACTTCACTGGTAACCCAATTGGTTAATATAATATATTAAATATAATATGTCATCATCATTGCGATTTTTTGTTTTTGTTTTTTGATTAATATGATATATAATCATAATTTCCATCTTTTTATGGGTTGAATTAGTCTGGGACTGGCATGTTTGTTTGATTGAAAGTTTCCGTATATGGTCTGTGTGTTGTAATAATTGAGAATTCCAAATGTGTTATCTTTTATTATTCAAACAGACACTCGCCGCCTTGACTAATATCATTAGGCAAGCCCATGTTTGTTTCCAGTTCCGACTGCAAAACGCACGACATTGCGTTCTGTTTTGATACTGTACTAATATTATTACGCTCTTGTTCCGTAATTGTGCGTTTGTAATCGATATTTGAGTGGTGTTTGGCTGCGATCGTTTTACTTGTTGCGTTAAACGAGGTCGTGGGCTACATGACGACAAACGGATAATTTTGAAGTGTCAAGTGTCCTTCGTCGTCACAAAAATATTTTTGTCGTTCCCAACTCGGCAATTTAACTGTCGCTAGCTCTCGACCTGTCATATTGCATCAGTATTATTATAGGACGTGTTCAGTTAGATTTTTCATATCGATATAACGAGATCAAAGCCGGCGTTTTTGGCGCGGTGAAATTGGGTTCGCTCTGATAAAACATCACAAACAAATGAAGTTTGTCACTTCTTGAATTTTGCATATGAATTTTTTATGGGGTGTATTGTCCGATTGACTGAAAAGTAAGCTTCTTTAAGACGGTCTTTGTTTTTCGATTGGTTTTTTCGTGTAACCTACTTTTTACACTTTCCTATTTTATATCAGGTACCAAGTATAGATATGGGTTCTTTTGTACAAAGCCCCCGCCGCTAATGGAAAAATGAGGTTTAAGTAAAACACCCCCGCCACTTTTTAAAATAAAAAATCAGCGATTGCATATTTATAATTAGGGTTAGGAATGATTTATAAATTTAAATTTTTAGCACAATCTGCATTCCGAACCTTAACCCTAACCGTACAATTACTATATTCGTATTTTGAGCGTCAGCGGTGGTTTTGTACAAAGTTTCCTAGGTTTGATTATGTATATGAGTTATATATATTTATTTATTATCTGCTTCGCGTAGCTTTCGTCTGTCGGATCAATGCACGCACCAATGACACAACATTTATCGCGCCACTCGTGACCTGAATGTGAGTTCAAAAGTAATGGCATGGCATTGCTCCGCTACTCAAGCGAAATTAACACGATGCAATACGATACTGATCTCTTAGATTCGTTCTATCGCCACTTGTATCTTTTAATGCGACAGGTTTTCAAACAGCGAAAAACCAATGTATTCTGGGCACAACACTGAAAACCGATTGTCTGAAAAGTTGACTCCTAGATCTTGTTTCCTTTATAAAGTGTAACAATGGACGGCGCCAAAATGCGCCTTACTGAGTGAAATTGAATATCGGCTAATTTTGTTTTCAAAGCATTATTGGTAACTCATATTGGTCCCCCAATTCTACCATTTAATAATTACCCAGGTAGGTCGTATAAAATGTTATTTTATTGTTATCATTAGTATTGATTGTAATGATAGTGTTGTAATATTTGCCTCAGCATCATTCCAAAGCTGTAATATTTTTGAAATATACATCCAAATACCCCCCAATACACATTTGCCAATGTACTGCTACTTGTTATAACCCCAAAGCGGATTGTGGGGGTATTTGGTGATCCAAGCGAGAATTTTGCGTGGGCGAAATTCAAATTGCATTTAGGCGATTTACCGCCGAATACACAAACGGAAATGTGTCGCGTCGGTGAGCCACAGTGAATCATCAGGTTGACTACCTGCTGATCACGTGATTTTTGTCAATAAAGCAGGTTGATCCGTCGCCCATGCCTCGAGTCGCTTTCGCGAATTAAAATTGCTGATCTGAATAACCATAGCTACTCTTTGTTTTGGACTTGTGTTGTCTACTCAATATTATTAGTCAGCACATTGCATTACCTTGTCTTGAACTTACCAACGATGTCACCGATACAATACACTTGCATAGTTGCATTAATTTCCCAATACTCGAAATGTGGAATACACAATATAGTTGTGACACAACGTAATACACTATTGCTAGTATCTATTGGTAAGCATTAAAGACGTATTTTGAACTCTGTAAGGTACCCGTTTCTTTGACGATTTCATGATATGAGCTCGTATTTGTCATATGCTTTCAGAAAGTAGGGTTTCGATTATGGTAATGTTTTAATCCTGGAAGGGGTATTAATTTTTGCGTTCACCTATTCAATCTGTATTTCCGGTTTGGGGTAGTTATCGCACTAATTTTCGAGGTACATACCCTTGGTATTCTTACTTTACTAATGCAAGGATGGCGCAATATAAGTCAATCGCACGTGATGAGCCGAAATCTGTCTTGTGCGTGCGTGGCCAAAAATATGTCTGTATTTTTGAGAAATGTTCCGCTTTGCACGATGGAAAATCACGTATTTGAATTTATATCGGTCGATGGCCTTTATCCATTTGAATAATCGATACTTGATTCTAACAAGTGCATTGCGCAACAGTGATCAGGTGATCGTGAAATTTGAAAGTATGCTTTTCATTTTTGTATTTAAGAATATAGACACGGGGAGACTTCCTAAATGATCTGATATTGATATATATTCATCAATTCACGAAACTAATCATAACAGGAAACGTATAGGCTTGCGACCGTTTATAAGTTCAGTGACAAAAATGACGCTTGTTATATCCATACGGTAAAATGTATATTATATTTAGCACGTAATGAGCATAAAATCAGTAATCTATGATATACCGGCTATAGTTTTGGGTTATTTTGTCGGAAAACTGTTTTCACCCAATAATTAAAGATTGCAAATTGTTTAAAATATTGTAGCTTTATTCTCCAGATATTCGTGGCCCATACCTAGAAAAGGTGAATATAATTCTACTAAATGATGCATGTATCAATTGTGTACAGGTCGTCTTTATATCACAACACGCTTGCAAGTTCCCAATGACGTCATTGTTGCTGTCATGTGTCGGGTGCATTGTTTCAGTATCATCGGAATCGTTCCCAATTTAGTCATACCCAATTGTTTATTGTTTACTTTTTCCGTTGTATACGGAATCCTTATGATCTTAATTGACAGGCAGGTAACACCCTATTCCCTCTGCTTCCCAGTTACCATGTAAGCATTTCCGCAGTTGATGTGAATGGAATTTATCGAACTCTTTTTCGCGTGAACTATCAATATAAACAACAGCGAAATGACATTTCTGATAATGGGTTGGAATCTGCCGCACACGAGATTGTTGCTTACCAACATCATTAACTTCTACACCGGCTATTTTACCGCAAATATTACGGTAGCATTAACTTAGTGATACATCGTAAGTTCGTAACATGCATAAGTTGCCAACAATTTTCAAGTGCTCGTATGTCAATATTCGTATGATATATACGTAAAAACTACGTGTTATTGAACCAGCTGAAACCGGTTTTCTGTTTCGTGAATCAATTTTTAATTACTTTATAGCACAGTTCACGACCACACATCGTGACAACTTATTTCATTCGTAACAGTATTCGCGTTACGGAAAATGAATTCGTTTATCTAACCTCAACCTCAATTTATTTTGCAGTTTTTGAAAATCAAGATAAAATTGTTATCGTTATGGAATATGCGCCTGGGGGAGAACTGTATGATCACCTAGCAAATAAAATGATAACTTCGGAGGAGGAATCTCGAGTGTTTTTTAAACAAATAGTGTCTGCCGTTCAATATTGTCATAAGGTATTGTGTGCCATTATTACCCGTCGTTGTCCTGAACTAAATTAAATATTAACTAATTTTGGGGAACCTATATGTTTTGTCGGACTATGTCCATATTACCTTTATCTGTATAGGTGAGTTCATAATATTTTTCCCTTTGCCCACTTGTTCTTAATAGAAAAACATGGTAACTTGTGCATATACTAGATTCAATGCACATTCTTCCCAACTCCGTCAATTAGCTAAATCAATGTAGATCACTAGGAATAAGTGTGCCAGGGGAGTGCACCTTCGTCGATGTTATTTGTGATATATGCTATATTATATATTTATGCCACAACAAGTTGCAATTGGTGGGATAGTCAACCGATTATTAGTATTCATTTATATTTTGGGGTACACTACCTTATATATTTCTTATTTGTTTTGTAGCTTGGTGTCGTCCACAGAGATCTGAAGCTTGAGAATATTCTTCTTGGGGAAAATTTCCAAATTAAGGTGAGTACAAACATGAAGCCGAAAATTCACTTCACAACTTAGTTTCATAAACCTATTTCCTCTTGTATATTTTGTTACATACCAATGTGTCTCTTATATTGACTTACCTTTAACACTAATAAAAAGCTCTTAGCTGGCTTTCAAATTGCTTCTGTCGAATTTGAACAAGAAAATTCACGTGACGACAAAAATACACATACAGGCCCTGATAAGAAAAATTCTTGCAAACAGTGAAGCCCTTACCAAATAACAACTTGGGCAGCTGACGTAATGTTTAAGGTGATTCTGGGTGAAACGTAACTGGATAATAAAGAACCTTTTGCGATATTGTGATATCACTACATTTAGAACAACACATAGACTGTATCTCTGCTTTTAAACTTGATACTTATGTCACATTTCGGTCTTCATCTCATTCCCAATTTTAGACCAGCGATCACTTCCAATTTTAGACGAGTGTTAGTGCATTTTGAGTATAGATAAATGTTTTTTACTACAGATTGCAGACTTCGGTTTAGCGAATATTTTTGAAAGCGGCCAACTTTTAGAAACGTTTTGTGGAAGTCCGCTCTACGCATCACCAGAAATTGTTAATGGAATTCCTTACGTTGGACCAGAGGTTTGTTTGTCTTTTATATTTCTATTATTTGTATGAAAAATGTGGAGTAGCTTTGTTTCTGACTTGATTTAGTCGGGTGCTGTTCTTTTGTACTGTCAATTTTATACGTTTTTATTTATTTTGCTCTGTCTTGTGCCAATTTCTGAACTATGTACACCTAAAACTCTGAGCTGGTCCAGACATTTTCGGAAAAACAACAGAACCAAACCCCGTTCTCAACACAATCAAGTGCTCTCACCTATAATGCTCTATTTGCCCAAGCTAATTTCGTGACACAATTACCACTTTGCTACATTCCTGGTAGGGCTAGGCACCCTTAGCTACATTTTTGTTCATGTTCAAGTAGTTCGCATGCTTTTGTGCTCAATTTTTCAATATTGGATCCTGTCGAGACGGCTAAATACGGAATACTGGCTGAAAAGTTTGTAAATTCTATTGTGATGGTAGCATTTTTTGCCAAGTCAAGTCTGAAAAAGAATGCAATACGTCGTGTATTTTAATTATTGTTCATCAGCATTCACAATGAATTATTGTGCTTTACCATTATGTTTATGCTTTGCTGGTGGGAGGCTTTTTTTGTATTGCTTTCAAATTTTCGTGTGGCAACTTCAAAATATACTGTAAATCTGAAAATCAGCACGATTCAATATGATATGGACATATACTTGTACTCATACGAACTAGATTACACATTCAACGTATTATGAGTTTTCATTAGCTTATTGATAATAATATTGCCTCTATTAACGTATATATTGAAATTGATATAAGTGATGTTTGTCAAATGGGTGGGGCGGATTATCAAAATCATAGGGCATGTCTGCAGATGTACTTACATAAGTATGTACTCATGTCCTTACCAGTTAACCAAATGTATAAATTTTCAAGCACTTGGAGATACAACGTTACGTTTATCAAGAGTCAACATAGGCTAAAAAACTCTTTTCATGATGATAGTTGATTTATTGTGCAGTTGGACCAACTAAATTTAAATAGGGTCATAAGTTTGACAGTAATCACGACATTGTTTCAGTGTGATCAATACTAAATAGAAAATTTGTATTCATTTTAGAATTTCTAGTTTGTCACACACATAAGTTCAGTCCAAATCGAAATAACTACCTTATGAACGAAATATATCTATATCTGAAATTTTTTCGGGGGGATTCGCTATTACTAGCTTCTCAAAAGTCGGTCTGCTTGGCGACTTTTTGACTTTGGCAATCATTTTAATTTTTGTTTTGTTCTTGGCCTTTGCTGTAACCTGTTAGCGAGTTTGTTCACATTCGAATTAATGCTTGTGTATTCGATTTAATCAAATTTTCACGAAAAAAGTTGATTATTTGAATATCGATTTTAACCCAATATTAGTCTGAAACCAAAATAAAATAAGATCAATAGAATTTCAATCAATATTTACCAAATAAATATCACTTAATTTTCAACCCTTCTCAACATATATTTTCCGGTAAACGCTGTGTGTTTTTAAAGATACAAAAAAACAAATTATACAAAGTTGGATCTGAAGCTGAAAGCCACGGTTACGCAATAGACGTTTTGAACTATCCGTCAATATTTTACATATCATTTTGCCTTTGCGTTTTGGATTTTCAATCAATTTGCTGGCATGAAAATATTAAGCCAAAAATAAATCATATCGCATTTAAACTCTACAAAAACTAGAAAAATTGTGTAACATAACTGAAATACCATATGTACGGTTATAAGATTCAGTTTTATGTGCCTAAAGCCCTAATTGTATCTAGGTTTTCACATTTGGATAGGTTACCTATCTATAATATTCAAAGATGGTTTTAAGTTGTGTAATAACATATGATTTTTGGCATCCCAGACCTTGCATTCGCAAGCTATTTTGCTGTTGAACGTAGCTGGAAATTCGAATTCGTCATTTCTCCCTATGGGCTAGCATGTACATTGAATACAGTTAATTAGTGTACTTATTTCCAAGGATTCGATACTATAACAGTTGACATACGGTAGTTTCTATTTATTCGTATCTGAAATAAACAAGTCTAGACTTTACACCTAAGTTCCTGCATAACTCGAATGCCTTCTACGTGGGTGACTGATAAAGTGATAATGCTTTATATACATTTTTGTTTGGCCACGTATTTTCGCTCTATTAGAGAGAGGCAATCAGTTCCATACGGGAATCCGTATCAATATTTTATATCTGAATAGTATATGGTGAAGGGTAGTACATGTACATGTACCTCGCTCCAAACGACACCCACCAAAGTATACATTACGTCATGCATCATCACTGTTATTTAAGACAACGTTATGTATGCTCAGCCTAAAAGTTTTATTGGGGTCGCCGTCGCGACGATCGAAATTTAAGAGTATTAAATCATACCAGATATTTTGACATCGTTGTAATGGTAATATATTGAGGTTTCATCGGTTGCGTGCCATTTGCTACGAGGTTCAAGCAAGTTCTTTTCGGTTTGGAACTTAGTATGAAGATGTAACTGATATTATATTATAAAGAAATGTCTTTGGATTTTGGTAAATTTAGGTATTTTCCGTATGTTAGTATTTTTTATTATTTCCATGATTTGTATATATTTCTAATGCATGTAATCGTGTATTCTTAAATTAATGATCTCGTGTTTAGAATCGAATTTGGTTCCCTTTTTGATTCTCAGCTCTCATTTTGTCAAACACGTTCTGCGCGTGGACGTACGTCAACGAAAATTGGAAAAATTCCTAATTTGTTAAGTCCTTACAACATATACCATATTTAGACTTCCTTTGATTAGACTCTGCAATACGTCCTATAAATAAATTTATACCGTGCCATGACGGATGTGCTTCTTATCCGCGTCTTTTTTGCGGAAATTTCAATCCGTGCTGCATAATAGTACAGATTTTTATATGGATAACTTCATAATTACCGTATGCGTTGACACAAATTCAAAATTGGAAATATTTTTAATTCAGCTGTATTTTCATCATGTAATGATTTATTAGTTTCAAGTAACGATTCCTCGGACATCTTTGTCGAGTGATTGATGACAACGTTATATCACGAATAGCGCGCCAGGGCAACAATTGGTATTTTTGCCATTTTACGACCTCTTTGATAAATGTTCAAAAAAAAATTTTTTTTTTTGATTGCACAAGAAAATTTATCAACACCGTATTGATTAAAATAAAATAAAATAAATAAATAAAATAAACCTGGTTAAGTTATATTAATACCTAAATTCATAACCAAATTGAAATTGTAACGAAACTTCATCAATTAATCTGAATAATAAAAGTTCAAAATTCGTTCAAGTTCAAATGAATGCTATTGAAACATAAAAGATAACCGGTATATAGAAAATGATAAAATATATTCGATCTTGCGTTATGCTTCGAAATTGAAGAAGTGCGTAGTTTCACTTTCTGTTGCCACAGTTCATCAGTTGTTGGCCATGAGATTAGCTTTTATTGTAATTGAATCAGGCTTGCTGGTGCTCTGTGTAATCTTCATTCAGTCGCATATAACTGCTCATAGCAGAGTGTATAGGTTTTTCTCACTACCTAACTATTAAGTTCGCTCCATTTGGTAGCTACGTCATAGTCACGTCCCTATCGCATGTTTTTTGGGTATAAGGTCATTGCCCCATGTTTTAGGAGTGTTCTAACCATGACAATAATCATATTACTTTTCATGTTTTATTTAATGAGTATATAGGTGTGTCTGTAAGAACATTCTGGAATTTTTTGACCGTCGGATTTTGAAGTCGTGTGTATAATTAATTGACGATAAAGTTCAGTAACATATACGTTGTAATTGAAATCAACGTTTATTTCTTTTCTTTGTACTTTGCCCGCCTTCATAGTTTGGGTGGGACATATTGTTTGGAAAACTCTAGGGAGGTCTATCCAGTGAAAATCTCTTGTCATTTTTTCGCTCATTGTATTCGCTTTGTATTTGTAAAAGGATCGCTCATTGATTTGTGTGACGGTGCAAGCTGCATTTAGTAAACACCCCGCCTCAATGTATCTTGCCTCGTCAAACTGCCCAAAATAGGTCTATTTTACCGGGTGTATTTATCCTATAGTTTTTGCACATTGAATATCTTACTAAAATTACTTACAGTTTTATGTACATTATGTTTTTGACTACATACTGTAAGGCAGATAATTAATATAAATTAGATTTGTCGTTTATGACGTAATATTTCACGGGTTCTCAAATTGCATTGGCGATGTCATGATAAATGTTTCTTTTCATAACGTTTGAGAGAGCCACGTCACGATATCTTGTTAAAGGGTTGTACTTGATCACGGGTTCACATAGGAAACTAATCGAAATTGCAGGTGAACTAAAATGCGATCAAATTAGCGAAACGCTTTACTACATAATTCATCGTCCGCTTTGAGCATCAATTATTAAACACCCTTGTTTTGAAGACTTTAACCAATATGTTGTGCAGAATCAGACTTCTATGCAATTCGGTGCACTTTGTGTTGTCAGTGATATTTCCGAACGCGTCGTAACGTCAGTGATTGTCACGTCAGCCGCTTCTGCTAGTTGTTACCTTACTTTACTATTTATGACGTAAACGTCACCTCGATATGTCACAATATAGCACAAGTTAATTGCTTGACGCTTACAACGTTTATTGGTTATGTAACGTAACATTTTAGCGGGGTAACAAACATAATTGTCGATGTAGGCTAGGTCAGCTTATATAGCACAAATACACCTAACCACATAGAAATTCAAGTCTCATGTTTGAGCACATTTTACCATCTTATACTCGGGAATCCGAGACAATCATTTCATTGAACTCGACTGGAATACAGTAGTATGTACTCCCGTGGTGTGTGTACCAGGTTGGGGTTGGGCCATAATTTCATTCCGATTTTCCTTGTTCTGACACTGTCTGTGTTAACCAAGTAAACATACCCCCTGTCCATAGGTTCTACTCCCTTTACACAACTTGATGTAAAGAAGACGAACATAATTAGTTACCTCCATTTTGGTACACACACTTCTGGAGCGCCCATTAGTACTTAGTCTCACAATCGGGCACATTTTTTATGCGTTTTCTAACCGCTTTATGCTGGTGCGGACATTATGAATAAACATTACATTTAATTGCAGGTCGACAGTTGGTCTATGGGGGTTCTATTGTACGCACTCGTATACGGCATGATGCCCTTTGACGGGAGCGATTATAAAACGCTGACTCGACAAATATCGCATGGCAAATATTCAAGACAAACAAAGTACCCAGGTTAGTAATTTTCCATTGTTTAGGTTGGTATTCTTCCATCGCTAGGGTCTGATACAAGACGAGAATATAATTTTATTGTTCAAAAAGTTGTTTTGGGTATTCTTTGGGTTACGTATTATTTTCAATTATTTGGCGAAGTTTTAAGCTGTGCATAAAAAAAAGAATGTGATATAGTGCTATCATGCATTCGGTATGTAAATAGCAGGTAAGCTGTGACACTCCTTAAATTAGGTGAATATTTTCTATATTTATATCGGATATAGAACACAGATAGCGACCTTTCGTTCAGTTACCAGTCCAGGTCACATGTTCGTTTGGAGTTCAGACGCATGTCATTTTAGCGAAAACTCTTTATTAGCAACCCATTTTTGTTAGTTGCTGGTCAAATGAGAGATAGATTGTCCGTTTGGACAAAGGAAATATCGGCTAAATGGGAGTATTTACTATTGACCACCAAACAATCAAACTATTTATTCCTACAATTGACCAGGCCACGTTTCAATTACATTTATGTCTTTATTTTTAGATGCTGCGGATCTCATCGGCAGAATGTTAGTTGTCGACTCTTCATCTCGAGCTAACATCGATGAGATTGCAAATCACCATTGGTTAAAACAACCGTCGCCTTCTCGTACTGCGGTATCGCCAGTAATGGTACATCAAATTTTAGACAACAATGCAAATCACATAGACCCTCATAAACAGCTTTATCCATTAGGAGTGCCTTTGCCGCCTAGTTTTTCCCCAACCATAGCCAATTATGCTGCTGTGGCTGTGACACCAAGTCCACCTCCCAAATCACCAATACAACAAATTGGTACAACTGTATTGACCCCTTGTGCTATGGAGAACTGTGCGCACTCAAACTGTCCAATGGCTTTTACGCAACCTAAAGGAATACTGAAGCGAATAAACGGACACACTAATTCTGTAGTTCAGCCTATTGCCGGGAATAATACTTTGGCGCCTCTCCAACCAACATGGAGTCCTCAGTATGCAAACCCTGTGCAACAAACTCATCCTAACGGCGTAGCCGCATTTAATAAAGACGTAGCTTGCGGTTTGCAAGCGAAAGATAGTTTAAAATTGAAGGCAAAGCCGCTTGGAGCCTCAGGAAAACGAAGAGTTTTACGATCCAAACGAGATCGCGAAAGTGGTTATTATTCATCACCGGAAAGAACACCTGTGGAAACTCAATCTGTGCAAGTATCTGCGCCCGTTTTTACCTTTGCTCAACCCGTTATCAAGCCTCAGTTAACCACAAATATTTCCCAAGATTGTTTTAAAACGAGACAACATCCTCAACAACCTGACAACTTCGTAACAAATCAATTTTGTGGACTGCCTTATGGATATGTGATGCCGGTGACAAACGTTAATCAAACTATGCCAATTATAGAAGGACAGACCATGTCGTACTATCCACATGTTCCAATCACGTTGAACGGTACAGTAGAACAAGGAATCCATGCGAACGTACTGCCATATACGATTACCACTTTAAACGACGAGTCGCAAACTCGCGGGAAAAGGCCAATCAGCACTTACAGTGATTCAAGCATTCTTTCATCTGATTCTTTTGAACTTTGCACTTTTGAATCACCACTGTCAACTGCGCCCGGCGTTTTACCCACTGGTGCCTACACCACAGCAGACGCTGCTATGGTAAATTTAGTGCATCCAACGGCTGCATATAGGACGGAAGTAACGCGTCCATCCTCACTGCCTATGTCGATTCCTCATTCAGATGGCGGAGGGCGCTGTTCGCCGATTCCGTCCGGCGCTCTAACGCCCACTAGTGCAAAACTGAACCACGATTTGAGACAAATTTTGGCGCCAAATCGTCCAAGGCGTCGCCATACGAAATCAAACGAAGAGCCGGTACAACATAACTCCTATACCGCGAATATGGGTGACGAGCAAGCCCAGTTGGAAGAAATGATGAGACAACTTAGCTTGGATTTGGAACGAGCCTGCAAAAAAGGAATTGATATGAAAGTGTCATTAACTGCAAGCGCAGAAGTTTAACTTTTTACTAGCCAGTTGGTACAAACACTGAATTGTTCTATAGTTCCGCAATACTGCTGATTATCAGTGACAGAATAATCAAATAATTAGTAATTAATCCACAAATTATTATCAAAACCTAATGCCGTCAAAGCTATACTGAACGTGAGCAAATATGGACTACGTCTCTGAATTGAGAATTAAACTATCGCATTTTATGCTCTATCCTTAGTGTGATTTACTTAAGTCGAGTAGGTACTTCTCTAGTTTCTGAATTTAAAATTGGTTGAAATATTCGTTTTAATGCCAAATTTCACCAATAGTTATGCGAATGCCGCAGCTTTTTACCTTTTGTGTATAACTCGCTATTTGATGAAATCGAAAACTTAATTTCTTGTTGGTAATTTTATTATCCGCATAATATTTCTGACTTTTTTGATACCTTAATTAATTAAACCTTTGCTATCACTGACGCTAATTTTTCTCTCTCTATTTTCCACTGTGCACAGCGTACGTCGTATTTTTTCGTTTTCTTCTCTGCATTGGTGTTCACACGATTACAAAGTGTTTTTTTTTCTTTCAAAATTCTGTGTGGTTTTTCAATATTTGGTAAATTGTTCCTTCAGATGTCGTAATTCGATGGTATGGACTCTAAAGAATGAGCCATAGCATCGATTTCATCGCCTTAATCTTAAGCATTAGGCTAGAAGAAATTGTGATTAGGGTGTATATTAATTAGTTGCATATAGATATGCTTTCGGTTATTGCTTCAAACGTTTTACATGGATAAGCAAACATAATCTCAGTGCCATTTCTCGTGTATAATTCTGTTTTCCTTCTCTTTTGGTATACATAAATCAGATTCTATGATTATTTGATCTTCAAATGTGCATATTTGCACTCAGGTATGTCGCTGTAGCTGACACTGGAGTCAAACAAAATAGCCGCAGTTCGAAAATCTGATTTTTTCTCGCCTGTTTTTCTCATTGTTTAAAGTGTTGCATTAAATTGTACTGTAGTCTCAGACGTGGTCGGTTCAACTAACTGAATAAATTTTCCTGATCTTTAATTTGTCTTGATCATTTTTCCTCCTTTTTCGTATTTCTTTCTATTACTTGAACAAATTCTATCGTTAATTTTCAAATTCTACGGTGACTTTTTTATTTTTCCTTTTGCTAAAATGATTAATCGTTGCCGTGCGATTTGTTGATGCCTTTGCAAAGCTTGGCAGGTTTGTTACTGCAAATAAAATTTGCAAAACGATATAGGTTGTTGTTTGTCTTGTGAGGGAGAAAGATAGGGCGCTTACGATTCTTATCTGATGTAATGATCAACGTAGTCAGTCCACTTGCAGATATCTTAAGCAACTATTTGCCTAGTATAGATACGCTAGAACATAGGTTCTCAAAGTGCTCCGTACGGAGCCCCAGGGCTCCGCGAGAGAAACCCAGGGGCTCCGCGAGCTATTCGATTACTCTTCGAAATACTGACTCAAAATTTTGTAACTGTTGAAAGAAGCAATAACAGCGTTGATAAAATCTGACAACAATACAGCCTCGAAATGTGGTAAAAAGGCTGAATTAAAAATGACATTATTTATAAGCAGGAGCGCAGCCAGGATTCTTAAGAGGGAGGTGGTTCAAAATTGGAATCGGAAATTTCCGCGCAACATTCTTCGCCATTAAAAAAACGGATAACGAGATTTCTGTTGCGTAAAATATTCAATCCATGACCGATGCGAGCATTCAACGTGTCTCTTCGTTATAATGTAATTGTGATCATCGTTACTCAAGTTTGATTCGAGATTAGTATTACTTAAATGAAAGAATACTATTCTAAAATAACATAAAATATGTAATAAACTGCCAACAATAAATAAAGTGGAGTCGTATTTTCGCGATCTTGGGATTTGTCAAACTTGATTTGTTCTTTCGCACCTGAGATTATTTTTAAGCAGGATATCGCCGTTTAAAAAATCACAATGTCTGGGCAAAATACGAACAATTAGAATTTATTTTATTGCATTCGGCTCCGTCGGTAGTTTCAGAATGAAAAAAGGTACATCGTGGATCGCGTGCACAATGGATTGCGTGCGGCTTCGTCGGTAGTTTCAGAATGGGAAAAAAAGGTACATCGCGCGCACAATTGACTGTGTTTCGATTTCGCAGTTACTACGACGAAAACCTAACACAGTGGTCCTTAAAACATGGGTCGCGGAAGGTTTAAAAATGGGTCGCGACAAGGTCGTCAATGCAAGGGCAATCTAAGAGGAGAAGGAAGAATTTTCAGCTTTCCCAATGTTTCAATTTAGCTTCTAAACTCTGGTATTTAAAAATAATGAAATATAAAATTTCATTCACGGAAAGAACTGTCTTGTGCTCATTGTTACATCACAATTCTGATATGCCAGTCACGTGTATTAGTTTTATGGTATCGGTAACCATGCACGTCGCTTGTCGTTGTGTTGACCGCGTGGAATGTCGTCTTAGTGGATAAAAATAACCAACAATGGGTGTCTTTTTGGTAATGTAAATTGTAATAGACGACGCAATGAAAAAGCTCGCTTCTCGACATTAGATTATTCAATTTCTAGAGAAAATGTGACTTCATCTCGAGGCACCATTTACCGCGAACGAAGCAGTGTGTGCACATTTGATGAGTAAAAAGTTGTATATTGCGAGAGATACCGAAGGCCAGCTAGGATGTTGTGTTTGCGACGAACAGGGGACGCCTTTTCTGCTACAATTCGCGACAAGGCACTTGTGCGAGCGAGGATATTTGGCACTGGCGGTTATCAAAACTAAGCTCGCAATCGCCTCGATACCCGTGACAACTTGTGTATTGCGTTAAGTAAAATAGAGCTGTGTATTGAAGATATAATGAAAAGGAAATTTCAGTTTCATCAATCTCACTGAGTCAATGGACTGTTTCTAATAAATAGTTGTCTGTATTTGAGTCAAACTGTACTAACATTAAAAACACATTTTGCATTATTTAGGATTGGGTCGCGAGTATTCATAAAACTCAGATTTGGGTCGCGCTCGAAAAAGTTTAAGAACCACTGACCTAACATAACACCAAATTTTGTGATTTACAATGTCTATAAAAGCGTTTTCAATCTGAGGTGAGTCTGCTGAAGCCAAACGTGTGATCTTCTATTTTAAGTTTCAGTTTTAATATTTTAGAATGCCGTTTTTCAATCAAGAAATTTGAGTTGCGGATTTATCTCTTTATTAATTATAATTTTTAACATTTCGTCGCAGATGACTATTATATGGTAACATGTTTTTCACATTGAACTCATAATTTCCCACGAGAACAAAAAAGGAATTAACGTCGTCATTGTGTAACAATACATGTATATGCCGAGGGAAATTTTTGATTTAAGGAGAATAAACACATGCGTAAAGATGTTCAAAACACGCCATGCTGACGAAAAAAATCGGCGATTGTAACAAAATAAAATCGCGCACGTTATTAGCGGCCTGTTAAGTCTTCCAAAAATGTCAAAAGAGAAAAGATTCGACCCCAAATTTATTAATATGTTCGTCAAGTGTCAAATTTACAGCTTTAGTATGAAATTCAGATTCATTTATGGCTTGTGTTAATCCTATTAAAAAAGGTTCAGCATTTAAAATAGGTAAAGTACTTTTAACTTGCCCAGGAATATTAATCTGAAAGTAACAATTTTAACATTTATTTTGGGGCTCCGCGAATAATATTCAACTTTTCAAGGGCTCCGCAACACCAAAAGTTTGAGAACCCCTGCGCTAGAAGAAGCCCAACGATCTGCGCCTCAGCATTCTAAAATTAGAAGGCATGGTTAAATGATAGTTTATTTGGATCACTTATTGATGTCGATTAAATATATAGAATTTGAAATAGGAATGGATGAACAAACCAAAGTTCGAAACGATAAAACTGGGATATTTCTTTCGTGCAACTCATAGGGATGAGAGGTTGATAGAAGAGGACTTGTGAAACTTTGCGTTCCTTGCCAAAAAGCTCCATCGACATATATTGCTACAGAGGGCAAAGAATGAGACGGACGACGTTATATAAATAAGCAAACTTCGGCGTGATGGCATGAGAAAATTCTGCCACGATTCCTAGCATTGGCAGGTTCGTTTGAGTAACTGGAGTCTTGTGATGAATATGAGAGCGTAATAATTTCCATTTTTTAAAACAAAGCAACTCTTTTGTTTGAGACTTTGCGATGGAGTAATCTTGGGATTTACTTAAAATCCCTTGTATATATGTACTCTCTCTATTTGCCAGATTTTCTTTTCTTCCAATCGTGATCGAAATTTCATAAAGTGTAATGCCACTTCATAAATTTACAATTGTCGAACACCAGTCCATGCTATTTAAATTTCGCCACGTATATATATTCTCTTGCCATATATATTATTTGATAGCACGAATATTGGAAAAAACAAGACGAATCGTTTTATATTTGATACGAATACACAGTGCAGATACAGCGTGCCGTGGGAGATTTACGGGTGTACCGCGACACTCTCGAAGTCACCGGAAAGCGCCAGTGTCTTGTCTGATTAAATTTAACAATAATTACCCAAATTTTCGATAATTAGGTTCACTACGCCCTACGGCAATCAATTAACAACTCCGATTCGTATTATTCAGTGGTTCTTAACCTTTTTTGCATATTTGACCCCTTTATCAAACAAGATCACATGATTTACCCCCAATACAGCCGGATTTGCGGAGTTTTTATTTATTATTTAATGCGAAAATAACACAGAAAGATGAGAGCATGAACAGGTAAACTACCGTGTTTCCCCGAAAATAAGACTGGGTCTAGACTAGATTATCAATCATTTAAAACGGGTAGGGGAGATGTCTTGCTATCGGCTAGGTCAAAAAAACATTTCGGTACTCCTGAAGTATGCGCACTAAGATGTCGCATAACCTGCCCCCTAACCTGAGTTCAGGTTGTGCGCCATCTTCAGGAGGTCCACCATTTCGCGTAATTGACTGGCTTCTAGGTCTTATTTTCGGGGAAACACGGTATCAGCTTCATAAATATCTCATCCCGGATTCAGTAATGATAATATTGTTCTCTTGAAATCGGAACCATGATTTACAAACTGTGATGTGAAAGATCAAACGCAAAGGATGGGCTTTTACCATTCGCGAGAGTGCGGTCACATTTGTTGCCCTTCGTCGAATAGCTAGCTCATTTATTGAACAATGAAGAGAGAACAAAGTGACATGGTTACCGTCAACTACGGATCAATGGTGACGATTGGTAGATGTTTGCAATAGGGCGAGGAAAATATTCCCAAACGACATCTGGCGAACTACATGCAACTCTGGAATTCATTCAGCGATATTTCTGGCATTTTGCAGAAGTCTTGACAAGTTTCCTACAATCCTGATACTTACATCGATTGGGAACGATTAGTCAGGGTAACGCTGGCGCCAGACCATGACGCATATCCCAATTAAACCGTGGGATAGCGCAAACTCTTTTAGAGTTTTTATATACCACAGAACCAGCTTACAAATCCCAACACCAACAACACAAAAGAATAAAATATTTTAGAAAATTACAACAAATCATCTTCACTATCACTTATAATAATCGCCACATCATTATTTTCAGTTTTTTCATCAACTGTTAGATCGCATGGTTCATCAGTGTCCCTGTTCAACTTGAACTTCTTTGAAGATGAAGGACCCTCATCTACAGGCATTTCCCTTTTCAAATGATTTTCATGATTGAATTCAGTTCTAGTTTCCCAATTTTCACAAAATGTTTTATATGAAGAACTCTTTCTAGAGTTTGATTTCGAGGAAGGTAAAGAAAGTTCAGGCTTATTAAAAGAGATAAAAGATGATTGTGGACCAGGAACGAGGTAGCTTATAGTTGCATAAGGTGTGAAGTGGAAATCCTCCCTAAAAAAAAAATTCACTAAATATATTTTGCCCACAATATTTAATAGCATGCCAGTACCAAGTTGAACAGTTGTACATATTAGCCAGGGGCCAGAAAAATCCACAGGAATCATCAAAAGGAAGGAGTCTAGTCTCGGCCATATAATTATAGGATAGGATTAACATATTTATCCCGGGGGAGAGGAAAGTCCAAAAGACAGCATAATTATATGGCGAACCACAGCCTCTCGTCCGGTTACCAGTCCATGTCGGGTATGAGATTAGTTAAGCCAGTTATTTGTTTTCGAAGCATGGAGTTGATGGTAAAGGAACCAGCGGTTACTACGGCGGTGAGGAGTCCAGCAATCCTCTCGCACATACCTATTCCCGCATGGGATTCGAACCCACGTAGGGTAATCAGAGGTGCAGTGGAGAGCGTACTCTTAGAGCTTAACACGATACGCCACACTGTCAAGCTTATGCCGGTATATGATTGTGGGGCTCCATGACACTATCGGGTGATTTCTGGTTACTGTTTATACAGCTCCCTCTTCCATTCATATTGAATGACTTTTCATTATTGCATTTCACTCTAAACAAGGCCAGACCCACTCATAGTTTTACCTTTCCCTTTTGAAATTTCTAACAAGATTCAAGACCATAGTTCACTATGTAAATTGTGAGTGCCACAATGCGCTTTCCACTCAGTTGGATGTAAGAGCACTTCCAAATCCGTACACCAGCGTTTTCCATTCCCGGCCAACGCGAGTTTTTTCCCTGATAAGCTTCCAACACGCGAAGAAAAAGTTTGGGAACTGCTGCCGCACACAATCATTCCAATAATATTTAGTTATGACAATCAAAGATCAGACAAAATCTTACTTAAGATATTGATTCATGATCATAAACACAATGATCCGTTGTACATCTTCAGAAGTCATTGCTTTCAAATTAGAATTTTGAGTTTTGAATTTTCCTCGTCCCCTGGCAGCATCTACCAATTTAGCTCCAGTTAATCTTTCTCCGGCCGCAGAAGATTTTTGGGTGATTGAAACCAAATCATTGCACAGTTCTGTTATATCTTTGAAGTTTTCACCTAACAAGAACAAAAATATATTTGTTTCAGATTTTATACACTGTTATATTTCCGTTTCGATTGATCAAACTATTTTAATACAGAAACTACAACAGGAGAAGCATCAGAATAGCCAAAATAGAACTGAAAATATTACTTTATTTCCGCGTAAAATGAACTTATGAACCAATGAACTTATTCAGAAATGATTATAAAATTTGATATAAATTGAAAATTGTACACACATCGTGACAGATGCATTGACCAAGTTCCCCATAAATTTAAGTTAACTGCTAAGTGCAGAGAAAAAGACAAAAACCAGAAAAGTACAAATATTAAGAATTTAATAATAGACAAATCAGACAATGTCACATAAAACATAATTTCATGCTAGCCTCCTACTATCATCTACAAGGTTTGAATCTGAAAAAGTATTCACAAGATAAAAACGTGAATAATAAATCACCATTTGCAGAGCAGCAAACATCACAGCTACTTCGACAAAGGTCAGAATGCCATTCATTTCCAAAATGTGAAAAAAGAATTTTTCTGCGACACCTGGAATGAAACATAAGGTGAGAAGACAGTCCAACAGAACTTGATTTCCACCTGCATCCATGTTGCATATGTCATAAAGTAAATTAGAATAGTTGATTGGTGTATCATTCACTTATAAACAGTGTTAACTCACTTGTTTAGATTCTGACAATATTCCAACACTTTGTTCAAGTTGGTCAAACCAGTTTGTTCCGTAAGTACCATTGTGCTCTGTCGAAATATGTCTGCAAATCCATAATATAGTAAACATAATGCTGGCAATCCATCTCTACCAGCTCGACCTGATTCCTGTAGAAAGAAAACATGGAAAAAATGTTATGAAATGCCCAAAATATTTCCATCTGTATTCTCAAGATGCATGAAATCGAATACTTTGATTTCTGTTGTGAACAGGTAACAGAAGCAGGTATACTCTGAGAGAGCTAAGCATTGCAATCTAAAACAACATGATTCATATCTTATGCATCTTTTATATGGCTTCAATAACCTATAATTTGCAATTTGCTTTGACAACATTGACTACCGAGTCTATTCATCTCGGTGAGAGGAAAAAGATTAAGATATTAAACTACAGGAATGAAACCACACCAGGTCGGAGAATTATTTGTTCTAAATGTATGGACTTAATGGTGGAGGAATCTGTAGCCAAACCCAAACAGGTTAATCAGAAGTGCGAAGACCAGCATGTTCCAACCGCTTGAGGCAGGATGCTCCAACTGTCGAGTCTCGAGTTTATTCCGCACTCTTGCTTGTTTAGCTATCAGTTAAATGAAAAAGTGATTACCTGATAATAATTTTCGATGCTTTTGCTCATAGAAAAGTGGATAACAAAACGAACATCAGGTTTATCAATTCCCATTCCGAATGCAACAGTCGCACATATAATCTGTAGTCCAAGAGAAAATCTTGTTACTAGTAACATGTTAAAAAATTCTATTCCGATATTTAATTCAAGATACCTTAATCTTATTTCCCAGCCAAAGTTTATGTACTCTATATCTATCTTGTGCTTCCATCCTTGCATGATAGGCTGAAGCAGATAATCCGCGCTTACATAAAGAGTCTGAAACTTCCTCACAATTTTTACAAGAGAAGCAATAAATAATACCTGCAAAAAAGAGCGAGTCAAATAACCTAAGCTATGAAATGTGTAGGTTATTATATCATGATAGTTAGACCCTAACTTAAAAGCTGTTGGCATATCAACAGTCAGATAAGGACTAGATTCGGGCTCTTCAAACTGGGGGTCCCGACCCATATCCCCCTTGGGGGCAGCAAAAGCGCTCAATTGGGGATTGCGGTATGTTTCAAAAACATTATTGAAGTATTGAAAAAAAAGTATTCTAAAAAAAACGCTACACGCTCAAGTGGGCAGAGAAAATTTCATTTTGAGGTAGAGCGAAACTAGACGTGGACAGGCCATCATCATGATGAAAATATATACGAAAGAAGTGAGTCATAATGAAAAAAGTTTGAACAACACTGTGTAATAGTGTGTACTATAATAGTGTGTTCATTTGTTCATCCAATAGATAGAGTAACAGACTGACATGTGCACCATGACTGTCAACAACAGAAAAGTCAAATATGATAATGATCAATAATCCCTTGTGTATGAGAGTTTTAATTCTTTTATTCAGTGGTCAGACCAAATCATTCCCAGAGTCAGGGTGTGTGTGGTAAAATGAGGAAGGTATCTTAAACTGGACAGATAACAGCCACCACAAATTCGCTAGCCCTGTACATCTGAGTATCTGTTTGTAGAGAGGAGCATTCAAAAAAAATATCAGCAGCAATTAAAAATATTGAAATCTGAAAAAATTATGTCAAAAAAATGCACACATATATCATCTTAGATAGGTTATATGTTACCCATATCAAAATTAACTTTAATTTGATGCAGACAAAAAATCAAAACCATAATTACCTGATGATTTTTTAAATCTGGAATTGATAGTCAGTACAATATCATCAATTGTTGAATCATAGGAATCAGGCTTGGTTCGAACTTCATAATATAAGTTGGGCCGATTCAAACATGTTTTGAACACCATTGCAAATGGGATGTTCAATATCTTCTTTGTGTCAAGTGTGACCTGAATATCAAATTCAACATTGATTAGACCTGTTTCTACTCTAACTTTGCCAACACAATATCTACTTTACGAGTATTTCTCTGCTTCGTAGAAGATGTTTACATAAATCACCTTCAAGTCATGTGATAAAATGGTATCTATTGATGTCTGCGCTGCAGCAATGTATGTATATGTAGCACTTAGCATGACAATTGACACTTTATGCTGTTTTATTCGTGAACTGACATGAATTTGGGCAAACTCACACTAGAAAGAAAGTATTACACTACACACTATTACACACTAGAAAGTAGTATTTTTTTATTTTAGTGAAGTGTTCTCAAATAAAATCTATGAATGAAATATCTCAATAGCATTAGAGGTCAGATTAGAAATGCTACCAATAAAAAACCAATCATTCCTGAAAACTTATACAAATTTATCTTTAATAATTCAGCAAATTTAGAGCCATACGTATTCCTACCTTGTCAGTAGATGTAGCTGTTAGTCCAAGTAGTGGAGCATCAGGAAATTGTCGTTTGAGAATTCCCAATATCTTGTAATCTGTAATTAGAAAAAACATGGGTTGCATCTGACCATTCAAGTGAAATTTCAAAACAAAGATATTTGAATATACCTGGTCGGAAATCATTTCCCCACTGACTTGCACAATGAACCTCATCAATTGCTATCCTGCTCAAATTTCCTGATTTATAACATTTTTCTAACTGAAAAATGAAGATGGACAAAAAGTTGGGATTTGAATTTCAAGTTCAATTTATAAGCCATATGTGATATGATGACATTCATATAATGACAATATATTGTGTATATTGTATATATATATTATATATTTTGATTGAATTTGATTGGTGGGTTGAGGCTAAATCTAAAGCTACCAAAATGGAAGTGATATGAATTAAACTGAATAAATTTTGTTTTCAATGTGATGAACATGAATTGAGACAATTAAACTTGCAATTCACTGGATATCGGTGTACAAACAAGGCACTATAACTGTCGAGATAAAGTTACAGGTGAACAATGTAATAAAATTTCAAATTGGAAAGCTGTTACGTTACCTGAGCCATAAAACGTTTACTCTTGGAAATTTTTTCAGGTGTAACATACAATAATTTCAACTCTGAATCTTTTGCAACCATTTCTTTGTGTATTTCATTCACTTCTTGCTAAAGATGGCAACAAAGCTTAGTAATTGTCAGCATTTGACAGAAAATATAATTACAAGTAGCCTATTTCTATTGATAAAATTCATTCGTTACTGATTTGGTATTATGATTATCCGTCGATTTATTGAAACAGAAGTATTAAATCAGAGCTAAGCAATGATATTAATTAATAAGTGTTTTGCAGTTTTGAGAATGATGCAGCTTTTTTTGTTCCTTACCTAAAATTAATAAAAGGCAACAAAAAATTTGGAATGTATAGCCCAAATGCTGTAAAAATACATTCATTATTATTATTATGTATATTTTCAATAGCCATTAATATATTTTTTTGTGCGATGAGGTGCTAGGCTAACTCTAAAGTACCAATTGTGGTGCGGCTTTGACATGCATTTAATCTCATAAAGACATTCTCACAGAATTCAGTTCCTAACCCTAACTAAAATCACTGAGATTACACAACCGCTAAGATCGCATACCAAAATAGTACCCAAAAATTTTACCCTTGTGGAAGATGCACTGAGCTTCTTTGCATTTATTCCCAAGTTTTTCAAAGCAAGCACTTGATCTTCAATGAGTGATATCAGAGGTGATATCACAAGGGTCAACCCTTGATATAATAAAATGTGTAAGTGTAATTTAGAATTAGAAATGAGGTGTCATTTCACATAAATCTGAGCGCATTTTAATTCTAATATATTAAATATATAGAATTTATAAAACAACAGAATTTCAATGGTCCAACAAATGTAGTTCTGTGGCATAGCCTAAATTAAACTGAATATTACAAAACAGGCAAAATTGTGTGACAAAAAACTATTATATAGACAAAAATTGCAGGAAGGTTTTTCAAAATTCAATGACTTGAGCTCTATAGCCTGATGTATTGATAAGTGGTTGTTGGTAACTCGGTACATAGCTTCCCTGTATAGGTATCTAAAAGAACAGGTATTGTAGTCCGCAGGATGAATATGATTTGTTTCGTTTTGTTTTAGCAAGGATATAAACCTTAATATTTCTTATTACCAGATATCAAAGCAGGTGCCTGATAACAAAGACTTTTTCCTCCACCAGTAGGCATGATAAGTATAACATCTCGTTTACACATTGTTGCATTCATCGTCTCGAGTTGCATCTCTCGAAGATTTTTTACACCGAAATTGTCACACAGAACAGTTTTGAGTGCTTGACTCCAGTCAAAGTCTGGAAATATTATCAAATTAGAAGCAATAGATTGATAGATGTTTTCATTACTAGTCAGGCACTAATACACTATGATCACCAGATGGAAGCAATGCCACTTGTGCTTGCGAATCTACTACCATGCAATGAGCAGCATGAGTAATAGGAGGCACAGTGATCATTAAAATAATAATTTGGATTCTAAAATGCTCTGAAACAACTTGAAAAAAAAAATTAATTCATTGGTAATAAATAATGATGGTGGGATGATAAAATATGGGAATTAACTGTTTTATATATATATATTTCACAGTTCACATTCAAATTTCTTAACCACCGACCTAGTATATGCAACCCAGGAACTCGTGAATACTCAACTTTCAGTAGGATTTCAAACCTCTTAAAAAACGAGATTTTATAATTGTGTTGGATGTGCAATATTTCGATTTATGGAAAGGGTGATCAAGAAGATGCCAGAGAACCTTGACAACTTGTATGAGAATTATAAAGATTAATAACTACAAGCCTAAATCAAAAAGTCAAATAGGCTGAATGTTAAAAATTTTTTGAGTGAAAACCTGTTGAGTTCATTTTGATTTCATCTGCATCTTTTGTCAATTTATTTTTGTTGAATAAACTCTCTCGCTTCTCTATCTCTAATTCAAGATCTTTTTTTCTTGCTTGATATTTTTCCTGCCTTTCTAACAAGACTTGTACTTTTCTTTGAATTTCTGATATTGAGTTTGAAACACTCGAGAATTCATTCTTCAAATCTAAAAACAAAAGTTCCAATATACAAATAAAGCTGTAAAGCTATCATTACTAAAATGTGTAATGTCTGTTGAAATAATGGCCATGGCTAATAAATCAGATTTCTCTAACATATATGAAAGCATATGCAAAAGGGACTGGTTGTCTGAAGACTTTTTTAGATCACTTAAATCAAATTTTGCTCTACTATATTTTAAACTTTTATTAACAATCTGCTTTGACTCACCGTCAAGAGAAGCCATTATCAAAGCTTTGTTTATCAAAACACCATAAGATATATCGTAACTACTGAACTAACGCCAGTACACTTTCCCGCCAATAATTCGTAATGCAGGTAAGTTCCTTATTATCGTTTGCCTTGCAAATTGACTTCCACAGACATGGCAAAATCCGGGCTCACTGGTAAAATCATTCTTAATTTTTGCTGTGAAACATTTCTGCAGACTTCCAGACCCACCTTTTCGATAAGTTAAAAGCAAAGTTCTGCATTTACGACAAAAGACCTTAATCACAGGAGAACGCATGATAAGAACACCACATTTCTGCATTTCGTTCGGGTTGGCTAGTCCGCTAGTGATGCAAAATTCTATCATGAACCGGTATGTTAGTCGTTGCATGAACTAAACATGAAACAAATATAACATCCAATTATTATTTTGCAAACTGATTTCATTAGATACCGCTACTAACAGATGACAACGGATACGCATTTCGCGAGATTATTTTTGCAAGATAAGTTAAATCTCGGCTTTTATGCTACATTTTAATTTCGCGAGGTGGAGATGTCGGACAATCATTTTTATGCGTACAAACGTCGTGCACGACTAAAAACCTTACTGTGTACTTTCGGGAGCCCTAATTGGAAACAAATCTTGAACGACGACATTATCTTGTGACTTATGATCGTGTCCCCATCTCTGTGCCCGACTCTATCGGCTGTAGTCTTTTTGCGCGAAAACCGTGATGATGATGAGTGATGATCAGCATGTTTTATGTTGTGTGTTGTTGTTGCTGTATCCTAGTGCGAGACAGGTATTTCCAAACAATAAATTATATGAAACTTTAATCAACTTAAAAATATATAATTAAATAATTCCCTATAGCTCTGGAATTCAATTAGCCAAAATAGAGACAGTTATTGTATCGATATCTGAGTGTGAGAGAGGTCTTATTAGCATACAAACAGATGTTGCGTTCATCTTAAATCAAAGTCTCAGACCATAGAATTATTAGTTTATTAACCATAGATCTGTTATTATCATCTATCATTTCGATATGGGCCTATAGTTACAGAGATATACGGTAGCCTCGTTCTGTAGTTGCCCAAAATATACGGTACCGTACGTAGGCTAGTTGTCCTTTTTTAGGGTGTTTTGGTTTTCAACATTATTAGTTTACCCTGAGCCCCAATTAACTCATTATAACGACAGTATGTTGTATTACAGTAATTGCGGTGAGAGGAATTAGCATTGTACCTATCCTTTGGTCGCAACTGATATTTTGCATCCTTATTTCTTAAAACAGTTCTTCATAAACAGCTGAGTGTAATATACATATAATCCAAGATGCCTCGTGGAATGGCTCATGGGGTTCCATTCAAAAAAATGGGCCAAAACCCCCACAAGCGACTTATAATTCTGAGATCACTTGTAATGGCACTAATCAAACATGAGCGTATAGAGGCGACATTTTCAAAATCTTCAGAGGCTCAAAAATATGCGATAAGATTAATTGATATTGCCAAATATGGACCAGAAAATACTTATTGTAAGGACATGGTTGAATTTTGGACCGATGGTGATGAAGAGGTCAAAAATAAACTCTTTAATATTTTAGTCCCAAGGTATAAAAATCAACAAGGAAAATATACAAGGTTGGCAATGCTTCCATTGTGGCATAACAAAGACCAACTTCTCAGAATGTCGGTTTTAGAACTGAAAGGAAATCCTCTTCCACCATTACCTGTTAAAGAAGAGAATCCGTATTCATTACAAAATGTGCTTATTGCAGCTGCGAAGAATGATTGGAAGAAATCTCATAAGCAAATGAATGATACTTCCAGCGAATGAACTTCGTTAATGAAAATTCGAAATCATGCTGAAAAAAACATGCAATAAATCGAAATATTGTTTTTCTTCCTAACTACGAAACTTGAGTGAAAATGCACAGCCCCATCGCCTGCCTGCTGTATTTTATGAATTTCACCTATTCTCGCTACTAAGATCTTCAACCTTTGGCTGAACCACTGTTGTGGGACATTTTCTTTCATGCTCTATCTACGTCTTCATAATTATGATGCCATATTTAAAAATCAAGTAAATTGCATGTTTAACCGTGTTTGCTTTTAGTACTGAACATTGTGTTCAAGATGGAAGCCAAGTGCATGGATGTCATTTTGGTCGTGATGAATTCCAGTTGGCAATGTTGTTTTCGTGCAACATTCTCAAATTGAAGCCAGTTCACTCGGGGTCAGGCCTATACAATTATGATTTCTCATATAACTGAGTTTGTTATTAAAAGCTTTGGTAAGCTAACTACTGCCGAGTAAGATTCAACATTATTTCTGAACTGGAGAAATAAAAACAAAATATCAATCATGATGAAATGTATATATATATTTATTTAGAGGAAAGCATATACAGTGCTATTGAGAAATATAGTCGTCATGAGTACAATTGCACAACAATACTATTCACCAATGCCCATATTTTTGGAAGTTCTAGTGGAGGGAGTATTTAAACAGTACAGGTAACATTGAATTAGGCACAATATACCCTGTATAAGAGAATGTAAACATCTAAAGCAATGAAGACTTTGGATACCGGTACTAAAATGATCATTCACACATTTTTAAATGTAAAGTAGTTATATATTATCTTTCATTGGCCAGTTTTTCAAGAATGCCAGCCAGTTGAATATACCAACTGCCACAGAGTTTGTACTAACCTACTCTATAATAAATCTCAGTTAATAATTATGATACATTTTATAATGCTATGTGAACTGCAAAACCACCTGTACCATGTAAATCTCTTTTGGCATTTTATGTATTCGGGTAACTTATTTTCATCGAAAATTTAGTTCATCATCATTGTCCCCAAGATCAATATCCTTGAAAAAGTTTACTGTTGAACTGTCGCCAACTTCACTATCATGGCGCAGTTTTTCTCCAGCAAGGTCATGTAGTGGTTCCTCCATCCCATTCTTTTCATTGCTGTAATTTGAGGCTGGTATCCGATCGAACACAAGCACACCGTTGAAGTCTGAGCCAGGCTATAGATAAGGAAATATCATAGATGCATTTACAGTACAAAGTAAGATTGTGACTCAATAAATACTACTTACTCTTCCTCCATGAACTGCATTGTCTGGAATATCTTCCAATCCTTCATCAACCTGGGCCGAATACGAGAATAACACACTGTTCTGTTTTATGCTCCGAAGGTACGAATGTAGGAAGGTTACGTATAAAAATGGTGCAAATAGAATGAAATATATAAGAGATGTTGCGTCCAGAATACTGTGAAAAATGAAGGGCTGGATTAGTAAATTTTGCACATGAGAAATACAGGTACAATTAAAATTCACGTATACAATCAGTTTTATAACTTTTGGAATCTTTTTTAGAGTTCTTAATAAAGCAGAATTTGTACAGATGCGGCTCACTGCAGATAAATAACCTAAATTCAAACGTTCAACATCACAAAACAAATATAAAATCTTAACTGACTATATGTTTCCATAACCCTGTTAATGCACTAAAAAATATTTATATTTTGACAGAGGTGTTTTGATACCGTTCTGAAATAGATGATCGTTATGTTCTCACAAAATACAATATTCATACCAAAGTCCAGCTGAATGCCCATTATACAGAAGTCCACTTCCAAGAGCAAAGCAAAAGTAAAGAAGTGCCATGAAACTCACATATACATAAAACGTCTTTTTTGCTGAAAAGAATGATTCAATTTTTCCCAAGCTTATGATTTTATCAAAATCCTTCCAAGAGAAGCTATATTTTGGTGTAAGGGATTGAAATATTGAGTAGACATATTCACATATATAAAATCAGCCAAAATACTATCATTTATATGGCTTTGATAAATCAAAACTTGTAATTCTACAACAACAAACTGGCTATTTTTGTAGGAAAAATTGTTTACAACTTCATTTTCAAAATCAGTTTTAAGAATGTATGGATATGATTCTAGAAGTCAAGACAGAAAGATAATTGATACATATTGTAGTTCCAATGATTGAATGACTTATGTAAATATTATTACAAATACTTCCACAAATTTCAGCTATATTCACAGCAGATTCGCTTTTATATATTAAATAAAAAAGTCCTCCCCAAATGTAACAATATTTATAAATCAGTCAATGAATCAGGAAAAAATATTTGGGCACGCAAGTGTCGAGATGAGATGGGCACTTACTTGGAATAGTCAAAAAGTTCTTCACACAATCACATAAAGGCAAGAGATCAACAAGTGTATATACCTATATGAAAGGGAAAAGTATGGTTCAGTATTGCTATAATGTTCACTAAAATTGTAACAATATACCAAAAACAACTTACCAAAAAGAAGATAACAGAAGTAATAAAGCTAAATAAGGCACCGCCATGACCATATACAGTCCAAGACTCTTCCTGTACTATGTAATGTGGATCAGGATACATCATTTCAAGCACACCCTGTGTAAAGAAACAAAATTATATTATTACACTAGGCTCCAAATTTAAAGAATTATGCAATACTAACCCACAGAGGTTTTAATAACTGAATACCAAGGATGTGAAATTGGAAGAAAATTTACACCAGACTACAACTCCAGCACAGACTCTGGGTCGACAAAATTTTGACCCTGAACTGTAAGGAAACCGAACTTTGGTATATATAAGTCTTCTGTAATTGTTTACTGAGAATGCATAGTCAACTTAATGCGTATACAATAAAGGGTACTTCCGTAGTGTGTGTACCAGGTTAGGAAAAGGCCATAATATTATTCTGATTTCCCTTATTTTAGTTCTATTACGAGTTTGGAGACTGTCTGTGTTATATACCTTGGCTTCTGTCCCTTCACACAACTTGATGTAAAGTAGGCGAACAAAATTAGTTACCTCCACACATTTCTGGACCGCCCAAAAAAGTATAAATATTTATAAAAACATGATCCCGACTTCAACTCAAATATCAATATAAATATCCCAAATTTTGAATCTGTCTCCGGAAAGCTCAAGCCAACAAGTTATAGATTTAATGGGAGTTCAACTTATGGGAAAAGTGGATAAAAATGAAAATTTGTTATGTAAAAAACAGACAATACATCTTACTTGCGCAGTTGAGTAAATCAAAGCGAGAAAAGTTGTGATTAACAAAACTCTTCTAATACTTGATTTGCTGTCCAGGTGGCCACATGCAAGTCCAAATACAAGCACACTCATCTCTGCCATTAACAGGAAAAATCGTAGCGTCACCCAGAGCAGCTGAAATTTAAGTATTTTAGTTTATATATATATATTGACAAATGAAAGAAATTTAAATATAAGAAAAACAAACCTTATTGGCATCTGAACCAGCTACGGATGAAACATCTACTGTCATGGATACAATACATCTAATAACACTCAATATTGCAGTCATGATCACAAGACAAAAATATGTGGTAAATATGGGGCTTGATCCTCCTAAACTTCGATGCAAACGACCCCTCGATTTGTAGAATCGATATAACAAAAACATAAGAAATAGAAGATTTGGCAAAAATAATGCTACATCCCATATTCGGACTCTGTAAAAGAATAATATATTGTGTTATTTGAGGAAAATTTTGTACACTTCACCCAGATTCTAAGTAAGTCTTAGTTCCTCGTTCCACTAATAATTCGAAATTAAAGAATTAATGTTGTAGGTAAAGCAGTGTTTGTCAAACTTTGGCAAGGTCACGCTGCTGGGTTTCACGTATGCGGCCCATAATACATGTTAAAGCCTTTAAACCAGCATTTCTTAACAGAGTTAGAATTCCTTCCTTTGGAGAAATTTTGTTGTTTCCATGGAGTAGATACAGAAGTTTTATGTATTCGGTGTGGTTTTCCTAATACTATTTAGTATTATTTAAATACATATTTATATACACATGATAAACTATTCAATCCATGATAAAGCCACAGCGCCTACCGTACATACAGATCCACTAAACATTGAATGTATAAGGAGGAGACATAAATGAAGGAATACTTCGAAAAACATTGGGAACCAATGCCTTAAAATAAATTATTGTAACTTGTCAAAATGGTGATAAAGAGAATAAGGATTCAAAAACAGAAACAGAAATTTTTCATATTGGTATACATCACCTCGATGCGCCAATATCTTCATACAACACACGCAAACATGCACTCTCATTTGAATTTGTTTCATTCCGGCCTTGAGTAGTCGATGAAAAATATATTGTTGTAGTTCCAGCTGTAGAGTTCAAAGTAGTTTCCTGAATTGTTGTATTTACAGAAGTTGTGGGTTGTGTTGTTGCTAACACTGTACTTGCAATTGTACTTGCATTCCCATAACTTGTAGTTGTGACATTGTCAGCCATGCTAATGTAATACTGTAATAGGGTGCTTTTCTGATACTGTGATATATCAAAAGTGTTTCTTTTTAGCTACTGTATCTTATACAGTAGGCAAATAGTCATAAATCAGTCATAATTTAATTTCTGAGAAAAAAAATTATATTTGTATCATCGATAGGATGATAGTAGAGCAATAAATACGCTTCCTTTCTCCACAAAAAATACAAGATGCTGAAAGTGATCTATTGTCACCCTCCGCTTAATAATTTAAAATTTTCGGATCATTTCGAAAAAGCACTGATACCTCTCGGCCTCTAAAAGTTAATAACATGACATGCTTTTATAAATACTGAAATACATGAGCATAGCACAGGCATGGTGAAAAAATGCAAACATTTTGCTACTCTCAATACCATAATGTGCAAAATGAATCAACTATTGTATTTTTTTATCACAAAACTCTTGAGTAACTGACAGACTGGAGGAGTGGAAGTGGTGACTCCTCTACGGCCCATGGGTCGGGGCCACGGCCCATTGAAATGGGCCTCGGCCCATCAATTTTTGTAAAGGGATAAAATAATAAAGACTAATAAATATGTAAATCCTACCCACTCCCCGAACTCATAATAGAACTAGGCCTATAATGTGAAAAATCTGAACAAAATTTTGTCCTAACCCTAACCTGGTACACATACTTCAAGTGTATCCTTTTCTGTAGCTTGGTATTTTGCTTTATTTTTGTGTAAAGGCTTATTGTAAGAAAAAAAGGTTTGGTGGCATACTGGCATCCTGCGATTTTTTTTTGGTTCGAATATAATTGAAAATTTTGGTAAGATAATTGAATTTTTCCTGATGGACCGCGGCCCATAGCTTGATGGGCCATGGCCCATGTGGCCCAATTAGATGAGCCGTGGCCCCGGCCCATGGGGCCGTAGAAGAGTCACCACCCCTGTAGGACTGGAGAAGCTGGTTCGAAATTTAGAAATTCACCTATGAATTTTAGAAATTAACACATTTCAAATATTATTTCAGAAATGAAATTGTAATGGTACGGTACCGGTAGTTTATCGTTTCTGTATAAATAGTCGGTCCCACTTGAAAAAGTTTTTTGGTTACATGCATCATTTAATCGAATGAATGAACGGAAAACGGAAAAGAAAATAACAGCAGAAACAAGAGAGCTATGCTCAAATATATGGACACGTCACAAGGTGTCGCTATTTTTTAATCTGACACATAAAAAGCGAATCTCTTGATGTCCACAGGAATTTTTGAAATAAGTGAAAGTAATAGCCGCCTGGAAAAAAATCAATTTTTAACTACTCAAAATGTCAAACCAAATGGTCCAGTAATCAAAATACAAAGCGAGGAGGATGACCCTACTAGGGTTAGTTCGGATACCTATAATTTTTACTATCCGCATAACGGATATATCCGGGTATTCCGTATTTTGAATATCCGGTTAACCGGATAGTTACTGCCGATTTCAGAGACCGATTTCGCACGATTTTAGCGGCGAATTAACCAAAAACCACCACACAGTTCTATTGTAAATACTCACATATGTATTAATTTCCTTGAATAAGAATGATTGTGCATTTTAATATTGAATGTGTCAATAAATGATAATTTAAGCTCTGTAATCGTACCGATGTACAGCGGAATAATAAAATGAAACATGTTTTGAAAATATTGTGTCCTAATTGTTTTTGCCCCGACTGCTAGGTTATTTTCTTCTATTCAAATAATATGTAAAGATTTATATTATTTCTAATTTATTGTTAATTTTTTTAAAAGCTTCTTTTGTGTCTAGAGCCTCTTTTCATTAAATTTTGACTCGTACTAAATTTTAGTGTCGCAGACTCACAATGATCATTTCTGATCATCCGCACCTTCCTATCAATTGCAATGAAATTTAATATTGTCATGTATAGTATTTTGTGTTCTATAATATTTTGTGATTTCTTGCACGACGAAATAAACTTTGTTAATATATACCACAAGAGCATACATATAAATGAAAACATGAACACAAAAAATCGTGCATTTTGAACATTTGATTTCGGTGAGAGAAGTATCCAAAAAAAAAATAGAATATAGGGGGGACATAGGAAAATATGAGTAATTTGAACAAAAATTTTAATAACAAAGCAAATTGATGGTTTTGAAAATACCAAAGTGGTCAGGAATTTCTTTTAATTGAAAACTTCACTTATTTAACATGTCACTGTAAATATTCTCACGTTTGTACTAATTAGGCCACAACTTCAAATCTATTTCCATTCGAATATCTTTTAAACTAAATTAACAGAGCCAAAACAATGCTGCGCCAGTTTTTGAACAACTTTACTTAACACCCTAAATGAGTAAATGAAAAACATGACACGATACAAAGACTGTCAAATTAAACTTTGCTGAAATATTATAGACCATTTTACAAACAAATTTGTTTGTGAAAGTAGAGGGCCTACTGCCGCCATTTCAGTTCCAGGCGAAATAATACAATTATCTGCGTTATATACCGACGAGACTGAACCCGACCTTTCTCCCGAAAATGTTGATATAAGCTAATTAATCTGCATTTATTGTTTTAAATAAATTATACTCATTGGAATTGCAATAATAACTCAAATTTGATGAATTTGCAAAATCGCAAAAATACGAAATTGGATTTATTCGTGCAGCTTACCACTTATTTTCATATCTAGAGTAGAAATGCTTTTATTTTAACGTAAGTCGGGCTCTTCTATAACGCAAATACGCAATAATCACATTTTTCTGCGTGTTTTGTGATGTAATAGTCAAGTTCACTCCAGCATTACACGGATGACTAAAATATAGGCAGAGTAGTGTGGATATTAGTGATTATTATATGCTCTGAGAGATGTCAGTGGCCACTCAACAAAAAATATAAAAATCACTAATGCGCATATGCATTATTTATACTGTTCTATTATCCGGTTAACCGTTACCATAATATCCGGATATCAGATAGCAAAATACCTCTTGGTTAACCGGTTAACCGCTATTCGGATAATCCAACCCTAGACCCTACCCATATTTGCTTATTCAAAATCCCACTTGATATGTTCAACCTCTATTCATTCAATAGAACAAGTTACCCGAATAATGGGTAGCTTGTCTGACCTGCTTTCCCACTTTTTTTCGTTTCGATCATTTTATATTTTGCAATATAATTTCAATTAGTGCAAAATCCCATTATTTAAAAGAATGCTTCCATAATTGAAAATAGTAAATTCATGTAAATATTGTACATAGTTTAAATCGTGAGAGACATTGATATATTGACACGAACCTGTTATTTTTATGCTTATTTAATATAATTGGAGTTTTTAAGACAAGACAATATATATAAATAGAGACAACACAACACCAAATAAACATATACATAACAATGAAATCAAAATTTCGGCGTAAATACAGCGCCTTTGAGTGGTGAGACCATATAGTATAAATGGGCGAAGTATAAGAGATAAATTTGCGGTTCTAATGCCTATATGGTATGCGTCACTCAAGGGCGCTAGTAGAGTCTTTGATAGAATATATCTATTTCAGCAAAAATGTGAACCATACGGATTTTGTTGAAATACTTCAGTTCGAGTGTCAAATTCTTAGGTATTCTTGTTTTATTTATAAAATTGAAGCCGAATGTGGTAAAAATTGAAGGAAAAATAAACTTAAAGAAAAGCATTTTAACAAAGCCCGTCATGATTGCATTTTTTCCAGAATAAAATAAATGTACAAAAGTACTATTTAATTAAGGCTAATATTTTATAAAAAGAAGGTGTGTTTTCATTCATGGATTGGCCTAATTGTATTAGGATCACAATAGAGTAATATAGTTTCTGTTTACGAGTTCTTGGCACTATTGTGGCCCGCGAACAATACAAAAATAATGGTGTGGCCCGCGAGACCGTCAACCTTGGAACATCCTGTGTTAGCCAATGACAAGACCAAAAGGATTGCTGCAAACCTAATAATGTACTGAACAGTCAAAAAGCTAGGCCGGCGGTTAACGAAAATGCCACTACCTCAATTAGTCCGCCTTAGGCCTACGGTGACGTGATATTGAACGGTCAGTTGGGCGACAACTTCAAGATTCATTTACAGTAGACGTATTTTTTGTTTTATTTTCGACGGAACACTCGGAAGACGCTCGCGGAACATTAGTGTCCCGCGGAACACAGTTTGGGAAACGCTGCCGTAACGCAAGCGGTATAATTGCTGTACATATATCAGCTTATCATTTCAGGAATATTGGGTTTATTTAGAATGAATTATTCGCAGATATACGCACAATTTTCAATAGGATTTTAAAGCATAAGAAAGGCCAGGTTTCCGTTCCCAATATCCGTATGCATGTACGCCAGCGCTTTTTCAATCTGTGTGCCGCGAGAGATACTCAGTTGTTCCTCGAATCTTTTTAGAAAAAAAGCTATTTGTAATACACATGAGCATGCGGGCAAGTGCACTACTATTCATTAGATTTAGGCCGCGAGCCGAGGCCATTTATCTTTCAGTTTCGTAGCGCACATAAGGTAACTACCAGAAAATGATTTTAAAATGTTCCTTAGAAATTTAGTAACAAATATTGCCTTGTTCCCACTTACAAAAGTTGCACGTTTTACAGAAAATACACTTTTACTACAATAAATATGTGTTACCATCTGTCCTACTTTCTCTGCTTTTTCGGTATCATGGGCCAATGAACGCAGACATCTGCATGACGTAACAATCGAATTAGTCAGCTGTAGGTGAATCCCCAGTGGTCGGATGAATATCAGATGTACTACTACTGCTTGCTTTTGCGTTGAGTAGCCTTTCCATAGTTTTTTTTTTCAGTTATTATTAGTTCAGTTATTCTAAGGAGGTGTTGAAAAGTATAAGTAAGATATTAAACACTTGTATATCCTTACCATAAATAGCAATTTTAGTTGAGCACTAGCTCATAAGACGTTGTTGAATAGGTACGGTGCGGTAATTCCAAGGAAGGCTAGACCTAGAATAATATGTCACAAACAACGATATTTTCTGGCTTGCATGAAATGTTTATGATTAATTTAATGACTCTTCTTGACTATTCAGCAGACTTATACTACTATATAGGCCACAGCATATTTGGAAATAGAAATTAATGGCTGTTTCTGTAATGCACGGTTGTGTGAAAGAGAAGAAAATAATCAATTTTACTAATGTCAGTTGGTCTAAATCTAAATTCATAGAGTCGACAAGTACCTGGGAAGCAATGATACGGTAAGTTATGCCGGAGTGGAAAGAAAAGTAGCATTGGAAACGATTGTGAGGTGAGAAATCGAGTTGTAGACAGACAGTTGATGTTTTAAAATATAGTCTAGGCCAGGGGTCGGCAACCTACGGCCCGCGGGCCGGATCCGGCCCGCGGAGCACTATAATCCGGCCCGCGACGATTCACTAAATTATGGTAACAAAACATCCGTTTTGACGAATATATTCTTTATATTATAATCTAACAATTATATAATTAACAATTACTCGTTTATTGAGCATATAATTTAATTATAATTAAGCAAATGGCAACAAAACGCAGAAAAGTTGATGCTAAGTGCAAAGGGTTCAATGGCGCCGAAAATATGCAAATGAATTTTATGAGATGCAATGAGGAAATAAATCTATACTCTATTCGAGAGATGTATCACTGCTTGATTTTTATTATAAAAAAAAACATCCGTTCGATTTTTCAACTTAAAATATGTGCGGCCCGCCAATGACTTGCACCCTCAATTTTGGCCCGCGAGCGACAAAAGGTTGCCGACCCCTGGTCTAGGCCTATAGTCCATACTCATACTGTCATAGGGCATTTCAGTCTGTGATATATCAAAATTTAGTGTAGATATAGTCTAGTAATGGTATGCAAACACTGCTGGACTGTAGTACATACGCTCATTGAGTACATCAGATAAAATGCATTATGTATTCAAGGTATTAGTTAGTATTTAGTGGTATTTTTACACTCATGCTGTTCCAAATATGATTTTCTTCCGCATTTTAGATACTGTACTACAAAAGAAGACGGCAATGTTCCACCAATCCGACCTAATGCAGGCTCTAATCCCTGCTGCTATAAAATAAATTAAACAAGAAGTCTTGAAGCGTAAAAGTATATGAGAATCATAATAGTTGCAAACAGCTTAGATGGGCTATTCATATTGAAATACTTTAGCACTTTTCTGCAATTGGAACTGCCCATCAAACTCATGTTGGAGACTTCATTGTGGTTTTTCAATTCATATTTTCTCAACTATGAAGATCTTTTGAGGTTAACGAGGCATTAATAAATAAAGCTGAGGAATTTGTTTGTTCACTGTATGAAGAGGATATGAAGAATGTAAATGATACCAAGGCACGTCTATTTAACACTGGCAAACCTAGGGATTATATCCAACAATGATTCACTGAAGAAGCATGTGGCCCTCAAATCAGTTCTTGAGTTGGCGAACGCAAGTGTAAAAAAAATAGTCAAAATAATTTATGCAAGTGTGCCAAAATCAACTTAAATTGCACAGATTTTTGTATTGACTGCAAAATCACAGTACACTTATAGAGGAAAAGTCGATTTTCAAGATAGTGGATTTCGAAAACAATTCAGAAGAAAGTGAATTAGATATTGCAGTTGATTTTTAATAGGTATCATTTATTTGTTTTTTTTTCAAACATTTGTTAGTGTCGTAGTCCTGTTCCTAGAAATAATATTGTCTTTGTTCAAATACATACCCACATAAACTAAAAAAAGACTAATTGTAATATTTCTGTTCACTATGTTATGTACATATTATACAATTTTCTTGACTTTTCTGGTAAATTTCTAAGTGAGAAATAACTGATTTATTTGTGTTTTCGTGCTCACGATGTTATTTGTGACTTCATTGCTTAAAAATAAATCCGTTTGATGCTTCTATAAAATGGATGTAGCTTTTTATGCTCTTCTTGTTGTAAACTGCTTGTGGTTATTACATAAAATTTATTCGCTAATGTGAATCAGCGTTGTTGGTGTCGCTGCTTTCGAGGTCACTCGCCACTCCTGTCACACAATTAAAGTATTTTTTGTTGTTGGTTACACGTATGCCATATTTTTCATAATCTACCTAATAAATTATGATTGACTGAGGAAGTCCGATTTTGGTCAGGCAAAACATTACAGGAATACATTTGTGTTAGTGTGCTGTAGGGCTCTCGAATTGCATAGTTCTTATGTATGTGTTGTGAACTTATGGTTATTGAATTTCCGGGAACCTCTTATATTCAATTTCGCATCAGGATTGTGGAACAAGCTGTAATGCGTTCAGTATGTTCATTTTCACACTAAACTGAAGAATTTATTCAGTTACCAGATGTGCGCTACGAAACTCATTTTCTGGGCGTTTTCAAGGCTTCGTCTCACGGCCCATATCCGTTGTAAGGATCTACAAGTGTTTAATAACTTACTTATACATTTTTCAACAACGTCTTAGCATAACTTAACTAATAATAACTAAACAGGGCTGTGGAAAGGCTGCCCAACTCAACGCAAGGTCGAGCAGTAATAACTAATATTCATCCGCTCGCTAACAGCTGATTCGATTCAATTGTTACGTCATGCAGAAGTCATTGTTCATTGTCGAAAATGTAGAGAATATAGGACAGATCGTAGCACAGATTTCTTGTAGTAAAAGCGTCTTTTCCGTAAAACGTGCAACTTTTGGAAGTGGGAACAAGGCAATATTTGTTACTACATTTTTAAGGAACATTTTAAAATCATTTTCAGGTAGTTACCTGATGTGCGCTACGAAACTCACTTTCTAGGCGTTTTTCATGGCCTCGGCTCGCGGCCTAATTAGAATTATTAGATAACTAGTTATAATATTGCATTTGCCTTGTCGTGTAATATGGGTGATTGTCACGATATAATTGTATTAAATTGTTATTGTATTATTATTGTTACTTGTATTAATTTCCCTATGTGTATAATTACATTTTTTATTGTCATTATACGTTTTTGACAGTTTTTCGTGCTTTAATTTTTATAGTTATTTTATAAATATCTGAATCTGGACACGTTAGTGGACAATGGACATAACGATCGTTTCAATATTATGTTGTTCTTGTCCTTGTTCTTTGACACGTTTTTAAAAAGTCGCTTTTTTCTTTGATTACTGGACCAATTGCTCTGAAATTTTCAGTGGTTAAAGATAAAATTTTTCTTTCGAAGGCTATGGACCTTTGATTCCCGAAAAATCCTTCCTATACTTTACTATTGCAAAAATTTCGGGCCTTATTTTAAGAGTGTTTTGCGATTTGGCACCTGTAATCATTATGATTATGGTGTTATTATGTAATCATTATGGCATCATTATGATTCATCGCATACAACAATCTGTTTTTAAAAGTACCGGTAAAGAATTTTAGGCTAGTCTATCACAGCATTTTTTAAACTAATTTTTTATTACTGCAATTAAATTAAAACTTCTAGGAAGACAGAGTGAATATTGAATTATCTGATTTATATTTAAATTTCCAAAACATAAATGAAAACTAACGAATAGAGTTCAAAAACGCGAAAACGAGGTAATGTTTACGACCACGCCTGAAAATCTGTCTGAGTGAGAAAAGTGTCTGAGCGGATACGAAAAGGGGGCATTATTACGTCACTTTTTGTCTCTTGCTGATTAGCCAATGTCACGATGTAAACAAGAAAGTCGATGCTCGGGGAAAGGTCCATTGCACTAAACCAACCGATAGAGATATAAATTCCATGCCTAAGTTCACGTTGAAAATAGGTTTTCACGTTCATAGGGGAAAACCAGTGGAAGCACAAATTTCAAGTGGCACGAACAGGCCGCTGGAAACTTATCTGCTTACATTCAATGTTGTCACTGCTCACCAAACTAACGAGGCGCAGTTCTTACCACTTCATGGCAGCTCCTGCCACGAACGTACCACGCCGTCTCCTGCCATGGTTTTATGGCGCTATTACCGGTATATTTACAAATTTATGTACCATATTTTAGTTTATCATGCGAAATTATATCTACTTAAACTCTAACCCTAACCCCTAATCCATCCAAACTGTATCCATAAGAAAAACATTCCAACTCACCAAATATTTATCCCCATCAGCAGATTAGGGGCAGCCCTGCTATTACAGCCGACCTGCCGTGGTTACGGCAGTAAAATTGGTGGTATTCGATTTGCTGCCGTAACCACGGCAGCTCGCTATTGGTTTGTGGCAGCTAAAAAGTCAGTCGCCGTGGGTTTGGTCTTAGTGGCCGTGGTTTGGAAATCCCGCCATGGTTTTGCGGCAGCTGTAGACGCCACAAAATACTTGAAACTAACTGCAAAAAGCACACATAACGCTTCATCGTGAAGCAACCTATGCTAGAAAAATAATACATTTCGAGAGCTCTTGCGCACGTCCTATGGCCCAAAAACTATTAGATAGACTATTTTTAAATCTCTCCTTGAGCCCTGGCATCGTGTTAATACTTGTTTTCATATTATCACCAGCGTATGTGTCTAATGGAGTCAAAAACTTGTTATATCATTTAACTAGCTGACGATCTTCATAGAGAACTGGAATGACTTACGTTTTTGAGTTTCCATAAAACAACTGTTTCGAAGAGCTAACAACAACAATATTAATTCATCCTTGCGTGCAAACATTACATTTTCCAAACCCAAACCTTGTATGACAAAATGAAACATGGTTGTGTGAAAAAGTAGGAACAGTCCTTCAATTCATATTTTTCTAGAGAACATGGTGATATCACAAGCTCAAGCAACACTTATGATACAACTACATCAGACAATAAGGCATGCATGACCAAAAAACAGTGACACTATAATCAACCATCTAATTCGCCGGCATTCAATGCATCTTGGTAGGATTTGCCCTGCTTCTGTTCGGGATACAACTTGATCAAGTCATCAATACGAAGAATTGTGATAGCAGCTTCTGTTGCAAACTTCAAACACTTTGTCTTGATCATTGTTGGCTCTAATACCCCAGCCTCCTTACTATCTCGAACAATTCCGGTGACGAGATCGAGGCCACACCATTTCAATTTACGTCTTTCTTTGTTGTTCTGTGACTCGTTATGATATGCTCTCAATTTCGCAACCAGATCAGTAGAATCTTGAGCTGCATTGAGCGCTAAGGTTTTCGGTATGACGAGCAAAGATCTTGCAAATTCAGCTATTGCGAGCTGTTCTCTGGAAGCCACAGAGGTAGCATAATTTTCGAGAAAAATTGATAATGCAGCTTCTACGGCACCTCCTCCTGGTACAACAGATCTTGATTCCATAACTCTCTTCACAACACATAGAGCATCATGGACAGATCTCTCCATTTCATCAAGTGCAAGCTCATTCGGACCACGCAAAATAATAGATGCAGCGGATCGAGCTTTTGGAGATTTGATGAGAAGCAACTCATCATCACAAACTCGTTCCTGTGTGACTTCTTCTGCATATCCAAGCTGTGAAACATCGAAGCTTTCTTCACCTTCTAAATTAGCTAATGTTGAACAAATAGACGCTCCGCAAGCTTTTGCAATTCGCTTGAGATCCTTCTTGAGAACTCTTCGAATACCCATTGCTCCAGATTCCACAAAATATTTCAGATTTATGTCGTCAATTCCACCAGTAGTCAAAATCACATTAGCTCCTGTTGCAAAAATCTTTGAAATCCGTTCTTTTGTGATATCAATTTCACGTCTTCGAATTGCATCGAGTTGATCAGGGTCTTCAACAACAACATGTACACCTAGTTTCATTTTGGTTTTTTGGAGATTGAAATCCAAACATGCTATCTTTGCTCCAATTATCTTCTTCGGCATAGCTTGTGAAGCAACTGTGCAATTCAAGGCATATCCATTCACCAATACACTCTCCCTAGCACTACGGCCATGAGCCTTAAGGATGTTGACAGCCCTGATAGGATATTTAGCATTGCCTTTTGAATCAGTAAACTTGACTGCATTTGCAGCATCAACAACTATAGCAGAGAAGAAATCAGAGTCCACTCCAATAATTTTTGAAGACATTGAAGTTTTAGCTGCATTTATGATGGATTCTTTTCCCAGCTCATCAATGGGTATTGTCAAATTTTCTTGAAGATATTTGACAGACTCTTTGCATGCAAGCCGATAACCACTAATGATAGAAGTCGGATGAATTTTATTCTTCACTAGTTGGTCAGCATTTTTCAAAAGCTCTGCGGCAATAATGACAACAGATGTAGTCCCATCTCCAACTTCTTGATCTTGAAGTTCTGCAAGTTCACATAGAACCTTTGCTGCAGGGTGTTCAACATCTAGTAATTTGAGAATAGTAGCGCCATCATTAGTGACCGTTACATCACCAACATCATCGACAAGCATTTTGTCCAATCCAACCGGACCAAGTGAACTTTTGACAATATTAGCTATAGATGCAGCGGCCATTACATTCTGTGTTCTGACGTGATTTCCTGTTGTCCGATCTCCGCCAACAATTAACGATGTTTGAGTTTCGATCGACATTTTCGAATTATTGCCAAGAAAAATCAAAACCAGGAATATAGAATAAATTTAACTATATCTAAATACAAATTTGAACGCAGATTTTGATTAAATGAAGATCTGAAAGCGGTTACAAGACCACAATAACTGAATAAGTGCTTTTATTTATTTTACCTTTACTAGGTAATGTTTTGTTATTTTACAATGACAAATTGATATATTCTGATATTCTTTGAAATATAATTTTATCAAACAGCGCGAACACTGTCATCAAAAAGTAGGCTAGTCACAGTCAGCTCTAGAGTTTTCTGGCAATCTGGTGTTTTTTGGTCAACCAATCACTGATTTTTGAAATTGAAAACAGCTGGTGTCTTGATGTAGGGTAATATTTAGTCTATACATTCTATTAATGATAACATAACTACAAAAGGGTGTATAGTTAGTCTACTATCAGACTATCAGTCAATTTACTTCTCTCACTATTTCTGTATTTCCAGATTTCACTGGTGCCATGCCAGACTACAATGTGTGCTATTAATAGCTGTATTCCAAGAATGAGTTTGGAACTTGAACCGGGATTTCAGAATTTATCCAATGACAGAATGATCAGTTTGCTTGTCAGCCCTAATAAACTGCTTCTGTACAGCGTATTACTTAACCTAATGCATAAAAAAACATATCCTGACAAGGAGAGCATAGATATACTGCATACATAATATAAAATAGCGAGAAAATGTGCGGGATTACACTATTCTTGCCGAACGAGCGCAAAACCAAAAATAACGCCCTAAACCACGCTGCTGTTGCCAATCAAGACTCGCAATGTGTTCGAGATAGTTCTCAACGGACGATTTTGAAAGTGGTGCTTGGAGCATAGAATTAAATCCGTTACTGAAAAAATGGAATTTGACGTCTGGCGGTAGTTAATAATCACCACCTAAAATAATAAATAAAAGATGCGAGATGACTAAGCCGTCTTATTGAACTTTCTTCTGTCTGTGGATATATAAAATTCAACTATGTTCGAAGAATTGCATTGTGACATAATATGTTAACTCTAATACGCCACAGAGCGTGTGTGTTCACGTATGCAAATTATAGGTATAAATAGGGCGATAGAAAGAGAGAGATTTATTGCCCCCAAACAAAGTTAACATTATTATAAACATAATATAATACAATAACGTAATATTTCAGCAGTAATAACAGTGATTGAATATTACTTTGTGCGGTGCGGTGTGCAAGACCGACGTATATGACAAATACGGTAACTAAGGCGTCTCGTTCAATTGTAATTCTATGTCAGACATGGGAATAGATAGATTTCTGAATCATTTAATTTAATTTATCGCAGAGCATGGGCATGTATTCTCAGAGTAATCATGGTTAAGATGTCGACACTAAGTAGCCTACGCCCCAAAAAGGTTTTAGATTACCGGTACGTTATAAGAATACTGAAGCCGTAGCCGAACATCTTACGAACCGAACACGTCCATCCTTTCCCAAATAATCACTCACCACATGATGCGAACATTATCAGGGGTAAGCAGCGATAAAACGGAAATTAAAATCTATAATATGTTTATGCAAGCGCAATAAAAATATATATTTTCCGTTCAGTGATCTGAATATTGTTCTGTGGCTGGAGATGTGTGAAAAAAATTATTCTCGGCAAAATTGTCTTTGACGCTCGAAACTCATTACTACCGTCTTTTATAATCTGCCGACCTCGATATTGTAGTACAGTTTATCGATCCAGGTATTATTTAATCTGAGATAGTCATAAAACGTTTTTTTTATTGCTGGTTTTTAAAATACTTAGTGAAAAACGTCGAAAAAATTGCAAATATGATAATTTAGATAGTGAACTTCTATACATTGAAATATGTAAGGTATTTAGAGTTTACTCTGTGACATATTTTTTAAATTCGACAGCACACAAAAAATAGGAAAACTTCTGTTGACATTCAGGTTGATTCATCAACTTCCAAGTCTTTCGAACCAGATTGTAATAGATTATCACACTGAGCGCTGTGCTCGGATCGGCATTCCTCATTTTCTTTTAAAATGCTATAGTTGTCCACATCAACGTTTTCACAAATTGTTTTTGAAAAATTGTTAGGCATTTGTCGATGCCTATAAAAAATTGATAATGGAAAGTCAAACCTGTTTGTTTTAAATATAAGTTATAGATAAAATCATTTGATGTGAATAGATTTTTGAGTACAAGTCATTGAGTATACAGTAATCAGTTTTTCTGAATATTTCTTGGTTTCAGAATATATATGCAGTATATATATATACATCGGCTCAATTTTAATCCAATCTAGTCGACACTTGTCCTAAGCTCATGCATTCGTTAATTTGATTTCTGCTTACCTGATTGGAGCGGATTTGTAATGATGAATGTTTTTGCCCATGATAATTCGATGTAAGGCACAGGAGATCATTATTATTGTTGCAAGCAATAATATCGTAATTCCAACAATTACCATGACCTTCATACTTTTTATGACTTTGTTACGAACAGGGAAAACACCACATACCTTATAAATATTATGTAAAGTATTATATAAAGAAAAAGAGCAAAAGTACTAATGTTGTACTGATATATCGATATTGAATTGATCATTCTAAAACCCGATATGTGTGTGTTTCGTCTCAAACTGTACCGTCATCTGCATAATAGATAAGCATTACGAAAAAGAAGTCATGCCCAAGCTCTTTTGTTAATTTAAACGTACCTCGACTCTCATATGTGATGATGAGATACAGATTGTGCCATTTTCATAATAAAAAGGTTCGACTTCGTGGATTTGAATTCCTTTTTTGATAAGTGTCCATTTTTTAGGAATGTTCTTACCAGAACTACATATAAACATCTGCAAAATTAATTAAATGCTCCTTTTAATTCGTTTTGATTATACGTATTATGAACTGTTTTACTATGTAAATTTATGTCTTTCAAATTGAATTTTATGCTTGCTTGAGCACATGTATAGAATTTGACTGGTATTGAATAAATGACTTGTTTAAGTCGTGGTATAAACTATAAATAACTCCAGAAACTATAGATAGCCTTTATTGATAAATTATATATATATATTCTCTAAGTAAATAAGATCTCGAACAATCCAAGACTTCTCATTTTTAAACAATTTCTTCGATGTGAATTGTAACCAATGATTTAATACAAAGTGAAGTTTCTGAGCAGATTAAATAATTTTCAAACGATGCGATTTTATCGACTTCCTTTATAAGAAATTGTGAGACTATGGGATATATGAGCAATAGAATATTTTAGGGACTAGAAGAGCACCAATATTAATTCATTATTTATATTCCATTGCAGAAAAAGCATATCAAATATTGATAGCGTTCCACTTCCACTATCGCTCAAGACGAAGACTGCTTGGTGGCTGTAAAAGCTGAGGAAATAAGATCAAGACGAGTTCTGATGTTATGATTATTGTCAGTGGGATTATAAGGTGAACTAAATTCCTGAGAGTCGATTGAAACTCCACTAATAGTCAACGGACAGAAATATATTAGGATTAGCAATTGGGCATTCCACGGAAAATCCTGATCCTGCTTATGTGGAAGCAAATATCAAATATACCGTTTCTAAAGTTGACGTGCTTGCTTTTATTGTGACGACAATCTTTTTTCTTTTAGTAGACTCTTCCATTGTAAGATTTACACCATTATTAAAATGATACCTTTAGACAAAAAGAAATTGCTCATTGAACTAAATAATCTCATAATAAGAGACGTCTATACAATCTGAAAGAACAGGCGAAATAACACATAAGTAACTAAATCTACAACTTGCGCAATCCACGAATAACTGTGACATATGAAATGAAATGTCGTAGTTGAATCAAATGGTTTTCTGACATATGGGTTCCCCACGGGTTTTATATCAACCAATGAAGGTTAGTTATAGTACTGAAAGTATATACCTGTATTTATATAAATTATGGTCAATTAAATATGGAGTCATCATAATAACATTGTCACTGTCACCCATGTAATCGCTACACGTAGAATTGTAGAAAGAACCTTTTGAAAATCCCTCATGAACAAGAGTTGAAGTAATCTGTAAAATGTTGTTTTGGAGACAAATTAAAATACTTTTAATGCAAGAAGTCGTTTTTTACATACTAGTACATCAGAGTTTCATCAACAGCCTTCCTTCAATTTGCTTGAAATCCCATATATGAAAATTTCAAGTGTCACAATGAGAGTCGAAAAAGTCTATTCTTGGTCCAATCAGACTAAGAATGCGAAGTTCTCAACTAATTTCGTTGGTTATATTTTATCTTGTTGCAATATAGGACGTCGCCATCGTCTTTGCCTGGCATTGAAATAGGCTATTAAAGTACCTCCAATAAGAATCTCAAAGTTTCCTCGAAACAAAACTATGCAACTAAATATGTGTTTCATTTTTACTGACTTATTTTTAATCTACAAAATACAAAGTTCAAAATTTTCAACCGTAAGACACTCACAGCTGTACCACCACGTCCAGATGACATTATTTTCGTTTTTTGATGAGGTACTTCTGTAACTTCATATTTCTCAGTCATTGTATTTTTGGCACTTTTTTGGTAAGATTCTGTTGTCAACTGATGGGTACCTGCCGTAAAAATGAATGATGTTAATCGGTTTCTTGTCTCCATCAGTATTCATCGCATGAAACATTTCATTACAGCTGTATAGATAGGCATCGTTATGCGAATACGAATAGCGAATTCCCTCTTATACTGAAAATAATATATATACAGTTGTTTTATTAGTTTCATGCGTTTGTTAGATCCACTCGGCTATGTCATCTTGTATGGTTAAAACTGTTTTAGTATTGTATAAAATAAATATTATAATTAATAATAATAAATAATTGCTCGGATGAAATTTATGAACCAATTCAATTTAAGCATTACTTATTGTCGCATCCGTATCTTTGTCATTCACCACTTTAATTCGAGCAAGTTTTGCCACCGTGTTCGCAACATTTTCTACAACACAGAGTATTCGCATTCCATCATGGATATCCTTCTTTGCTCTGCTAATTGTAAATTCATTGTCATTCTTCCAGCCTTTTAGTTTATGAATATTCGCTGAAATAAAAATGGCATTTTGTGGAAGTGTATAGCTTAGGATGATATATTACTGAATATATTCAATTATTAAGCATTGCTTTGAATTAGTCTTAATCTGAGTGGTCTGATTGCTACACCCTGGTAAAACTTTCAAATTGTCACTAAAAGTGTAAAATATAAGCGATTCGGTAAGGATCAAATCTAACCATATCCATCAGATCAGTGTCTACCGTTCTTCCATTACGACATATTTCAATTACTAATATATTTCTATATATCATAAGAAACACATAATGTCCAATTACCATTTGTCGTATCTTTATTGGTTGATGTTGTTTTCAGTAAGTAATCAGTCACTCCTGTCAACATATGTTTATTAGTAACATCGCAAATAATTTTTAAATGCATAGATTCGACGACCGAAAATACACTTTCTTTCACTTTTTCAACCATCCACACTTCGGGAGGAGGGGTTTTATTCTGATTCATCTGAATATTGGTCCATGATTTCGACATCCGCGTCAACAAACCTGACGGCTCGTCGAAAAAAAGTTCGTCGCTAGTCATATTTCCATCGGATGATGGACTCCTTCTTTTCCGAGCTGATTTTTCTTCTCCTCCTGATGTTGTTATTGCAAACATTTCTATCGTCGGACTGGTGCATTTATACCTACTTTGGTGGTTACTAGATATTTGGGACGTTGGTATCGGTATTTCAAGTAGTTTGATAGTTTTCCATTTGAGTTTTGTTGTGCAATGAAGACTTTCTACGTTCTGAATCGTGATATATTTTTTTATCGTCACCGACCTTTTTTCGTTGTTTTGGAGCAATTCCGAAAACGCAAATACATTGCAAGAACATTTGAATGTGTTGTTGTGTATTCTTAATGATACCAATTGACTTAACTTGTTAACTTGCTTTTGAGAAGGAAAATTGGACAGAAAATTGTTGTTTATGTATAACATTGAAAGCTTCGGTGTTGAATCCATGAAACTCCACGGGAATACAGTAATGCGATTTCCAGATAAGTCCAGCCTAAAATAGAATTAATTCACTTAAAATAATAAAATTCTTCCATCGACTTTTCCTCACTTTGCACTATAATCACGGAATTTTGTATGAAACGTAGCACACAAACAAAATAAATTTTTTTTTCATCGCCATGTTACCGCAAACCGTTAATCATATACGGTTAGAGAGTTGAACTTAACTATGTTTGTGCCGCAAGGTAAAAGATACCGGGTTCAGTTCCCATCCGCTTGACTTGGCTCAGTGTGTAAATTTAAATTTGTTTAGCAATGTCTACTGGAAAGATTTCATTAGATTATTGCTTATCAGTGGCTGCTTATCTGGAGACCAAGAATTGTTGCAATCTTACTAAATGAAGTGAATAGAATAAGAGGAGAATCGGAAATATTTGTACAGTTGAGGGCAGTCGAAATCATGCTTCTAACCTGATCAATTCCTGCAATCCAGCAAAAGCATATTCGTCCACTGTTTCTATCTCATTGTGACTCATAATAAGATGTTGAAGATTCTTGTATCTCGTAAACATCTGAATCAAAAACAAGGATAAAGAGTTTTCTGTTCGTAAAACTAAAGGTTAGCATTAGTGTTCATCAGGGCGCGAAAATATTGATACAAAATGAAAAAGTCAATACCTGATTCGATATATTCTTGATTTTGTTGAGTGGAAAAGAAAGAAATGTAACATTTATCGATATATTAGTTGTCGGCAATGATTGAAATCCCATTCCGCCACAAATTACTGCAAAACTGCGTTGCCCTTTCTTCTCCGAACATCTAAATTTAGTTTATCAAAAAAAATGATAGCTTTGATAATCCCTTATACTTTGTGAACAGTTTCTTTGCTATATCGTTTAATTTAGATGTACAACATACACAAGTTTACAATAAAAATCACATTCCAATATTTTCAATATTCATTTCCTAATTCAGAGTAAATTCACCTGATCCAGGGGATTAGGTTATACAGAAATGTATAGAAAATGATATCCCAATATATTTATTTTTATACATTAAAAAGCATCTTAATCAAAAGTGACAAACTGGCCAATTTATAGCACATCCAGTAGTACATTACTAAACTTCGTTGTCAACTAAGTTGTTGCGAATATCATACCATATTATTTAATAATTATTGTTGCAATATGAACCAAGAAAATGTCAGTAATTAATTATGCATTTAACTATAATATTATGCTACTAACCTGCACTTATACGGACATAAACTTGTTGCATAGCTTGCTAAAAAGAGAAGCGTCAGAAGAGCATACCCACGCATTGTTAATTTGTATTAATTCTTAATTAATTAATTAATTAGTTTCAATCTCTCTATATCAGCATCTTTTCCTCTCTGTCTATTTTTCAATTTCGTTTTTTGTAGTATAACAGTGGCATACAATTGAATTAAAGTATAGACTTAACAACTGTACTGTTGTTCGATATGCGTTCGACAACAAATTTTCATCTTCTTGCGTGAAAGTGCGCGTAAACATATATCATGGCGAGGACTAGTTTCAACTAGCCATCAAATATTTATAGATTTGTACAACAATTCAGTTTGAACCCGCGAACACTAGCGTTATTGACCGTTCGATTTCTTTCTACACCATTGTATAAAGGAAATAGAAACTCAATTCAAGAAACACAATTGTAGTGAAAGTGGCTCCAGATACAATTATCCTCTTTGCTGACGACGGGTATCCCATTTTGTTTGAAGAGAAACAAATGCCAATGCCTAAGCAGCTTATCCTCGTTGGTTGTTTGAATTCCTCATTTTAGTATCAAGCATGTGTATGATGGAGTAACTTTTTCACTGAATAGACAGAATTGAAATAAATTCACGGAAACTTTTGAATTCAGACACCAATATTTTTAACCTTTGACCCGTTGAATTCACACTACACATCGATTGCAAAACCTTTCGGTTCTATTTTGGCTTTCCGTCTATGTCAGACTATACTATTGAATTGTGTTAATTAAATTAGGGTTTACCGCGTAGTAACTATGTATTCAAGATGAGGTAATGCCAATAACAATCATTGTACAATACGGTTTTAACTTATAAGCTATGGCAAAGTAAACTGTTGGTCTTAAATTTTTTTGACACTCTGTTCGCTACACCGTTTGTGTAGGCTAACTAAGTATATATCAGCATTTTCCATCTTCAGGATTTGGCACGATGATAGCAAGTGATGCTGCCATTCATTTTCCATTCTTATAGTTGGCAGTTGTGTATTTAACACAGTTGAGTAAATGTTGTACGATATTTCATATATTCGTCATATCATTTCTGATCGGCTTTTGGGCGTTTTTTTTTTATTTTTTTTATAGAACACGAAGAGTGCAGACAAATTTTTTTTCTCAAATGTTTTTCAATTAATAAAAACATCGTTTCGATCTTCGAGTCCATATATTTGAGAATAGCCTTTTTTGAACAGTACAGTGATTCCCAAACATTTTTTAAATCTCCCCTTTCGCATATTTGGAACTCTATATCCTACCTCACTATACATAATTATAATCTATTTTATTAGCTCAATTTTAATTGGGTCATAAACTAGTGTTATGCGCACATCCGCTTTTGTACAGTTGAGTCATTTCTAATGTATGCATAGATAGGTGGTATAGTTATGTATGCCTACCATACATCCCGTTTAGCCGGGACCATCCCGAATTTGGCAAGCTGACCCGTCGTCCCTCCCTGTTCCATGTTAATATAGTATGGAAGTCATAAATATTTTTTACATTTATGATTTTATGTTAATACAAAATTGTGTATTTTTAACGTAAGCAGCCCATTTATCACTCACTTCAGAGTTAGAGAGATAACTACTATATTGTTATGTCATAATTATTATAATATTTTTAATTCAACATATATATACGTTACGTTAAAGTATTCAAAATGTCCAATAGAGAGGTCTCGTTTTCAAATGAGTTGAATATCAATAATATTCATATGAACTTGAATATTGCTAAGTCTCTGGAATCGAAACAAAGTTTTCCCAATTTCCCCCTTTTTTGTTATATATATATAAATGGTAAGCCTAAATTATAAAGAGCTAAAGAATATTAGTAATACTACAGTAAATACAAAGCAAAATGCCACCCCAAGTACGGCAGAATGCTTCTCCGAGGAGAAATTATTTCTCGGTTGGCAAAGATGGTAATAGTGAAAGAATTCCTTTGTCCACGAAGAGGTTTACATCGGTATCAGTTCGAATTTGATAGGTCTGACTACTGCCATTTAAGCCTTAACAAAGTCTGGTATCTGGCTGAAATAAACATAATAATATGAAATAAACATATTAATAGCAATTCGGCCAATAGAATAAACCTGACCTATTTTCTTATAAATCAGTATGCAAATTTTGCAACAGTACACAAACCAAAATACTTTCTATCAGCGCATTTCTGTAACTACAGTCCAGAAGTTGACAAAAAAGATGACTCTACCTCGAACTACATTTAAACTTAATATTTTATTTTGATTTGAAAAAAATTACAGTATAACAAAGGAACTTAATAAGTAAACAAATCGAATAATAAATATATTGCGAATTTAAAACATCAGTTTAACTGCGAGACTGTTTAGTTGAATTTTTTCTTTTCTTTTTTCTCTCTGTTGTTGGTTGCTGAACATCAGAAGCATTATTTTGTTGTTCTTCGTTTGATGCAATTGTTCCTAGAAAACGAGGTTAGTTATCAAAATATCATTTACATGCACAAAAATACAGATGTAGTCTTAATCAATAATTCAGACGATATTGGACTCCGTGCATCCCCAACTGTTGCGTGATGATGTTTAGATTTACGCGAGCTCCATATACACTAATGATATTCAGCACAATGATTTTGCAATATAGTATGCATTCTCTGTTGTACATGACTGCGTCGTTATGGCAACTATATGTTAGAAAACTATCAGAGGCAACATATTAACACAGTCTCGTTATTCGCTCAAATAATGTCGTACCCGGCGACTTATCCACACCATGTATATTTCCGAAGGTAACTTCTTCAGAACTTTTTCTCTCTCCGGCTTTGTCTTTATGGCCGAGTCTGTCAACTTTGCTGACCAATTTCGAGTTCACTTTTTCCTGCAATGCAAAAAGGTTAAAAATAATTGTTCGATTCTAGTCGTTTTTTTACTAAAGGTGTCGTTAGGTTCATAGCCTGATCGATTCAGCATACGTGCTATTTGACGATCCATTGGAAGTAGTGTCACTGTCACTAACGCCTCCTATATGAAATGCTATATACATTCAACGTTCGATTAGCACAAACTGTTCAGGTCATTAAAACATGTAGAATCTGAACCTGCTTAAGGCCCTATGTATGTATTCGACTGTGTATGATGTTTTTCAATTCGACTTTTACGACTTTATGAGCAGGAAGATAACGTGATGAGATCGAGAATTTGTAGGAGCAGAAAAGTAAAATCTAGAATTTAGCAATGCAACAGAAAAGATGCTCCTAGTTTTTGCTATTATCATTAAATAAAAACTAGTTTCAATTCTTACTCGAACTGAGAAGCTTTTCTGTCTGTCTAAAAATGACTTGGAAGAAGTTTGTGTTGCACTTTTTCCCCAAGATTTACTTCGCTGAACTTTTGAACGATTCTGAGATGCTGTCGCAGTCTTGGGTTTGGTTGCAGGGTCCAGCCTTTTCTTTGCGTTTGTAACTAAAATGCATAATAGAGTAGGTTATCCTGAGTCTCGTGTCAAAGTTTAGGCAATCATTCTTATTTCCCTCGTCTGGATATGTTTTAGGTTTGATTAAGCTTTGAAAAATAGGAATAACGTTTATTCGGAGAAGAGAATTGCTAATTGCTACAGAAAAAAAAAAAATTTGGAATACCTATTGGGGTAAATGAAGCGATGCAGCAGAAGGGAATATTCCAGCGCCTACGTAGTTAATTTAACGAAATATAGTTCCAGATTGAGATCCACAAATATATTTCTGCTTACCTCTTTTGGGCGAAGTACAAGACGGATTACTTTTTCGATATTTGTTTATGCAAGTTTGTATCGATTTTATGAAATTTTGCTTGATTGAACTTGAAGGAGTTGTCACAATTATTTCAGCATCTTCCTCTCTGCAGTGGATTTTAAACTTGCTCGGTGAACCTTTCAAAACTTCAGTCACGGATATCTGACTCGCCTGAAAAACGATGAATCCTGTTATGCTAGGATAAACAATGTGTTGCTTTTACGTTGTAGATAGCAACAGACAGTCAATTTTGTATTCAATTTGTGATAAACGCGTTAGCGCCACTTTCAACACACTTATTTACTGTTATTGATGTGTGTTGATTTACCAGATCTTTAGCTGCATGGTGCATTCGCAGTATCACACTCAAACTTCTAAAATAAAAGAAATGCATTCAAGATTGTGGTTGCACCTACCTTTACATGTTTTTTAAATTGATATGTATTTTGAATGTCTGAAGTTTTCGATTTTGGTCCTGGTTTCCCGTTTTCTTGTTCGTTTTCGCCGATTTCGCGTTTTTTACAAATCAGCAATCCATTCTCATAAAGAAACAATTGTCTTAGAACATTTTTGTTAAATTTCGATCGAGCAAAATCCTTCACTTTTTGTTTCTTGTATTCCATTTGTATCTGAAATGGCCCTTGCATCAAAAGTCGACCAAGTGTAGAAAATTCTTCCTGAAATATATTTGAATAATTTAATTTTATGAATCGATACGACCATTGGACAATCGCTAATTCCGGTCACAACATTGAGCAAAAAATCAGTTATGCATTTGCATAATTTTAGTTGCATTTTGACAATTCCAAATCAAAACACGTTGAAAAATACGTCACAAATTGAAAAAGAATGGCCGTAAGTGATGAGGTCATAAATAATTCACCTGGAATCCTGTTATAGATATTTCATGCATGCTGTCATTTAATTTTTTCAGGACATCCATCATTGCATCAACCGCTGTCTTCATTGAAGATGACTTCGTGTTTTCACTGTATTTTTGCATTTGCTAAATATAAACACACATATATATATACTGAATTTCAATCATACAGCGAATTTCCGAATTGGAAAATCATTGCAGGCCGTTAAACGCCAGATAAATCGAAACAATGGGGCCTACTGCATTCTGGATTGTTGGTAAGTTTCATATTTAGGGTACATAATTGTTAAAACCAACGAAATTGCAATCTGCTGTTGTCCTGTGCGTCAGGTTCAAATAAATAAATCCTCTTTGTGATTTATAGCTGAGTCTGAGTTGACGGCCACATCTCGGGTAAGGAATGAAATTGTACTTCATTGTGAATACACAAATAATTTGCGCTCGATTCAAAGCATTTTTCTAGGACTATTGTAGTATTGCTTAATCTCTGTCCCATTTTTCTTTAAGTGCCATTTTTTACAAACCATGGATGAGAAACGTTCGTCACCAATTCGCTTTTCTTATTCAATTTAATCGGCTAGCGCGGCCAGCAAAATGGTTTTCGTCAATTATTCATTTATAAAGAACTGAAACATAATTCACACTGTGTTATACCTGTAACAATAGTTGGTATTTTGTAATACGCTGGACAGGCTTTAGCAAGTACGCACTCAGTGGTAGTCGATGCGATAATCTGCGTTGACATTCCACAAAGAAAACATGGTTCTCTCCAATTTGTTTCCGGAATAATTTCCTCTTGTTGCTGTCGTGGCAGTATTCATAATAAAGTGAAAAATCTGAAGTCTGTAACAATAGTAGTTTTGAGAATGAGAGAGTTTGAAGTCAAAATTTCATAATTTTATTATATGTATTTTTTAAATAATTATTTAAATTTCGCCTTAAGAATGCCCGGCAACTCCGAATGTTCACTTAGGGTCGAAAACAGTAGAATTAAGTTAAGAAAAATAAGACAATAATGCATCAACAACAAAAGATTTGGTTTGTAAGTCAGAAGTTTACTAATAAACTTCGAATTTACTAGTGAATTCATATTCCCTGAATCATACGTTTTCACTTTCAGCCATTTGGAGTTAACTCGGACAAATTGCCGTGATGTAACTGCAGTAGTGGGGATATGTACTTAAATCTATTGAGTCTTCTCACCTTCGATATAAATAATTCACTGATGGCGATTTCATCATTTCCGCATTCGATAATTCTTGGAAGCAAATGTTCTTCGTGAAACTTTTGAATTTGTTCGAGATTGCCGAGCAATAAACCACGATTTTCTTTCAATGATTCAGGAATAAATTCGCTCATTGTTGGATCATCTATCGCGTGACCGTAACCCTAAAAATCATAAACCATATCATATCATTGCGACATGTTGCAATATCGTCCAGTATCACAATGTTTTAAATGCTTGAATCTTATTGACATTTTGTATAGCACTATTTGTTATTGGTACTCTTGTAAGTTAACTAGGAAGAAAGTCGAAGGATCAAGAATAACTTATGTGCATTGAAAATGATATACCTGTACAATTTCTTGCAATTCTTCGACGTACTTTTTCTCTGTTTCCACTAATTCGTTGATAACTTGTCTATAAAAAAAAAAAGAATAATTGAAAATTTAAACCATTGCATCGAGTAGGTATGTGGAATCGTTACTCGTTGATAGGCGTTTTAAACGTTTAAAATGACCAGAATATTTTCATTTTAAAACTGAACCACTATTGGTGAGGTGAAACGCGGATTAATCAAGGAAAAACACAGGAATTTAATACGAAATAGCACACCAATAATAACAACATTAATTTTGTCACGTGTAAAAATATTTACCGTAGTTTATACACCGTTTCGGGAAGGGCTACTTCGCCATTTTGTAGAATCGGATACACGATGGCTGTATTGTCTGGTTTCGCAGTTGTATTCTTCTGTAAATAACAAAGTTTCCGTATGTCACTTTCAAATATCAAATGAATTTTGCGTTTGTCGCAAGAGATAGAAATGACAATATTCGATAAAGATTCAGAATCAATTCACAGTTTGGTACTCGGGCACATTATTATTTTTATGATTCTATTACAGAATTTATGTCTTACTATCATTGTGGATCAATAACCTGGACTTGATTTTGTTGTTTTCGCTGTACTCACCGAATTTCGGTTGTCAGATTTATCCGCTTCGGGTTCACTGGTGTTCAATGAAAGTTTCAAGATAGCTTTTCGTTTCTCAAATAACTCGAAAACAAGATCAAATTGCGAAATTGCTTCGTCCAGCGGTTTCTGAAATAGAAGTTTGAAATGAATTAGAGTGCTAGGGTGCCAAGCCAAGTAAACTAAAAGCAAAAAGGGCGTAACTCTGTAAATTTGTTGTAATTTTCAGAAATAATATAAAAAGAGCTCTCGATTATCAGTTCAACTTATCTGTTCTTTAATGTAATATCGAGTTCGGGTCACAGTGGAAATGGATAGTGGGTAGTGGCACAATGGCCGAGCCGGGCATAGAGCGATATTTCTAATTAGGTTTAGACGCGGTTTCGGGCTTTACAGTTGAAATTATTATAATGTGACTTACAATAGAGACCGTCAAGGACAGGTAATCCGATTTTTAAGGTCGTGTTATGCGCATCAAAAATCGATGTCTTGTTTGACGTAATTACGTATTGAATATTCAAATTCGAAATCTCCCTGCGTCACTGTAGGTCTTTTAACGTAATAAGTGGGAGGTAAAATCTATATCTCATTATGCTAACCTGTTTTGACACTTACAGTAACGTGATCAAGCACTTGATTTTTCTCCAATAATGATTTACGTAATGCGTCGATATCCAGCGCGACACTAGAGGTCGTAAACGATTCCAATTCGTCCAATGCTTCAGATAAACCCACAGAAGATTTAGCTTTCTCCAGATTTTGTACAGAAAGTAATTTCATACCTGCGTTACTCCACTCATTTACCTATAAATTAAAAAAAATGATTATTAAAAAAATTATGATTTCCATGCCATATAATTATTTAATTATGAAAAAAAAATTCTTTCTCTGTCAGCAAGGTATGGCTGTTCGATTTATCTTTTCACTGGTTGGAAAAATAAAACTTGACTTAATACTTGGTTATGGACCGCCGTCGTACACCGGTGCGTCGATTTCCATATTTAGAAACAGCGGATCGTCACAATTTCAAGCATTGTTTCCAAACAACAAATACATGCATCGCGTAAACTAACCATGAAATATCAAATTTCACAGTGTGTGAGTCATAGTTGCGCACTTGGGAACTCGATCGACTCGATATTGATGGAAAAGAGAGGCGAATAAAAATTTTTTTTTTTTTTATAGAGTTGGTTAAAAAGTGGTCAGTGGAAAAAAAAAAAAGTGGTTCCATACCGGTATATCTTAAAATCAGATCGTTCAGTATCGGGTTTCAACTATATTTACTCTCGCTCCGAGAGAAATATTCATGTTAAACGTTTTAGGGTGGAAAAAACACACTGCAACAATTAAAATTGATATTTTAGTATTCTCCCGTTATGAGCTCTGATATATGCATGCAATCTTCATATTCTGAAGAAAAGTTTTCGAATCTATAAAGAGTAAGCCAAACATTTCTCGATGTGACACGAAATATTGAACAACGCTTTCTGGACTGAGAACAAATATATTTTCATCATATATGATATTTAGATATACTGCCTTTGTTGGTCTTCTGCATTAGAACTTACACTACCTGTTGCTACCATTGTTGCGTGCTATTCTAAAGTACACTATCCCTGCTGAGCGCACAAAATTAGTGTCACTTTCGAGCTATATCGCCGAATGATAAGGCAGCTGAACGGTGCGAATTTTATAAAGGAATATGATTGATATGAAAGACAGAACGATAAACGAAGGCGCGAGATTATAGGATGATCGCTACGTTCTTTGAGGATATCTGACGCCGACGTCGGTCTAGCGCCTAGCACTCTGTGATCCAGCGAAAGATATTATCGCCACACGCTGCAGACATAACCGGATTTTTGCCGTCTCTTAGTCTTTGCGTATATGCGAATTATCAAACGTAGTATTTAAAAAAAGATTATAAAAATGTTTGCCTTCCTTCTTCTAGGCACGTGCCTATTCAAGTAGTAGTACTTTGATTTCTTTTTCGTTATTTATGCAGGCTTGAACATATTTTATTCGCCGGAAATCGAATTATGACATTGATATCGAAATGTAAAAAGATATTAGTGGTTTGCCTAACGACGAGTTCACGGTTTTGTGTTTTGCCTTAAAGCAGTAGATAAAAATAGTGAAATTGTAAACGGATATATTCAAAACCAGAAAAATTAATACCAAAGACACAAAAACACTTCATTTAATATCCATGTATGGCAAAAGAATGCTTCATTGCCATCATTACAACCGAGATTATTATTTTAGTCTTGAAGCAAATCTGCTTATTTGAAGCCCAATTCAAGCAACAATCGTCAAACCAAAATCAACTAATAATCGGCGACGAAGTAAATCAAAAAGTCAATATTTGATATAAATATTAGTTCACCCAACCAGCCTATTTTACGGTTATTTCCGAAATCAGTCCCAAAAGAATATAATAATCATTAAACGCAATTAACTCGCATGAATTACTGTATATGAACTTATTAGCAAATCCATGGTAAACGACAGGAGACGTAATAAATTATTCACGCACGATCACAACAACATTTTAATTTTCCGAATAAGCTATTCTCTTTTCTGAGAAGACCGCTCGTTCTTTCTAATTAGCTGAAGAGAAGTTGAAAACAATCGACGGTCACATACAATCATCTCACGCTATGAGTTTATTCACATCACCATATAGTTTTTTTATATGCATTTTTGTTTTACAGATTACGACCAAAACACGCAAAAATATATATACTGTATAGTTTGTGTGGGAATGAATATTTCCCATTTTTTTTTTGATGTAATTGAAGATAAACAAGGGAAAGAGCGACCCCTCTGTCCGGTTCAATGTAGATGGATTCAAATGTTTTGATTTTCTATACTTCATATACACACATCTGAATTACATGCTGTTAAAAACTTTACCCAGCTCAATATACACTTATATGTCGTACCTCTCGAATGGATTCCTTGATGCGATTTAAAAATAGATCATTTTGTAATTTCTCATCCATTAAATTCTGGTAACAGTGTGACAATCTTTTCAATTCTTCACATTTCGGTTTTATACAATCTACGGCGTATGGATGATCACGCATTAGACCTTCACCATCAGCACAAGCTTGTATGCACATGTCTGCTGTTTTCTGAACAAAATATTTGATCAATCGTTGCATAATGAAGAATAAACCATACTTGGAAATAAAATAAACGCCATTGTACCTAATATTACATGTTGGGTCGTTTTTCGTTCCAATTTGTTTTAATTTTCCGTCATTTTCAATTTTAAAATGTTGGACAAAATCGACTCACATTTATACAAACGATAAACACAAATTTTCGTATGAAAATGTGTTGTTTTAGTAATTCAGTTCTCTTTTGTTTGCGTGTGAATTGGAATATTTGTAACTTATCCTATAATAACATTATCACTCGACTATTCACAGCCTATTTACTTCCTGTGATGAATAATGAGATAGATTTCGAATAGTTTCAAAGTCTCCAATAATCGTCATTTCTGATTTTCCTGTTTCATATTCTAAGTCTTCAATCAGGCAACTAATCCTTGATGCAGCGTTTTTGTAGTTCTGAAAATAATCGGTAGTTTCGAACAAATTGCAAAAGGGAAATTTCATGTCTGAAGAAAACGTTTTTCGCCAGTCATATTTACTTCTCTTTCACAATTTTCTACGAAATCTTACTTTTGTAACACCGACACAACGATAGAAATGTTGATTACAGATGATTATGATCATTTACTTTACACGACACAGTATCGATCGATGTGTATAGCTTCTATTGTTACAGCGATCGCTTTCAACTTATCTATTAATAATCTAACACGACGTTCTTTTGGCAAATTTATAATACAAGATAATCTAATGTAAGTTTAGTTTAAATTTTTTTTATCTATTTTGAACTATCACTCCAAATATAAAGTATAATTGCTACTCGTTACAGCCAGTATACATGTCCCAACCTTTTCAAAAGATTTCAATTGCAAGTATCCATCTCTCTTTGTTTCATAAGTTTTCCAAAAATTTCCGAACGTATCTTTGACCTCCGATATTAGAGAACGAAGACTAAAAATAAAAACAGCCCTTTCCACATTGCCTGCTCATATTCAAAAATGAACAACAACGAAAACGACAACTGGTAAAATTGCAGGTGATTTTAAGTTTGTAAAACTTGCATTGTTTGCTTCTCATCAGCAGGGCATGTTGCCATATGAATACTCAATGAGTATAAAATTAACCAAACGTAACAGAAATATATTTTCTTTATATGCGAAACAATCAAAACATAAAGCTCATTATAATTAAGGAGTGAAGTTTGTTTTATCTGACAAGACCGCAATTCATAAAGAAAAAGACGTAGTTGCATATTTGCAAACGAATAGATAGGCTGGTTGGTTTTAGATAGAATGGTTTGTTCAAATTAACATAATGGGTAAAGAATTATCTATGGTTAAAGAATAACTCTAATTTTAAGTTTTAGTCAATATTTACTTGGCGCGTTCGTTATGCCAAAACATTAAAACGTAACAAAAAGTAGCTAGTTATGCAAATTGCTTACGAAAACGTCTTCTGCTTAAATACGTTATATATAAGTCTGTGAAACCATATAGCGTTACAGTAAACGAGTGGCAATGGACGACTGAATTTTTTGTTTATTAATTTATGTCCAAAATATTGCAGACAAATAGTCAATTGCATTTTAAAGCTATACAGTATTTGGAAAACATCAAGTTAGATATAACCATAACCTATTAGAAAAGGATAGGATTGACATATTTATCCCAGGAGAGAGAGAAGCCGATAAGACCGCTTGATGGCGAACCACGGACCCCCGTGAGGTTATTAATACATGTCGGGTATGGAATTAGGTAGGCAATTATTCGTTTTCAGATGCACGGACTTGATGGTAGAGGAAGCTGTAACCGACCAGTGATTACGTAAACCACCCTACGGCGGCGTGGAGTCCAGCAATCGTCTTGCACATTATTATTCCACACGAGATTCTAACCTGCAAATCCACGCAGGGTAACCAGATGTGCGATGACAAGCGTATACAGCGCGATGTGCCACATAGGCATTTTTGAGGGAATCCACGGGACTAAAGATTCAAGATTGAGAATTTCTGTTTCGAATACATGAATAGCAATTGGGAAACCTTCAAAAGTCGTACTAACCAATTAAACTTACTGTGCAATGTCTTTTACACTCACACTCACGGATTCCTTGTCTGTCATTTCAGTTTGCCAAATTTCATCAAATAAAGCATTGTGGCCTTCTTTGTTCAGCATGTCAATTTCAGCCTGTGGCAATATACAATGTCTTAATACTTGGGAATGAACATATATATATATACTACCAACCGTTCTGCAAAACGGTGGCTTTAATAATGGAAATGAACACTGGAATTATTTATTCTATTAAGGTAATTAAGTGGTTTTCAATATTTGTGGTAGAGCGGATCCCCAATAAAAACATCCGAGATGCCCGAGAAACTCCTACGCAATAGTTAATTGTCTTTTATTTTTTAAATTGATTGTATAAATTATAAATGTTCATAAGAGCAAACTAATACTGGTAAAACAAAACGATCTCTGAGGTGTTCCAATTTCAATAATAGTGGCAAACGTATTAGATTATATTTGATCAATATCAATATGGACTCTTGAATTGGAATGGAAACTTGCGCAACCCTGGCCTGTAGGCTACTGACGGGAAACCCTAGGGTGCCACGGAAACCCGGTCGAAAACTATGAGTTAGATGTTGGTCGAAAACTATGAGAAAGGGTGCTCCCGAAGTATGCGAACCAAGATGGCGGACATCGGAACGTAACATGGGTAACAGGTTAGGGTTAGGCGATAATTTGTTTCCAATGTTCCTTATTTTAGTCCTATTATCAGTTCGAAGACTAGCCAAGAGCCTCCCGTAGTATTTATACCTAAAATTATGGCCTAACCCTAACCTAGTACACATATTACATTCCGATGTCCGCCATCTTGGTTCGCATACTTCGGGAGCCCCGAGATAAGTGTTGTCTGTAAAAAATACCGCGCCAGTCCATGAGGGGGATTAATCCACACCTGGAAGAATGGGTTACCAGCACTCGAACCTGGTATTTTAACACGAGATGCCATATTGTGAGGGCAACGCGTTTTTCACTCAGTAATGGATTCGGATTCCTCTGACTTGTATTGTTTTTGGTCCATACTGTATAACTTACCATCACTCGTTCACATTCGATATTTTGAAGAGCAACTTTCTGTTCACAAATCTCCTCTGGAACGATGTGTTCGTTAATTAATTCAACAGAATATGACTTGCATCGTTGAATGACTCTCTTCAGCAATGTTGCCAGATTTTCAATCAACTAAATCATAGTAAATTTTAAAATTGTGATCAAACCCCATCTGATTTTACTGAACATTGTGCAATACATGTAATATACCTGTCGTTTCTTGAGCCAGGCTGTATGGTTGTAATCTGCCAGTCCACCAATTTCCTGGGGCAAATCCGATTTTGCAATCCACGGCCAAATACTTTCAATTTGGCCCAGGAGCTCAATCTAATATTTGAAAATATAGGGAAATTGAACGAGATGTAATTCCCATCGGTATTCCACAAAATTATGAACAAAGTATGTCGATAATAAAATCTGAAAGTGACATTTATAATTTCGTCTTGAAGAAATATGAAATAGTCAAAGTAACGCTCGCTATTGGTTATATTGTGCTCATTGAGAAACTTATTTTTATTAGAAGCATATATGCTTACAACGCGATTTACTGCTCATTACTAGTCAAATGTTACCAAATGAAATATTACATAATACAGAAGGCAAATACGACACAACGATTGTCAATTATACTTCATTAAAAACAGTTTTATAAATGGAGCAATGGAAAAGGAAAACAAATCACATTTTTAGACAAAAGCGGAAAATTAAACCGCCAATGGGAGATACACAGATGCTCCCAATTGGAGTTCTTACCGGCACCTTGTAATTATATTCATCCTTTTGATAACGCATTGCAATCGTTGACAATGTGCCATGAAGAATACTTGTTGGTCTTAGAGCAAGAATCATCTTTAATTCTCCAGGAAAACTTGTCTGTAAAACAGTGATTTGCCATAAGAAAGTGAGAAAGGTATCAAGTGCAGAGTAACCTCTGAAAACCTACATTTTGACATATTTCCTTAATATATATTTTCAATGACAGTTTTTCGAAATATTCATTTTAGATGACGTAAACAAACTTTGAGGTTTAAAATTTTAACGCAAATATTTCCAAGCGAATTCCCAACAAATGTTGTTTTGCTTTTTCGGTTTTACCAAGCTAATTTTCAAAATAACTGATTGTTCACGGTCCCACGAAATCAATAAACGAACAACATTTTCTGTTTTACGTCATCGTTGCCACGATAACAAAAAGCCCCATCAATCTCGACCGTGTACTTGGACGAGCATTTACCAATAAATAATTTATGCATTCATTTCCTACCGCAACGTTCCGTAAAATCCACGCAAGACAACTCCATCTGCTCTGGCGACTATCGATCACCACGACAAATCCGACATCTGCAGACGATGCACTAAATTTGTTGTTGTTTTAATAGAACAAAAAGAGAAAATTAGCTGTGAGATTAACGGAATTAATTCATTTATAAAGTGACAAACGGTTAATTAAAACTAATTACAAAATTAGCAGGTATTTTTTGGAACGCAGGATTGATGTAGAAAACAAAGTATATGTCTGTTGGTCTGTTTCATAAGTCGGCAACTCGAATAGTCGCGACCCACAGATCTGATTCGCGACAAAAAAGCATGGAATTTAAGAGATATGTGTAGGAAACTATATTTATTTATATGAAAGATGACATACTTTTAATAGGGCTGTAGCTGTTCGCATGAGAGTATTTAAATTCCAATACGCCACATCTCATGACGTAATATTTTCGTTAGTTGTTCGTTTTCTATTCTTTATTTTGTTTTTGAATGGTGATGAAGATTCACTTACTTTGTTGCTGCCACGAGATATTTGATTACTCCTCTGAAATCACTCTCACTTGTATCATCCAATCTCGCGTTATTGGGAATGAATATGATCGGAGATCCAAAACGATCCGTTCCTCCGGTCAAACAGGCTATTCCGCGATTTAGTGGTGACCACCCATTTCCATTATGCGGTAAACAATTGAATAATCCGGGATACACAACTTTGTCTGAAACATTGAATCAATAAGCTGTTGGGCTTGGTAATTATTATTTTAATTTTTGTTCACTACCGCATATTACAATTTTCTACGTTTTAAATTGTGAGATAACGCCAATACATCTCAATGCTAAGGCTATTGATATCCTGACCATGCCTATCTGACTTATAAACACTTAAATAAATCAAACGTTATAGTCCTACTAGCAATTCGAAAAAATTAATACGAAATCATAGTTTTACGATTAAAAAATAATATTAAATCCATGAAGCAAAAACTTTTTCTCACGTACCTACGCTCCTGTAGATTGATTCAAAGCGTTGATAAAGTTCAGAGATAGCAACCTCCTCCCAATCCATTCCAAATATTGTTTTTGAATTTTTTAAATCAAATCATAATAAGAATAGTCAGTACAACAGGCATCACCATATTTAGGTGCTACATTATAACAAAACGATAAACTGAAATAAAAAGAATATTGATAAACAAAAGTATGAGTCAAAATCAGCGTTTTTGGTAGAATATATATATCTGTGTCTTGCTTTAGCTATTGGTAACCATACATATAACATGCATGCGTATACCAATACTTTTAAGATATAACAACCACATGTAAGATCTATATCATTGCGGCTGTTATCGTATTGAAGAATCATTATATACAATAGATCGTGTACCAGTGTATTGTTATGTACGTACAATCGAACTTGGTCCCCATGCTATCGTGCCGCACTTGGCAAAATCAAAGTTGCAACACACACCGTTACCTGGAAGTATTACGTCTTACTTGTATATTTGGAAAACAAAACGTAATTGTTCTGTCGGATTCCGTGGGTATGTGTATAACCAATATCAATTATGTATATTTTTCTCGCATACATTTTTTCGCATCGGCCCTTTGGATTATTTTTAATGACTTTCTGAATTCGAGGCATTCCTGCGGGATTAAAATAATACATCGCTTGAAGATAATTGAGTTTATGAGTTGGTGAATATGATATTGTGTTCGGTCAGATGACTCAGTATATTCAACCCATCGGTTTAAACCAGGGGTGGGCAAGGTTTTTGAACCAGGGGCCAAAAATTTTGCCCGCCTAGACTGGCCGGCCATAGAAGTGTAAACGCGTAAAAAGTTACATTTTACGAACAATATTTACCGAGTTACAAAAGCAAAAGTGGAAAACAATAAACCTCATGCCGAAACTGAATTTAATCCCAATCTCAACAAATTTCTTGGGCTATTTTAAAACATTAAAATTTGGTTTTCCTTTCGCAAGATTGAATTACCCAACGGGCCGGATCTGACCCGCGAGCCGTAGTTTGCTCATGTCAGGTTTAAACAAATAACCTACTGAGTTTATTAATGATTTTGCATAGCCTATACAATTTATTGCGGCCCCGCGATAGCTTTGGTAAGGATGCCATAGGTGCTAATGGGGCAAACCCAGAGTTTATGAACCGAGAAGCTAACCTAGCAGACCACACGCTATGCATTATGTGCTTACATATTGTTTCTCTTTCATGCTCGGGATCATTTTTTGATATATCTAAATGCAATACATTTTTTTTTAAATTTGTGACACTTTTAAATATTCATGTTAATTTTAAAATGGCTTCCTATTTTTATTTAATATAAATGATCGTCAATATTTTTACGCAAAATGTTTTTGAAATATTTTTGGAGAAAGATCAAACACTAAAAACATAATACATCCCGTAGTTGTCGAGGCCCCGGGAAATGATAAGATTATATTTCAAACTGATTTCATCACTTTCGGATTCAAGTTTCAGGTTCAATACAGGGCGGTGTATTTTATTTCCTTGTTATGTTTTGACATAACGACCACATTCCTGTGAAGTTTTAGAATTTTATTCGATGCAATTGTTTATTTTGCAATTTATTTTGTAGATAACCTCGAGAACTGTTACATTTTTCATCTCGTTTAAATGGAATAGTTTGTATTCTCTCCGGTTTGAAATCAAATTTTAGGATGTTAGAGTCAGATATAGCTCAACCAAGTTTACCTATCGATCTAATTACTTTTTTATTATAACTAGTGTTTGTTATTCACGCTGTTTTAAATACGGAACACATAAATGTTCTTTTGTAATGTTTCACAAGAATAGTCTATTTCTCCTTACATAAACCGTATCTTTCATTTCCCTTTAATTTTCTCTTTCGGATAGCACATTCTTCAATTTCCATATATGATATTAATATTCTTTTTGCATGACGCACCCATGCATATATGTTGATGTCAGAACTCTGTACCTATCTCCTACCACACATTCATGAAATACATGGTATTTCTATCCTATCACTAAACTGAATACCACCATTGCCCGAAATTTCCTAAAACAACCTGCTCTCAGGTTATCACGATAAACTCTCGATGTGAGCGCACTTTCAAAACAAACTTGCCGACTTTTCTCGCAGAAAGCGATATGTGGAACTAAATAATTCATAAATTTAATCGATCGAAACCTATTTTGAACCAGTCACCTCCGCCCAGCAGGAATAAGAATAAATGTTCAATGTCAATGTTGCAAAAGATGCGAAGCGTTCTTTCAAAAAATGTCCACCAATGCCGGTTACATTCTTCCCTTCCATTAAACATGACTCATATATAAAATATCCATTTATGCATGGATTATGCTCGGCAGTTCGTTCATGCATAAGATAATGCATTAATTTGAATACGACTCAATTGTAGCAGATGGCAGATGAGCGATGGAGTCGATAACGTAATCAATGCAATGCAAACACAGCCGCCTTCCTCGAATGTAATAAACTGGATCATAAAATCGAATTCCATTACATTGTTGCTTGTATCTAATTAAATTATGTACTGTTAGTTCTCGCTTGTAGGAGTTGTTTTTTCGAATATGGGTCCGATAGTTCAAGCGGTATTTAATTATAACTGGCTTACTTTACCGATACTTTTGTCGTCTTTTTTTCTTATTGACAGCTACTCTATCACTGGCATTTTAACAAATAAGGAAGAGCGTCAATAGAAACCGTGTCATCCCACCTTTTACACTCATTTAACTTGGTAGAAAGAGATCAATGAATCAAACACAACTATATTGAGTAGTGCATTTTAAATAAACGCAACCTTGTTTGCAATAGAATATTTTGCTTCAACTGGAAATTATCTTTTGGGTGCATGTGGATAAAAATCGAAATTGTGCCGGTAGTTGAATGCGTTCAGTGTGTTACCAAGGTGAACAATGGAGGATAAAGTCGTACTCATTGAACATGGCCATCTCATCAAAATTATTTTTAATCTCGTTGAATCAGCCGCGATTTGGTACTGATTACGCATCAATCCCAAGGGCTTCTTACCACTCGCCTTGATGACAAGTTGCTATATTAGCTGGTATAATGGCACATTTGATCCATATTAATGTAGCATCTATATTCGTATGAGCGCAGACCAAACTTGGCGCTGTAGAAAGGTGAATTCATCGTCAACTGATGTGTATCTGCTATAAGTGTTGGAGTATGTTTTAATTTAAACAGTCAATCCAACGGATATTTTTCTTGTGTGACGTAAAAATAATTAGTTTATGATTCGACGTAAGTGGGCGGTAAAGATCTTCATTCGAGAAGTTCATTCAATTTCATACCAAGGCTTTTGCAGCGAAATATTTGTCTATTTCCTTTATGAAAAAATAAAGGAATCAGGAAATAAATTATGAATAAAATGTTACGAGAAAACGAAATAAGTTTGACTTAGATATGCAATTCATTCTCTAACAATACAACATTTTGTCACTCACAAACACTACATTCATATTAAATTTTGCAATTCACGTTAATCATAATTGAATAGAGTACGGCCACAACCGAAATCCAATTTCATAACTTTATAGGCAATGAAACAGAACACCAGATTCCCACTGCCACTCTGAACTTGCCAGTTGTACATCTATTCCCAGAGGTATTCCGCGGAAGCTGACTTCTGGCAGTGATGAAACTGTGATAACTGAATGTGGCCAGTTATTAATTGTGTTTGATGATCCAGATATTTATTTGAGCTATTCACAATGTTAAACAAGAAAAAATGGATGGAGTGTTAAATGGAAGCTCATAGTAAACAAAAATATACATTTCATTTTGCCCATTGATGGACATATTCGTTTGTTCGATTTTTTTTTGCTTCCTCCCAGACAATTACACCTGCAGACTACCAATATGAGTATGATTATTTACAGTATAGTTCAAAATTTCGCGAACATATATATTTTAAATCAAATTTCTCGCTATGTTGATGTGGAATTTGAATTATGGTAAATATTAACTGTTATAAATAACAAAATAACGAAGTTGCGGCATTTCGTTTCTATACACTCGATATTGAAAGTAAAAGTTCCAAGAAATCAATATTCAATTTCACGGTGAAACACTTCGTTATGCCAACTGCCAACTCGAACAAAAGAAGATTTTCATATCCAATATCTATTGTATTCATAGTAAAAGATTTATCTTGCTCGAATGACGCACGAAAATACGTCTTCGAGTCTTTGTTAGGTTCGTACATAAAAGTACATTACACACTTTCATTCAGAGTTTGGCAATTCATTCCACTATTCATGGGGTTTACCAGGATTGTTTGCTCTGTCGTTCTGCATTTATGACACGCATATCAATTCATGTTGACAACTTTTCTATATCAATATTCTGTGTAAATCACACAAGTACCCTAACTGGGCCAGCAAACACACAGGTCAGAAAGCTGATCTTTTATTGGCCTTTGCCACAAGACAAATATTAATATGACTATCGATCAGAATGAATTGAAATTTCCTTATATCCAAGTCTTCGGTTAGATTCTACTGGTGAATGAGTCAATAAGTAAAAAAAAATTGCTTTATGCAAAATTAGATATGACTGAAAACAAGGCTGTTCTCACAAAAAAAGAAACAGCTCACTCGGAAGAAAACTGTTAGCAATCACTGGGGTGCACATAACCATTGGAAATGTGACTACAAGCATGGTTGAAGAAGTGAATGTCGCTAAAAAGACTGGTAGGAGAGCGAATAGGTATAGAGAGCGCCAAGCTAATTTTCAAATCAAACGATCAACTCAACAGTCATGGACACAAAATTTATAACGATTAGAATAATGATATACCTATCCATGTTGATATGTATGTGACCACTTACGATGTGTGTGTAAAAATTATGGTAAATTCATTGTTCACGAGGTCAAACCATAACACTTCTGCAAAACATACCAGGCCGAACGCCAAGCTATTTATAGGCAAACGGGAGAGAGAGTAAACAAGTTGCTGAGCGTATGTTAAGCGAAGCGTGCACTTTTGACATAGATATGTTTCATATGGCCATGATAACGTATAATCAGCATCCTTATCGTAGAAAGGTAACATTTTTTTAGCATCGCTGGTTCAATCTCTCTGCTGTAATTTAGTTTCTATTTTCAGTTGAGGTTAATGTGTTTAATTACCTTTATTTTTTCTTATTTTTTTTCCACAGAAGATTAGGCAGTTAGGCGTCGGGAATTCCCAGAAGTAAGTACTATTTTTTCTCGGCTCTCGTATTTGAAGCGCGTCTGCAGCGGCGCCTCCAATCGCAAATGTCTATTGCGTTTCGTGGAAAAGGATATGGCGATGGCTACTGAAACCCTCAACCCCTTTCAAAATGGTGGGAGTATTGAATGTTGCGGTAATTGCCGGGATGAATCATCGCGATATTTGGACACAGGCAATGGTTCTGCTGGGCAAATGAGCGTACATAAACAGCATCATTTATACGCGTGTAAGCCGTTGCGGAGTTTGCCAAAACGCCATTCCTCAACTGATTCTGGATATGTTTTGGATACAATTGACGAGTGTTGTTGCCATTGTAATGGAAAATCAACAGGTAGTGATATTGGAATTGCGATGTCAAGGAATTCATCAGGAAATGATATGCACTTACCAGCCAATGGATCGGAAAATGCAATAAGATGGCCAGATGAAAAACATATTTGTGGCTGTGGGTATGCAAACTCACCGCGTGATATGGCAGTAGTGCCAAATGACACACAATGTTCATGCTCGAAAAGCCAAATGAATTGTAGCCCAGCGATTTATGGCACTACCTCGCTAACATGCGGATCAAAAAACCTGTCATCACCGAGCAAATCTGCGAGAACAAGAAGCAAATCAGAAAGTTGCTGTGATTCCGAATCTACAGTTTTCCCGTCACGAAGGAGTGATGCATACTTATTGCATAATGGGTCACCAACTCATGACAGCTACTCTGTAGCAATGACAAAAGATGAATGTCAAACAGCCATGCCACGAGGCAAGAAACGTCGCTTTCCAATGCCATACAAATTAATGTGTATACCGCTAATCATCTCCGCGACGGCAATAGCATTACACTTTTACAACTTTTCAAGACTACAAGAGTTGGAAAATAAGGTACGTTATAAAGCTATATGGTATCTTGTTACAATAAATTAATGTAGCCTTCAAAATAGGTCCATATTTCCATGCTTAACTATTTCGAATTTATTTCGTCGTCGACTTTTCCCGTGCGGTATATCTTCAGGTTACGATGTCAATTTTTTTTGTCAAGTTACACTAACGTTTCTTTTGTTCGGTTTCGACATTCAAGAGGCATGGAAACGAAAAGGCGCGCAAATAAGAAAGTATCGTCCTCAAGGCGGGAATTTCCCAGATACGATACCTTGAAAGACGCCCCGCCCCGTAGGGTTCAACGAAGCGAAAACATATTTTATTCATTCGATCTGTCGAACTTGGGCCGTAATAGAACGTGTCAGAAAATCACTCGGCCCATTCAATTAAATAGACTAAACAATGCCTGGCGTCCCTAATCGCATGGGACCTCGGGCTGGCATAAACTAATTACAACAGTATGAAACATTAAACGCGGGATAGCGAATATGACTGCGAAACGACGCTTGTCGATACGTCAAGGGTTGGGATTCAACAAGTTGCAGATAAAGCGATAAGCGTTCTGCAAGTTTGCAACGATGTTGTCAGTAAAGGTCAAATAGCTCAACAATCGTTTGCATTCCGCTCAGCCAGTTTAGCGAGAAAACACTTTTGCTATGAATAAGAATACTTTTTTTTTCTAGCACAAATATGCACAGTGGGATGTCTCGGATTTCTAATAATAATCAAGCTCATTTTATAACATTCTTTATTTTTTGTTTATTCAAAACATTTTGCCGATTTCTCCAATTCTCCCTAAGCTTCCCAGAGCATCAATTGACCATATTGGCCACGCATTAGTACTGTTGCATTTCTTCACAACCGCTTCAAAAGTATTATTTATCATGGTATTTTCTCGATATATAGCATTATCTAGGATAGGTGCCACAAATAAACAACCAAAGTTTGACTAACGGCCGTTGTTTACTCACCACTATAAAAATCTTTGGTTGGCAAATGGCCAAGCAAATATTAGGAAATTCCCCACACCAGTGGCAAAAGCTCGTAATTTTGTATAGCTTGCGAAGTGGTCAGGGGAATTCACAATGATTGCTAGATATGGGCAACGAATAAACACACGTATGTTTAATGAAAAGTACCATATTAATAAATGTCTTCCTGAGATAAGCTGATATATTTTTTGTATGATATTTCCATATTATTTGTTAAAACTGCTTTTCTGATTTGCGGTGTCTCCGGAAGATTTTATGCTCCAATCTCGGCAGTATGGTCTTTTGCGAGTTGAAGTTTTTGGCAAATCGTCAGTTTTGCCAGAGTTACGCTTAATTTGTTCATTCTTACCATTCTGCATACCATACTGCATTTTAACACATATACCCAGACTTGTTAACTAATCCTTTTCGCGCTAAGAGTGACCTCGGAAATTTTTCCATTATTGGTATTTTAATTAATTAATTGCCAATATTAATTTACAGATTAAAATCTTCGAAAAGAATGAGAGTAAAAACAATATCTCGCCAAAAGCAGCTTTCTCCCACGCGGGAATGATGATGCGAAATAGTGGACATAAAGAGGATGATGTCCGTCCACACGCTCATTTGATTTTAAAACACGAAGAAAATATTGCATGTAGGTTTTTGAAAACGTTTTCAATTGTTCTACATTGTGTTTTTATGCGTGCCTGAAGTTCGATTGAATATACCCCAATTGTTCACTGTTACTTACAATACTACTAGATTGGCGTCCTACATTAGGTATATATCATTTTATATCATTTTAATAATATTGTTATATATATGTTTGACTATTAAACTTTTTATAATGGATGTCCAATTACCAAATTTTTAACTTACTGTCATGCAAAAAAGATTTCCTAATGCATTGACGGACGAAATTCCGGATAGAAAAGTTTACATAAATAGAAAGAACCAACGAAAAAAAAACGAGATGTATGCTATGTATACCAATGTATTTTATCTATCAAGTCGAGGTCGAAGATGTGACATACTTCATAATAATTAAATACTAAGCTGATGCCAATACCATTGTGATAAGGTACATTAATTGGCTAAGTGGTTTGAGTACTTTCTGTCATTTTTCACTTTGTTGCCTTAATGTAATTTTTACGAACATGGCCACCACTAAATTTAATACTTTAATTAACAGTGACCGAATGGAGTCAACACATTCTAGCATGGACACCGCATATTGTAGAAGGACAAACATCCCTAAAATATGATGAAAAAAATCGGTGCCTAACCGTATATGAAACCGGCATTTACTTCGTATATAACCAGGTTTAAAAATTCTATATTTTGGATTTCAGGTATTGTTCCGTTATCGCGGGCGTCACGGTCTATTTGTTGATATGCTTCATACGTTTTTAACCGTTAAACTCTTTCATTTTCTAAAATATATTTAATCGCCTATAAAACCTGCGTGCAAGTTATTTTGTTTACTGTGCACAAAAATATAAAAAAAAAATCCGATTATTATTTTTAGAGAAATTGTCAAGTTTAGAGAAACGCATTCAGCTTCTTAATCCTTAAATCTAGCACGACAAAGACTTTTAATCGACGCTGTTGAAAGCCTGTTTAGACTTTCATCGCGAGCTTCTTGCTTACTACGTCAAAATACTTTGTTGTGATTGTCTTTCAATTTACAAACTTTTGTTCTCTGTGCACTCCTTTGGTTATATAAATAAAGATTGTTTTAATGCAAATCGTGAACAATAAATTAACGAGAATATCGGTCGGAGACCGAAGACTTATCGATCTTAGATAGGTAATTAGTTAATAACTCGCTAATTATACGACATAATTAACCCAAAATCTATAGGCTTCTGGTCCGAGGTAAGATGCATGCACATGCAAAATTTGGAGCAGATTCAACGCAGATTCACGCGTTCGTGAAATATCGCGTTCATCTAACAGACAAACATACAAACAGACAGACAGACAAACAGACAAATACCTATCAACATACTTACCGATCTTAAGATCGATAAGTAATAATGTATATAAGTGGTAACTATCCAATTTATTGAAATTAAGTTGATGTTGGATTATACATAAATAAGGGGAAACATTCGGAATAGGCGATTTTGCAAATAATATACATGGTCAATCCACAAAACTCCCCCTTCCACAAAAAAAAAGACGAAACCCATAGAATATGTTCCAAATGACCTGGATTCCGTTTTGAGGGGGCACGTACTGCTATTGCTTGATTGCAAAAATTTAGTCTACATTCTTATATATTTTTTCAAAACATACCCGAAATGGCGGGGTAGTTATATTTAAAAATAGGAAAATAAAAGTTTGTCTCAGCATTTTGTGATTTCAATTCGGAGAGTTTCCCGCCATATTTGAACCGATGTTAACCCAGTTTCCTATTAGGGTTATTTACCTGTTTTGAAACTCCGGTCTTGATGCCTGACATTTGAATTGTTATCAACAACAACTCTGTATTGTATTTCAATTTGATTTTTCCTGCTTGACTGCAAAGTTATGGTTTGCAGAAATGCAATGTTTTTGTATCTGTTATTGCAAATCTTTGCAATGCACGTTGCACTTGAGCTATTTTGTCACCTTTGAAATGGTATTATTTTGGTCGGATATATAATAGAGAATGCTTTGCCCTTTATAATACGATACTGTAGTTTCATTTTTATATTTGTAAATGTACATGAATTGAGGGCAAAGTGCATGTAACTCAGACAAAAATACAAAAATATGTCCAGGTGATCAATTACATATTGTGCCAGGCATGATCACGTCTAATGACAGAAAAAGGGATGAATAGTGCGAGTTTTCCGTTCTTCTTATTTACAATTAAAACCGAGGACATTTCATAATTTGTTGATTTGAATACCGATGGGAGTTTTTGTTATTTCATTAGCATTTCAAAATTAAAATATTAGTTGAGGTATTTTATTTAGGCATTACAAAGAAATGAAAAAAGTAATATAACGGTATCTAAATAATTCATTTAGCATTTAAAATGACCAGCTCCGGTTGATTTTTGTATGAATGTGTAATTTTGAAACATCAATTTTGGTATAATCGCAATCGCTGCCAAATACGATGATGGCTAATCAAGATATTGTCATTTGAAATCACGCCATCGGTTCGAATAGTTCGAGTTTTTCGATCTAGTTATATCTTTAAATATAAGCCAGATTACAACTCCAACCTACTGGGTTTTGAATGACGTAATATTTTTTGGGCGCGCCAGAAGTGTGTGTACCAAATGGAGATAACTAATTTTGTTCGCCTACTTTACGTCAAGCTGTGTAAAGGGACTGAAACTTATGGCAATAAAATTATGGCCTAACCCTAACCTGGTACACACACTACGAGGGTGCCTTTTTTGTTATATGTACTCTAAAATAAAGACACATATTTCTTATTCGTATATTATTATGCAGATTTATGTTCATCGCCACCTCAAAGAACCTTCCAAAGGTATGACAGGTGTTTCTAACCACACGATGTTTCACACAATATTCAATAAACCGTTCAATTATCCTTCCGATCGAACTCCAATGGTCGTTACAGAAAGTAGTTTGGGTCATTGCTGGAATGAAAATGCTGACACTCAGGTTATATTATTTTCATTTATAAAATTGTAAAATTGAAACAAAATTTCCATTTTGTCACCTATTGATATCATATTCGCGAAATTTATATTGTATTTCGAAAAACTGACACAACAATATTTTTTACTCTTGCTGCAAAGTTGTTTGGTACTCACGTAGTATGAGTACCAGGTTAATATTAGGCCATAATTTTATTCCGATTTTAGTTCTATTACGAGTTTGAGGACTGTCTGTGTCAGCCAAGTGAATATACATACCCCCTGCCCACAGGCTTCCAACCCTTTACACAACTTGATGCAAGGTAGGCGAACAAAATTAGTAACCACTAACCTCCATTTTGGTACACATACTCTGGAGCGCCGTTTTTATTTGTATACGAATCCAATTCACGCCGTTTGCTCCGAACAAGACCCCATACAAGCATTCAAATGTATATAGCGATTTGTAATGTAAGGATGTCAATTTTTTTTGTTCGGCATTGTCTTCCCAATTACTACACCCTCGTTGAGGCAATGGCAACTTGAACCCGAAATAAGCAACCTGCGATGCCAACGCAATTGGTCTAAGGCTATAGGACAGGTCATGGCGTCGTAATTGGTACGCTCGCTCGCAATTATTGTATAAATTAGAGTTTTAGAAAGTATGCAGTTTGTCCATGGGACCTAATATATTCTACGAAATTTCTGCCAAAATGTAACAAGTACCAATATTACATACGTAGTCATACCATGTATTCAAATTACAAATAAGGTAATACAAATGGGCTGAAAATTTCCCTTCTTTATGACATGCGGGGGTTTTAAAGCTCTACCGAGACGAGTAGGCGGGAAAAAGATTACGGTACTTAAATAACGATACCGGAGTATCGCGTCTACGTTTTTCAGTGTGGTTGGTAAGTCATAACCTCTTGTCAGCCATAACTAAGACTAGATCGGTGTAACATTCGCTTTGTTAAAAGATGCCCACGTACTGAATTACAGTAATCGCGTGTCCAGGGAGATAAATTAAATACAAAATATTATTGAAATCCAGTCATTTAAATATTTTCAAATTCGTGCAGGGGGGAGTTTTACACCCACAATTTCTAGGGAATTTTACGAATTAAAGTCAAAAGCACTCACTGTATATTCACATTCTCAAGAATACGAGACTGAGTACGTGTTTGATTAGACGCGACCAATCAATATTTTATTTTTTTATTTCTAAAAGAAAATGAAACCGGAATAGCAGAGGTCTGAATATTTAGTTTGAACACATCTATGCATGAGATTTGAATGTATAAGCAAACGAGAATAAATTTGTAGGTCACCAATGCAATCTGACAATGTTAAAGTATTTTAAACCATTGTGCATTTCTATAAGCTTTTGATATTTGAAAAAACAGATATCTTCTTAATTTGTTGAGATATTATATCTTCCTTGAAACAAGCGCATTACAGTCTCACTCGTGCAGTTAGTAGAAAAAAACAACGTGTCTAAAATTTCTTTGCCCTTGTTACAGATCCATACATCGTATCAAGGTATTATTGTAAAATTGCAAGTGAACGATCAACTACTTGTTGCATTGAAAGATTTTAATGATCACGTGGACCAACTCGATCCAAAATCAACGTTCTTTGGTGTATTCAAGCTATAAGTATATCACCAATCCAGCATGAGCAATACTCAAGTCCCATCTAACAAGCTTGAGTTACACACATGAAAAATCTGTTTTAACTACAGATAATGGTGGGATTTTAGTTGTACAACAGCGGTATAACCAGCGTCATTACTGATAACTGAGCAATACGAACAAACTCTTAGACAAACAACAAACTCTACAACAAAGAAATTTCCATAATCGGCCCTCAGGCAAACTTGCTTTATTAGTATAAACAGATGGAGACAATAAACCCAGACAGTATTTGTAAGCTATAAATTAATAACAACCAACGTTCTTAGTTAAACCTTAGACTGTTGGACTTTAGACTAATATTAAAAGTGAAACACAATCATATGTAATTGCTTTAACCTGGTTATTTTGCTTGGTCATGAATGGTATATATATAGACCTTGTTATTGCGTGCTATATTCAAGCATGGTCAATACTTTTCAATAATTTATCTTATATAAACATTACATACAATTCTCGGCAGAATAGTTAATTATTAACTAATCTGAAAAGTTAGATATTCAACCAAACAGAATTTCAAAATACAATCATGCGATGTTTTTTTGCTCAGTCCATTTGCAGCGCAGGGCCAGAAATGACTGTGTGTCCCGCGGTTCAATGTTAAATATTAACTACTCCATGTATCATAGAATTCTTGGACTTAAGTCAAATACTATGACTTAGGAATCGATGTTCAAATATTTATTGAGCACACACAAACAACAATAACAATCCTAGCCAATATGTTATGTTCATATGCCGTTAGGAAAACATTTGTTGTGTTTCAATGTACAGAACTGTGAAGGCTGCCAAAAAAGAACGAATTCAAATAAAAAAGATTTTAAGATAACTGACTTTAAAGGTGTATAACCCATCTTTCCTTGCTACATCAGATTTTTAATTAGAATCAAGTATGAATGCTTGATTACATGCAAACATTATTTAAACGACCGTTATCCTTAGTCTGCATATAAAAAATATCTTTCCAAAATTTGCTTAAATAATGTTGTGAGCAAATGAATAGTTCTCACTCATTAGCGAAGTTGTGAGAAAGTTTGAATCGGCAGATAAATTTACGTAAAATGTTTTAATGTGACATGATTTAGTCATTGAAATGGTATTTATTGCAAATATGAGTTATGAATTGCCAAAATTCAGGGTTGACGACAATTCAATTCTGCTACGATGCCTGTTTAGATATCACAAAATCAGTCAATGACATCTTAGTCGTCGATCAATGCGTAGAATTGATTTCTGACTTATATAGTTCGTGAATGAGATACCGTTGTTGTCGTATATTTTCATCAATGCAATTTGTTTGAGATCTGCGTGCCTTTGAAGCCTATTTTTATATAACACATTTTGATGGGTAGTTTCTCGTGCCATATTTTTCTAATTTTGTATATTTTTCATTTTAATCCTTTTTTTTGCTATTTGTTCCATTAAGTTCAACGCTTCTTACATTAATTTGCTACATTACACGATTAACAATTCCTACAATTCCAATTTTATAAACGGTGAAAAGAATTAATGACTTACTAGCTGAAAACCGAAAACTTTTACTCGATGCTTTTTATTACCACATTCGATTTTTTTGGCAAATCTTTTTCTAGTTATTCATGAACTGTGAACGGAGTCAAGAGTTTCATATCCGAATAAATTTATTTTTAATATCCTATAATGAGCCAAAGACACTATTTCGGGTCAGTTTATTTTTTTAATTTTTATCACGCGATTATCTGATAATGAAGATTTAATTCTCTTGTGTGATTACACTCAACTAACTCATATACATTTATACTTCCTTTAATCTGTTTCTCCTAACACGATTTTTATCAAAACGAAATCAGCAAACGTATCTTTTCACCTCATTTTAATATATGTGTTGATTAGACTGGTCGCACATTTTTTGTGTCAACCCAAAAGTGCCTTTTTATAACAGTAAAATCTTATTAATATTATGTGCAATTTGTAATTATGAGTTTGATTTATTTTGTAACACAAGCAACATTGTTAATAAAAGCTTCATAGATAAAACTAGGATTATTCTGTTGCGTTTGCGTCAAAAACGTTTTTCATTCATTAGCTAGGGATGTAATTACATAAATTTTCGTTTGCAAACAATACCGGACGTAGTTTTTCTTTTATTTTTCTAAAATTGACCGCGGGGCAAGGTATGACTCAAACTGTGTTGAAACGGGCCGGACAACTATTTTTGTCAGTGCAATACAATAAATTCCTAAAAGTAACTTGTACTATTAGCGCAAAATGCACGTTCGACCTTCATTTAGCACAAGAAATGTACACAGCAACAGTTTCGCCGAAAGCTCGCTCTGCGCGTGCAGTAGTGCATCTTTCGCAGAAAACGTTGCGTACCGGTAGAGAATTTTTCCTATTTTATCACAGCTATTTCTAGACCGTTTTTGATTACTGCAATTAAACTACAACTCCTAAGAAGGCAAAATAATGTTTGACTTATTTGATTTATACTTAAATTCCGGAATCATGACCAAAAACTAACGGTTAGCATTCAAAATCGCGAAACGGAGGGATTATTTGAAAACACGACTAAAAATCTGTCCGAGTGACAAAAGTGTCCAGAGCGGATGCGAAAGGTTCTACTGTTACGTCACTGTTCGCATCTTGCTGATTGGTCAATGTTATAAAATGAACAAGGAAGTCGATACTCGTGAGAACTTCACCTGGAAAAAAATTCGTCATTTTTTCGTGTTATTGTGGGTCAAATGAGAGGACGCCGCGGGCCGTAGTTTGGTGACCCCTGCTTTAGATAATGACATATTTGTAAAACTTTTTTTCTAACGATAGGAAGCAGAATAAAAAATGAAGAACAACAACAACATAATAACAAAACGATCCATAGGTCCACTTTGTGTCCAATAAACAAACGTTGAGGTCGATGTTGAGACAAAAACGTTGTGTCGTGCAACCGCCTCGTGTCATCTCAATTCTCAGTCAATTATTTTTTGATTAGAATCAAGTCGTTTTGTCTGAAATTGCCTCGAATCGATCCATCCCTATTCATTACCACTGTGCTATTCCCAAGAGACAGTATTGCGGTGCACAAATTTCTATTCAGAAAGAAGATATCAATAGATTACACTGAAGGGGTTGGCAACCTACGGCCCGCGGGCCGGATCTGGAGCAACAAAAGGTTGCCGACCCTGGTCATTATGGTATTACGTTGCCTCCAGCCATGTATCAACAAAGGCCACAATGCGCTGATGAAGCTGAACTAGAAAAGCGGATTTCGTTAAATGAAAATTTTTTTTATGCGTCGTTACTTTAGGACTACAACTAAGACCCAAGTTGTGAAAAGTAATTCTATATAACATTATTGGACACGTAGTGGACATAACGATCGTTTCAATATTATGTTGTTGTTGTTGTTCTTCTTCTTTGACACGTTTTTAAAAAGTCGCTTTTCTCTTCGAATACTGGACCAATTGCTTTGAAATTTTCAGTGGTTAAAGATAAAAATTTTCTCCAGAAGGGTATTACTTTTTTTTCGCTATGACGTCATCAAAATTATGTGACTCTACGTGTCCATATATTTGAGCATAGCTCTCTTGTTTGTTTATTGGGATTTATTGATCGAATCTACAATTGATTTTAGCAGTAAATGTATCCGAAACTTCGATTAAGACGATTCATATACTTTTATGGACTGAACATTATACAAAAAGTGTTCCTCAGAATAATCTCCGTTTCTGTGAGAAGTACAAACAATTTTAATAAAATTGGGTGAGTATGCAATTTTGCGTTTTAAACAAGCGGCAACGAAGTTAAACATCAGAAGACGAGCTAGTTGTTTTAAGCGTTGCACATTATACGTAACAATTAGGATCGTCGGAATACACCCACTTACAATCTTCACATTATTCTCACTGAACAATCTTTTTCATTTTGACAAAAATGTCATTACAGAGGAAGAGTACGATTTTTTTCATTAAAAATGCGACACGTTGGGTATAACTGTTAACTAAATCAAAAAATTGTTTGAAACAAGACCTTTTTAAACTCATATTAATTCGCTAAATCACATGCTGCCTGGCGAAAACGGGGCAATGGATCGTTTTTCTAAAAATTGTCCGTTTAATAGTTAATGTCGAGAAAAATCGTTCTCTCCGGCAAATTATAGACGAATATTTTTTGGATTTTTAATTTTTAAAATGGAATAAGTCGCTTTTACTGAATTCTATGGGATTCAAAATTTTACTAAAAAAATTTCTGTTCTATTTTAATTAATAGAGAAGACTTTTTATTTCGTATGCTACACCTCCTTCATTGTGCGGATCTACCTATTCAGCTAAGTAGGTGCTCCCAGGACTAAACACGTTGCCCCAAGGTCTTGTTCGCTGTATATTCGCAAGCCTTGTGTAAAAAAAAATGTGTAAAAAAAAGAATTGTAAAATGTAATAGTGTTTCTGTTTCCAAAACATCTATTGCAGACAAGAATATGAATGTTCACAAGTACCGTTTCATTATTATTCAACATTGATTAATAATGTAAACTTATGTAAATATAACCAGTGACGCATATTTGAGCATATCAAATTGTCAACGTTCACAGAAAAAGGAATATATATATAAACATGTCCCGCACCAAATGTAAAAAATGAAAAGACATTCTAAAGTAAAAAAACTAGAACACTCGCAGTCGCGCATCTTTAGTATTCTAGGACTTTGGTCGTTCTTCATCTGTAAATTAAACAGTAGCGGTAACATAAACGACATATAGCGTTTCTTTCTCGTGGCCAGAATAACAAAAATTGCAAACCATGGCGCTGGTGTTCAGTCTTCCGTCCGTGCTTGAAATTTTTTTGATATGAATAATACTATTGAGTGACTTATATATAATTTATATTGAGGTTAAAGTCTTTTTAATCACCATGTGCAAACAAGAAGCTAACAGTTCACTGTAACATTTTTGCCGCCATGCTCGAATGAAGAGCCGCCCAATATCTTAATAATAGCAGTTAACGATTTCTTGCAAATAAATGAGTCTCGATTGTCGATTTTAAATTATATTTGCTTTGGTGAATTTAAAAAAAAAAATGCTTCAAGCGACCGTGAAGATTCTTTTCCGAGCAGAATAAGTAATTTCTCTTTTGTATTTCATAATAGTAAAACCAGCATAATAAATACCAAGGGCAAGCCATGTAACAGCAGCAAAACAACAAACATAAGTCATTGTTATATGTGCTTGCATTACGGATTGGCAGGATATCATAGGGAAGGCATAAGTAAGATATCGTCTGGTTATAGAAGGATGATCGGGCAATCGCACGTCTAAACTTTTGTGAGAGTCTTTGTTGCATTTAATGACGGACATGAGGAAGTTCCAGACAGGCATACAATCCAGCCATCCTGAGTCTTTCAAAAATGATACTTGACAAACGCACGACTGACCTCTTGTGGTAGTGATTTCTTCGGCTCCCGTGAACGATTTCACGATTGTGTCAGATGATAAATCACCACAGATTACATGACTTCTCGATATATTTATACCGGATAAAAAGTAATTATTTTTTGAAATATTGGGATATATAGTGGACTCTTGTCCGACTGCAATTCTTGAATTCAAGTTCGTTTGTTTGCCGTGAAAAATCATGTATGTTCGAATGAGCTCCAACGTTGAAACGTAAGTTGTCAAAAATCCGCACATCAGGCAGAACACTGCAAGCTAAACAAATAATGAATGTAAGCGGTAATTCAATAAAACAGACTTTCAATTACATACGCAGGACTGGTCGCTAGGGCTATGAGAAATAGCATTTCCAGCCATGGACTATGAATAGGATGTATTATATATATCTATATCGATACATTTATTATGTACATATATTATATATATATATATATATGACTTTTTGTATGGCATTGAAACAGTTATGGTATGTGTACAGCTATGTATACTCGGGGTAAAAACCCTGTATCTGTTGAAGTATACTAACGTGACTATGTTTCAGATATAAAATACAGTCATGTTTTACTCACCGAAAAGGATTTTCTTTGCGAAAGAAAGTTGTTTTCTTCAATCTTCCATCTCATGTCCAATTTTGATATAATTTTCAAGAAATATAAATGCAGTATATACTATAAAAAGAAATGTAGCGATATTAGCGCAATGTGCATAAACAAATTATAATGAATATAGAAAGACTACATACAAATAATATATACTAGTACATCAAGTCATCATCATCAAGGAAACTCGTGGTTTCCAATATGCTCTTCCGATTAATAGAAAAAATACTCCGGCGTGGGCGAGACTGACTCAAATTTCCTCGATTTTTTTAGTTTAAATCGCTTCATCAAAACTCAACAAAATATTAATGTCATATCTTTGTAATTACCGAATCGGAGTTAAGTGCCACCAGGGTCAAGCCACTGCATCCTATGCGCTATAGGCGATATATATATATTTATATATAAATTATTAAACTTAACCATTATAAATGATAAGTACTGGATGATGTGTTTATTCCGTAAACGCTGACTTTTAAAGTGAATTTGTTATGATTGGCACGAAAAACATAAGGCCGCGCAATAGCCAAGCTCGGTCCTGAATAGTATGGTATGCTCAACTCCTTACTTCGACTCATCCTAATGCATATTTCCAACTATAGTATACTTCCATATATTGAATATAAGAAATATATATGTTGGGTACGTAACGCTCTCAATATTCATTTCGTTTCGTAAATATTGTAACGATAAGGAAACAAACCTGGGCAGAGGTTTGGGCAACCTAGTCCTGTTCTATCTTTCTGCATTGACTTTAAAATCTCTAAAATATCATAGTTATTCTGGCAATGGATTAGAATTATTAGTTAAATACTTGAAATATATATTCGATAAAAATAAAGCTCGAGCGTCTACAAGGTGTGATTGCGGTTCGTCTGTACCAAGGCTAAGTCGCCTAGCTTGGTCATAAATGTCTTGGCGTTGGAAAAAGCTACAAAATGTAATAATAACACTTGTTCAAACACTGTAAACAGTTTCATTGTCGCACTCAAATTATGAACGTCTTCTTGAGGTATAAGCTACAAAGTGTAATAATAACACTTGTTCAAACACTGTAAACAGTTTCATTGTCGCACTCAAAATATGAACGTCTTCTTGAGGTATAATGTTTCAAAGCGAGCGTGTTGAAAATAAAGCAAATATAAATACCAATGCGGTTGGCGAATCAATAAAATATAGTTTTAATTCACGTTGTGGCGGATGTCTGTGATTCAGATTTTGGCTTCCGCAGCAATGAGCTCGTCGATTAAATCATACAACCAGCGCAAGATTAAGTGGTGTATACAAATGCGCTTATTTGATGATTTTTACAGAAGATGCTGTAGAATAAGCGGGGCAGCTTCTCAACATTTCTTGGTGCATTAAAAACGGAAAATTTTTATTTCAAATGTGGAGAAACAAATTTTTACGTCACTTTTCAAAATTATCCTAAATCTGCCTAATTACACTTACGTACTTTCATTACTGGTACTATATATATTAAAATTAAATTGAAATACTTATTTACTACTTTGAACAAAGTGCAGTGCCGACGAATCAATGCATATGTAATATCATTTGCCACCAAAGACCATACATCACAGCAACATCGAACACTGCCATATAACGACGAAATATAACGAAAAATATTTATGGATCGTGTTTTGAAAAAATGTGATCCGTTTATAAATTTCACGCGTGGAGAAATATTTCGGTACATGAATTGAGTAACGAGTCAATATAACAGCAACAATTTGGCTATTATACGACGAATGTGTTTTTATGTACCTACATTTATATATATATAAGTAAGATAGTCTATATCAAATTGCATATCAAGTTAATTTTCACAATTTAACATCATACACCCGTTTTTCACATTTCCTCTCATGCCTAGAACTATTTTAATTATAAACGAATTCGAGTATTCCTAAAATAACAACATCTGACAGTGGCATTTGGCGGTAACATTCTTCACTTCTGATGTAGTATCATTTCATTTTTAGCTTATAATGATTTCACGCCTCAATCAGACTCCAAACTGCTGTTTGTCCCACCCACTTCTAAATCATAGTTCATATACGACCGCAAAATAAAGCTTCTCCCCCACAACGAGCGATATTTCTGACGCTAGTAAATTTGAGAACATATATATGCTTGATATGGTTTAGTTTAGTATGTGCGCCAAATTTTCATCCGACTTTATCTGATTATGGGGCTGCCTACTGTATGTGCATGAACACGTGTTAGACCGCAGACGCTTAAAATTTGTGAATATTGGAAGCGTTTACTGAATTGCGAACGGATTTCCTGCAATAATTAGGTCGGGTGTGATTTATAAATAGATTACGAATTACTACTGTTTACGCTGTAGTAATCTGGTAGCGGTATTACATAGATATGTATTCAATATGGTTTTACTAATGGAGTGATTATTTATGTTGCTTATTAGGTAATAGCCCCACGACAGTGGTTCCCATACTTCTTGTTAAATTCATTCGTTTGCCTATTTTGGAACTCTTTCCCCCTCCCTATTCATAAAAGTACTTTAATTGTTCAATCTTTAATGGCTCCTTTGATAGTGATATGCACTAATCGTAGCTACTCCCGGTTTTGTACAGTTCAAGTAGTTTGTTATAATAATAGTAATAATACAAAACTAACGAATATTAGTAATATATACTACAGCGAATACGAGGCAAAATTCCTAAACAACAGCAAAATTTTTCCCCGGTTGGTAAACGGTGACGACATAATATGCATTCCACGACTCGTCACAATTTTTCAACGAAATACTGGCTATCTTGTTTATCATGGAAGCGATAATATCTACGACCAAGCTGGGATCCTATATATACTTGAAAGACATTTTCCCATCACATCTGATCAGTCAAATTAATTTGAATACTGCTATTGCATCTACAATTGGGAAATACGAACCACCTGGGCCAGATCCTAATGAATAGATGAGACATGCCTTTACACCTCTCGCGTGTGAGCGTACTCGAAAAAATGTGTCGTGTGAAACACCCCATAATTTAAACGATGAAAAAATTAAAAATTATAGTGCCTAAACTAGACATACATCGACTACAATATCTGCTGTACCACTTTGAAAACGAATCAATTTAAAGTGTATTTCTTGATCGAAAAATTTATTTAGGAATGTATGCCGAAAAGCAAATTATTTGATTTAGGTTATCTACCGAATATAATTCAGAAGATAGACCCCGTAGCTAAAGGATGAATTGGATAGCGTCTGTGAATATTAGCTACTCCTTTTACATATATCCAAATGAAATTGTTTCTGAAAACTATTGATCTGAAATATTTGTAACCTTGAGCTATTTGTAACCTTGTAATACTGGTCTACATTTGGGCATTACATAATATGTTATCATATTTAAAACTGGAATTATTTATTTTTGATTAATGTTCATTGATATACAAATTTCGAAAACATTGCTACAAGCATCGAAACATTACATTTCCTACATAAAAGTAAGAGCTATGAAAATTGTGGCCGCGTGTCTGAGTGCATGTTTATTTCGTGTGGGCTGCAAAATAAATTCAATTTATAATATCACTGACTAAAACAGTTGAATGTTTATATCTAATTTCCGTTAGGTATACATATGGCAACTAACTCTTGGATAACAATATGCTGGACTGCAAGAATTGCTGGCCGTCCAACAATTGTGTATTTGGGATCTAAAGTCTTCACTAAAGTTTATTAGATAAGATAGATAACACAGTTCATTTTAAACTACGCCATGGTGGGCGAGGCGCCTGCTATTATTTATGTAACCAAAGTCTTCACTAAAGGGTATTAGATAAGATAGATACCACAGTTCATTTTAAACTACGCCATGCTACAAACGATTGGCAACACACGGGGCGTATATTGAGTAACGTTATAATAAAAAAGCATTATGAGGTACTCTCTGATCGGAACTAAGCGTGTGAGCTTTGTGATACAAGACTGTGTCATACGCAAGAGCAGTAGAAATTAAATTAACAAAGCGATAAACACGGACCCATGCTAGCCCAGAAACTCTAGGTGTTAGAATAAAAAAAAAACTAAAATACACGACTAGTGATGCCTTCTTACGCTAAAATTAACCAAACCACAAAAAAGTACGCAATTAAAACAAACTTATGGACCTTTCCCCGACCTTTGACCCCCGAAAAATTCTTCCTATACTTTACCATTGCAAAATTTTCGGCGCTATTTTAAGAGTGCTTTTGCGAGTTGGCGCCTGTAAAATGGGGTATGTGTTTTAAACCATCATTATGAATCATCGCATACAACAATCTGTTTATTGAAAGTACCGGTAAAGAATTTTAGCCTAGTTTATCACAGCTATTTCTACACTAATTTTTTATTACTGCAATTAAATTAAAACTCCTAGGAAGACAGAGTAATCATTGAATTATCTGATTTATATTTAAGTTTCCGAAACACAACTGAAAACTAACGAATAGAGTTCAAAAACGCGAAAACGAGGTAATGTTTACGACCACGCTTGAAAATCTGTCTGAGTGAGAAAAGTGTCTGAGCGGATGCGAAAAGGGAGCATTGTTACGTCACTTTTTGCATCTTGCTAATTGGCTAATGTCACGAAGTAAACAAAGAAGTCGATGCTCGGGGAAAGGTCCATACAGATGCTTTTTCTGACAGGCTCAATATTGGCACAACGATACAAAGCAATGAGTATATATACATTCTCATCGTGTAAAGGTATTCCAACGAGATTCCCATTCTACCATGTTGCTGCTTGATTCTAGCGGAACTACACTGGCGCCAATTTCTTTCCGCATGAGGCTGTTTTGTAAATTTTTTTTTTGCAAGTTAGCTGTATCATTTTAAAAATATGCGGGTGAAAATGGAATAGATTCACATATCCATCTTTAAAATACACAAATAAAACTGACTTCTATAGTAAGTGTTATGCTCCAATTGAATATGTTTGTTTTGTGTGTTTTTTTGTTAAAAAGGAACCGATGCTCAATCGAGGTTCTTGGTAAATGGTAGCCAGATCTTCATTATTGCGATTAAATTAAAACTCCTAAAAGGGTAAAGTATCATT